CCCAAAGAAGAAGTTATATTATTTTAATACTACAGCTAACGTCACTGTCAAGCTATTAGGTTACGCTAGCAGTGTGGGAGAAGGATGCAACACAACCAATCAATTTGAAACACCACACACACACACACACAACTGGAAGACTTTCATTACATAATTTCTTAACGGTTCTCAGGGCCGTTCCAGGTGTACACAGTATCACGATATTGTTGAAAAAAAAAATCTCAAAGATTTCGCAAAGTCACCGGTCTGTTCACTGATGGGTGTTGTTGAATGGTGATCCGGTTTCGTAACATTATTTTGTCCTTTATAAGAAACCAACCTCGCTCTTTGGCCTCAGAAAAGTTGTGTTTGCCAATTTTAGTGAGACGTGGTATTGTGGGAAGACCGTTAACATGTGTACGTGTAATGGGAAGGCAATTATATTTAATGAAACATTTTGTTTAGTATGACTATAGTAACAATGTTGTAGACTCTGGCACTATAGGGTGCGGTGGCAGAGTGGATATAGAACTTCTCTATGGTAGATAGCTCGTGCCAGGGAACCCCCAGTTCACCCACTTGTGAATGGGTACCAAGCTTTACAGAGAAGTAAAAGCGGGTCAATTGCCACGCTGCTCCCGTGAGTACTAAGAGCGTAATAACGCGTAACATGAACAGCGGATGACTCATGTCTCGGTGATGACGACAGTAAGTGATGTTTTGTGGCATGTTATGGAGGGTGTCACACTACAGGTCGCGTCTACCTTCAGGTGGCCGATGTTACATAACCCTTCAGGGACCATTGTTTACCCATCCGATGACCATGACTCACTTCTTCAGGGACCATGACTCACTTCTCCAGGGACCATGACTCACTTCTCCAGGGACCATGACTCACTTCTTCAGGGACCATGACTCACTTCTTCAGGGACCATGACTCACTTCTTCAGGGACCATGACTCACTTCTCCAGGGACCATGACTCACTTCTTCAGGGACCATGACTCACTTCTTCAGGGACCATGATTCACTTCTTCAGGGACCATGATTCACTTCTTCAGGGACCATGACTCACTTCTTCAGGGACCATGATTCACTTCTTTCACTTCAGGGACCATGATTCACTTCTTCAGGGACCATGATTCACTTCTTCAGGGACCATGATTCACTTCTTCAGGGACCATGACTCACTTCTTCAGGGACCATGATTCACTTCTTGAGGGACCACGACTCACTTCTTCAGGGACCATGACTCACTTCTCCAGGGACCATGATTCACTTCTTGACTCACTTCTTCTCAGGGACCATGACTCACCATGACTCTTCTCCAGGGACCATGACTCACTTCTCCAGGGACCATGACTCACTTCTCCAGGGACCATGACTCACTTCTCCAGGGACCATGACTCACTGAGACATGTGGGGAGTAGGGGGGGGAGAGGCAGGCAGGAACATGTGCTGCCACAAGTGTTCTCTCTCGACACCTTTACTACACTACTACAGTCAACTTTTTACCAAGGTTTATATGCTAAGTTTACTCTTGAGAGTTTCATAATAAAGTTAGATATCCTCTAAGTACTCATATAAACATAAACCCTTCATTACCAGAGTATAAACATGACCCCTTCATCTACTTTTCCTAGAGTACACACCTGACCCCCTTCATCTATACTATTACCAAAGTATAAATGTGATCCCTTCATCTATACTATTACCAGAATATAAACATGACCCCTTCATTTACTTTTCCTAGCGGGGGAATGGCCCCAGCCTGGGTCACTAACACTTGTAACCTGGGGTGGTGGGATAGCTGGGCTGTTGCCACTGTGACAGCACCCGACACATCCACAGGAGCACTTAGGGCTGTCTTACTCCTACAACACCTTTTGAAGTGAACAACCTTTGAGCAATTGTGACATGTGGCCCCACTTGCAGGGAAGTTGCTTTTGCCCGAGGCATGTGTCATGCCGCAGTTCCCACAGTGCGCGCGACTGGGGTGTTCCCACCACTGCCTGGCCAGACGTACGACACAATACACCAGCATCTCTCACTGCTGCCTCATATAACATGCATTTGTTTCTAAGCACTTCAACACTATTATAACTAGAGTACCCCTGGAAAATTTCCCTTTTCAACACTGGGTTACTCAGGCCCACCATAACTTTACGTAATAGCATGTACTCAGAGAGGTCGTTATCACAGGTGGGACATTTAAATTCACACTCCACCGCCTCTGCGAAGCATCGTTGAAAGTACCTTTTCATGGGCTCCTCTTCACCTTGTTTGCTGTTGAAAAACTCGTTCCATTTCACAGCTTGGTTCGACGATTGAAGAACCACTCCACTGATGGCGTCCAGGGCTTCCTTGGGCGAGAGCTGCTCCCACTGACCACTGGGGTATCTCGAGTCAATCACCCTTTGGAGTGCAGGGACACAGTTCAGGTGAATGCGGAGTGTGGCCACCAGTTGTGACCATCCGTTCAACATCACCCACGACTTCATGGACCGCCTCCACGTCCTAAACGCCGCTGCTGGCATTTCTGCCTCACACTTCTCTGGAGCGACCGCTGCTGAGGGTTTCATGACCAGCGTAGGGGCATGACCGTGGCCGCCAGTAGCTAGAGACGCCATCTGAGCCATCAATGCACTCATGGTCTGCTGCTGGGCGTGCGTGGTGTTCCCCGCCGGTGTAGAGATGCCCTGGCGTCCCCTTGAGGGCGTCGAGAATCGTGGACGTGTAGGGGCCATGTTGGCGTTCTCGTCAGGGCTGTTATGGCGTGTCGGGCCTTGGCATCCTATTCACTGCGCCATGTGAGAGGCTTGAATAATAGACCAGGTTCTTTGCAGACTTTACTCTTGCAGCGTCAGACAGTGACTGGCAACCCGGCGCTGCCACAGACAAACTCCCGCCTCTCCACACATGGGAAAACATATCGTACGATGGTACAGGTAGTTCTGCTATAACCCGATAATTGTGTTCTTGTAAAATATCGTGTTATAGGAAATCGCGTAATAGAAATAACAGGGCTTATGGAGAAAATAGGGTTAGGTGCAGATTACTCGAAATCGAAAAAATTTAGTAGTTAGCCTAACACAAAGGATAGCACAGTCTAAATAAATGTTACATTCATATCTAATAATGAAATCATACAGTAAATGTAACACTTTACCTTGAAAAAATATGAATGTAACTTGATGGGGGAGAAGGGTGATTTTGAGGTTGATAACATCGAGCTTCTCTTCAAGTGTTATATCCTTTCTTTTACGATCATCACCGGGAATTCTATCACCAGAACGCTTCTTGGAGATATTCTTCTTTACCATATTCACAATTAATACCACAAAATTGGAGAAGTTGAGCCGACTTGTCTTGATCATTTCTATGGGGTTGAGGTCTGGCGATTTTGGAAGATGTGGCAGAAGCCGAACATGTGGGTGGTTCTGAAACCAACTCTTGACAACATTACTCGTGTGTATGGGAGAGTTGTCTTGTAAGAGGTAGAATGGGGTTCCTTCAGGGTAGATCAAGCGTTTCTCTGAAAGAAACGGGACCCCCTCCAATATCTTGACATATTTCCTGCCTGTAAACCAGCCCGGACCGACATCTACCAGCACCCCTACACCGCTTGCGTGAATCCATCCGAATACACCAGCTCTGACTCTGCCACCTATCCATGTTCCAACCACATGTCTGACTTTATAACTGGGAAATTCCATAAAAGAGGTTGATGAGACAACATAATTATGTGTTGCCATCCCGGTATTGACTATGTAGTTGACGATTCCACATGCGTAACATTACCTTAGATTTCCTAAATACTGCCAACTACCGATGCGTGACATGTGTAACAAAGGTTCCATTCAGTCGTTAATACAGGCAGTATCTCCTTCATATCTCCAATTAACTACCTGAACCTATAACTAAGGGGTTGATATTTCTAATACAGTGAGAAAGAGTGAGTGAGAGAGAAAGGGGGGGGTGAGAGAGTGTTACCATCCGTTGCGTCTGCGCCAAACTTATTGGTAGTAGTCATCTCATCCGTGCTGAACGTCTTCTCATCGCATTACACAATGTCTTCCCAGAAACAAGCCGACTTGTCTGCATACTCTAACATACTCCAGGAGCCTTTCCATGTTTACGTCAGTGATGTGTGGCTTCTTTGCAGGTATATGGGAATGAAGGTCATTGCTGTGGTGTCTGTTTCTGATGGTGTGTGGTGTGCAGGCCAATCATTACATTCTTTTAAATGAGCACACTTCCTCTGGCGAAATTCTTTGCCACACTGTGTTTAAATAACACTGACAATGTTTTTGCTTTGTGAATTTAACTACCAGTTACCCCCAGTCAACCCCCTATTCTTATCATATATTGTGACATATTAAAGAAATATAGCTAGTTTCTCAACTCACATCTTTCAGGTAGCTCAGTTACCTCTGCGTAATATTGTATAACTTTCCTACGTTACAAATGTTTGGTATTGATTTTTCTGGTTGAGGTTTTGTATTATTCCACTTCTCATCACTTTCTCAGATAGTGGTTATAATCATGAGTATTTAAATGATTTCATTGTATCTCTTGTATGCAAAATTCCTATACAGCACCTCAGTTTCTAGAGTGCCTGCCATTCCTCCCAGATGTGGGCGATTAAACATAGGACTACGGTATAATATACAAGTATAATGCTATGACATTATCTGGTTTAAGTGCTTTGGGTTTTATATGTATTCCTGATAATTTTGCTGTGGTTACTACACATTATATAAGGAATAAAAGCACATTAGTTTTACAATGAATCACACATCAGAGGTACCAACCTTACCAATACCTGGCGTCAGTCTCACAGTGTTCGTTGCGAGAGTCATCGCACCCAGGGGTGCAGAATAATTTTATACTGACTGTACATGAAGAGAACTACACAATTCATAATCTTGATATTGATAATACAAGTTTATAAATTACTTACTTGTGAAGGCACAGATTGATGATGATTATGATGATAGCAAAATCTTCTCTTTGTTACAGGGAGGGAAGAGACTGGATGCCAACAACTATGCCACCAAGAAGACGGTGGCACAAGGCATGCTGGACGTGGCGCTCCTCACCGCCAATGCCTCACAGCTCAAGTATGTGTTGGAGGTGGGCGAGAAGCATCCCTACTACACGGCAATGATCATCCTCATCTCCTTCTCCCTCGTCCTGCAGGTGGGTGACCCAACTTCACCATGACTCCCTGGGCAGGTGGGTGACACTGCCTCCCTGGGCAGGTGGGTGACACTGCCTCCCTGGGCAGGTGGGTGACACAGCCTCCCTGGGCAGGTGGGTGACACAGCCTCACCACAAGGGATAGATCAAAAGGTAGGGTGGGGGGGTTCCCTTACTACAATTAGTGAAGGAAACTTTGGATAAAACGTATTCAGAAGTTGTTTCAGAATTATTGTGAGTTGTGTGCAATATTCCAGCACAAAAGAGGGACCCATAGGCACAACATATGGAGCTAGTATGGCTGGCACTGTACTTGACTGCCTTCTCTCTAAATGTAATGTTAGGTACCCATTAGAGGTGGGTGGATTGAGTGTGTCTTGAGATTGAACCAACAGGGTGGAGGGGGGGGGGGAGGACTATCACCTGAGCTGTGTCTGACTGCACAATAGGATGTCAGGATCAATCCTTCATTTACCGTCTATGTACTGTAAACTCTGGGTGACTCAACTGCTTTAAGGTAAGGATGGTCAGAGGTAACAACTGCAAGTGCATCAAGGACCCTCTCAGGGAAATGTATAACCCAGGTAGTGTATTAGTAAATTACAGTACAGTTATTGGTTTATTATGGTATTTGAGAAAAATCGTCATTGTAGTCCGGCTCCTTCTGCTCTGGATTGACCTAAGGTGACACACCATGCAGGAAGATCACTGAAGATGTTGTTCCTCTCACATCTTGTGCTCAAGGAACTGTGTCAGGCAGCACGAGTTGAATCATTTTAACAATCTCATTAAAAATATACGCTAGAGAAACCCATTTCAGATTTTTTATTTAAAATCAATACTCACAGCTCTTGAGTAAGCCTGAGCCACCTCCCTAAAACAGTCCTAAATTTCTTTAGTGGACAAAGTAAACAATAAGAATCATCGTCAAGTTTTCATGCTTGTAAAATAATAAACTCAAACCTAAAACCTGGGGATCTTATTCTTTGATAACATTAGACTTGGCCTAAAAGTGACCAAGAGGAAGTTAACCAAAAGAAACAAAATCATCCTCCCTCCTCAAAACTGAAGCATGGAACAATGAGAAGAACCAAGAGCCTCCACCCTTAGATCTTTGTCATCCAAAACTACAGTCAATCATCATCTAGTAAATGCATGTAAATGTGTACTGTCACCCCAAGCTAAAGCTGTACAGTAATCCCTTGCCATACATGGGTTAACCAACTATGGATTTGAGTATCCATGTTTTATATTTTGTACACCAATTTAACAACTGCATTATCCAGTTGTAACTATCAGAGGGTTTCTATGGCCACTACAAATATCTAGACCAGCATGGCAGGAATGTTTGCTGGATCTAGTCTTATCAAGTGGTTCATATTGTTTGCTTCAACGTGAATTTGTTCCTCAACCAACAACTCATCATCATCAACCACACCCGTGTTCTCTTCCTTTATCTTGAAATCAATTTGCATATTGTATTTTTATCCTTCATGTCATATTATACAGTACAGTACATGCATAGTATATGGCTTTCTGTTGCCCGGGCAATAACACTTAACACACTCAGGGTCGGGATTTGTTAGTGTCGTGTAGAAAATGTTGGTGTTTGTTGACACATGACGCAGCATACACCATGAGGACTAAGCTATAATACAACTAGACATTATTTAGATAAATACATATTCAGGACTAATGTACTGTGCTGTACTGTACTGTGCAATATCAAGTTAAATTAAAATAATTTACACATTAAGTTAGGAAGTTGGGATAGGATAGATTAAGGTAAGTTACAGTGGTCCCTCGGTTAACGAACACAATTCGTTCTAGAAGGTTGCTCGTTAACCGAAACCATTGTTTCAATGAGTTTTTGGGTAATTGGTTCCAGCTCACTGAAAATTGCCTAAAATCAACAAAAAAGGTAGTAAAGTACACTTACTTTGAGGTGTGTATGTAGAAGGCTCCTGGATGATGATGATGATGGGAATAAGAATGGGGGTGGAGGAGAAGGGAGAAGAGAAGGCATTGGGGTGGAAGAGAAGTCACTCCATGGCGCCATTTCACCCATAAAATTTTAGTTCTCTTGGTGTAATACAAGATTATTTTCTTTAAATCAACACTGCACTGCATTATATATTGTCAATATGTAAAATAAATTTCAAATTGACCAATAATTTGCTTGGAAACACAGAAAAAAAGAGTTTAGTTGAAGAGAGTCTCAAGCAAGATATTACCTCCACTGAAAAGACACAGAGACTGACGCCTGTATGGTGTGTTGACAGGCTGGATGGCGCGCAAAAAACTAGCTTCCGATACTTCAATTATGTTCAATAATTGTTAAAATGACTAAAAAATTTAATATAAAACTTTTAAAATTATTGAATAGTATAAACTTCTTGATATTTACTAAAATATTAAGGAATTTAAGCCCTAGAACCGATTACTGCATTGGCGGACTAATACTACAGCTGGTGGACCGCCAAATGCAAGCGAAAACATGTTGAGGTTGGCTCGTAAAAAACTCGTTAATCGAGGGATTGCTCGTTAACCGAAGTTAAGAATCTTATGGAAGGTAACTCGTTAACCGAAATCTCATTAACCGAGGCGCTCGTTAACCGAGGGATCACTGTACTTTATATTAACATACTGTACTGGTAAGTTTGGTTAGGCACCCAACAGGTACAATACTGCACCTAGCCTTATTATGGATGAACCAATAGACTGGACTGAAAACATTCACACAACTGGTGAGTCAGGAAAGACAACAAGTCTTCACCCATACAGCAGGCAGTTAGCCTTAGAGCAGGTACACCAGTGAAGAACAATGGTCAGAGCCTTTCTGCTAATACTTGAGTAATCTGCCTTGATACTCATAAAGTAAGACATACACTCAGCATAGAAGAGCAGATCTATCATGACCATGGGTGAGGCAGGACTCCATTGTTATTGTTGTAACTAATATCTTACAAGTGAATTAAAGTAAGAACAGTATGTGAGTTTTCTGGATGTAGTATGACTGAAGTTGTCCATACAGATCATTGTTGGCCTGTTGTCACTGACCCTGTCGATGACGTGTGACTGTAAGATGGAGGTGGCTAAGTACTCTGTGCCCGCTAATATCATCAACTTCTTCAACCTGTCCGCCGTCTTTATCATCACGGCTCTCAACATCATCATCACCGGCTTTGGCATAAGACCCACTAACATTCAAGCTCTCAGATCCAGCGTTTATTCATAGATACAGTATTATACAGTATTACATTATACAGTACTGTACTGTATCTGTACCTTACCTTGTCCATATCACACATTTTACATTTTCTATGTATAAATGTATCACCAGAAGGACAACATACAACAGAGGGTAACATGACACACCTGCTACTGTGTAAATTAATTACAATATACTCATTAGTTAAGTCACAAAAATTAAGTGATATCTTTGGCGTATGGAACACCTTCAAAAATTTAAGTACATTACTGAACACTTTATTATACTTTATCTTCTTCACTCGGGTGGTTGGCCACGTACACCTGTGGTTGGCTCAACACAATACACCTGTACTGTACTGTACAGAACACTGACTTGATCCTTCCACCATCATCAACTGATTATTATATCACATTATAAAATGCAAATTATTTCTAAATGTAAAGATGAATACTGTACTGCACAGTAATTCTTACAGGATATGTAAGTCCTTGTTCAGTACTGTACCATCTACTGTACTGTATTATTGTTGTATTTGTTAACTGAACTGAAACTACTGTATAGTATACATAATACCGTATAACAACACAACTCCAATATGGATAATACCAACTTCTACCTTTGAGTAATTCATATTTACAGATAAATATTAAGAGCACAGTACTGTACCTGTATCAGAATTTACCTGAATACAGTAAATACTGTAGGTATACTGTACATGTACAGGTATAAGAATACTTTGCTGTATTTTATATCTACTCAGAGGAAACCTTTAGCAGGAATATATTTATATATGTTTGCATGTTGACAAGGTAAGTTACTTGAAGGTCAACTCCAGTCCCATTATACCTTCAGTGTTATTGTTGTGGTTTCCCATAAAATGGTTAAGAAACCTGAATAAACAGCTAAAACTGTTTTGACTCAAAGCCCATTAAAAAAATTACTGCCCGATAAAACTTTCTAATACTGTACAGTAACTTAACACATGATGCCACTAGAGCAAACTACAGTATCATCAAATTTGACCGAGATGGACAGTTGTTAACAAGTTGAAAGTTGCTTTTGTATAGTTAGACCAAAAATATTTTCACCATCTTTATATGACATAAATCTACATCAAAATTAATATAAACGTAGAGTACACTACAAAGTTCAGTACTATTTCAATTTGGAAAAGAAAAAATGCAAAAGGTGTTATAAACTTCAAGCTTGCACCATGTGACCAGTGAGTGACCCAGGCTGGAGTCCCTTACCTCAGTCTGCTGGTTGCCAAGAACTTTTCTTCAAAACTTACTATAACTTATATAAATAAAGCCATAAAGTAATTACGTACTATAAATTATTAACAATACTGTACTTAAGGTTCTTATTTTAGGTAATTTTATTATGACCGCCATTTTCATCCGGAACTATAAATTATAAATTATTACTTAACGTAGTTTCTGGTGTATAAGACACTGATTTTAGAAGGAATCATCTAGAAAAAATATATATATTTTGGATGATATACATCAATGAAGTAAAACAGTCTTTCTGTAAATACCAGTAGAGGTACAGTCAGTAGTAGTAAAACCCCCCTCCATCCCCACCAGTAACCGGAACCTAAGCTAGTGAAGGCCGACATTGACACAATGAAACGTTGCCGGCCACATAGTTCCAGAATTATCCAGTAACATGGTAATTATCAGTAAGAAATATTAACTCTAAACCATTATAAAACAAAACATCAGTTTCATAAATATACAGTAAATGGGAGAGCGAGTCTCACCTATAATTAATCTGTGAGGACAGCAATGCATAAACACCACTGGCTGTTTTCACCAGACAACTACAAATACAGTAAATGACTTTTAATGGTTACAGTATTTGTATTGCTAAATCTATCTATGAACTACAGTAATGATAGTGACAAATAGATTACAATCCAATACTGTGCCATAAAATTAAAAGGCTAAATATTATACTGAACTACTGTATGAATTTAGAACATAATTACTGTACTTTTCCTCTGGAGCTTTGTCTTGCACAGTGCCTAACATAGATCTCTTAACTCAGCTCTCATTCCAGAATTAATGTTCAGTGAGCTGCCATTTATCATTCTGGGATATCAGACTCTTTCTGTGATAACTTATTACAGTACAGTATATCAAAATTTTGGAGTCGTAATTTTGCATTTCACATTTTGGGGGCATAAAAATATGTTATTGATATTGTACAGTATCTGACTTAAAACTTGTAGATGTCACTTTGAAAAATTCATTTCTTCTGGAGTTGCCCTTTAGATGAATAAGGTTGATTCAAGAACACAGGCTAGACTAGACACCTTAACAAGGTCTATACATGGGTGCTGGTCACTTGACATATGTATGGTGCCTACAGGTTGGTAACAGTTTTATCTGTCATAGGGGCTGACGGCCATCTTGCTGGGAGTCTTGGCAGTGTTCAATATTAATAAGCCGACACATCAATATCCATCTGTAGTGATCAATCATGTGGTGATGGGGCTCAACATGCTTATTATGGCACTTGACGCCATTCAGGCGGGCTTCGACAATGGTTTTCGCCCGGTGAAAAACTCCACTACCTTCATCCCCTAAACACCCTTGAAGTAAGAACTATTGATCATTATCTATAAAGTAATAAGTTTTCATCCTTACACGTCATTCCAAAATATGCAGGAAAACACAAAATTTTGGACTGACAAACACCAAGTTTTAAAATACATAAGTGCAAAATTCTTGTATTCAGATTACTGTAGTTGAACAATAATATAATGATCAGTTTCATACAATGTAAATTGTGCAACATCTTTGGTACAGTAGTTTGATTTTGCATGAAGTTGTCTAGTTTTGGTTGCATCAGTCATAGAATTTTTCTTTGTGTATTTCTTTTTGTTTTGGAATGTTGCCAGCGTCGCCCACCAGGCCTTATGACAATGCCTATTGCTCCATGTTGGGTGACCTTCGCCTCCCTGCGACCTACCACTGGCCTCCGGTCTGCTGTAGAGATCCACTTCAGCAGATTGAAGTTCTGTGGGCTGTCACAGTACCCGGAGACAACGGAAACTCTGCTTTAGCAATTCTAAATCACACCCTGTTACTTCTTGTCTCTTGATAAGTTGTTCCAGCACATATGAATGGTGACACATTAATCACACAGAGTTTTATGATGTTTAAACATTCTTTCTTGGAGTGATTATCATGTACATAGAAAGTAACTTGCTGATTTATTGTTTTAGGTCGTGGTGGGTGTACTCTACATGATTATTGGCGCAATGAACATAAACGATCCCCAACAACAAAGAGGTGCGAATATTTTGAATAACGTTATCATGGTCTTCGTCTTTGTCATCTGCGTGGATAACGTTCTTCTTTCCTCTTTTGGCCTAGAAAACATGAACGTCAATCCTCCCGGTATTCCCATTGACATTTCCTCTACCAAAGATCCCTGAAATTACTGCCGCTGTGACCTGACCAACTCCCTTCATATATGCCACCCATCACCTTTCAAGCCTGCCACCCATTATCTTTCAAACCTGCCACCCATCATCTTTCATATCTGGCTCCTGCCACCCCTCATACATTATACCCACCAGCCTTGAGAGCAGGGATCTTCCAAGTCACTTCTTGTACTCTGCTGGCAGCACACACCCACAAGAGGGCAGTGCTCTACCCCTGTGATTGCTGCGTGTGCCTCTGGTGACGATGGCCTTTAAACTTACTAGACTCTGGGTTACCTTCTGTATCCTATCAACAAAATGGACAGTCACTGAGGTGATTTCTGTGGGCCTCTAACTCAAAAAAGTCTTTGTAACACCAAGCTACTTGTTCTCTTGTTATTATTAACAATTATGGATGATGGATTAAATTACATTATATTTTCACCTCAATGTTTTTTTATATTATTTCTATATTTTGAGAACATTCTATCAAATAATGATTATTTTAATGCATTCATTACAGCAAATTATTACATTTTTAATGAAAAGCAGCTGTACACTACAGTACAGTGAGATGCATGGACTACCTGCTCAAGAATCTTTATCAGGGTCCTGTGTGGACTTGTATTTGAGATGTTTCGCCTCACTTTCATCATCATAAGCTCTTCCCTCCTACATTATCTTACCAGACCTTCGTGCTGTTGCTGTGACCACGGTCTATCTCATTGAATTTATTCATTAAAGCATCAGAAGCTAACCGAGGCCTTTCACAGATCACTCTCATGGCTGGTTCCCCCTATACAGTACTATATTAAGGTGGTTATTTCAATGAATAATTACGAACATGTACAAACAGAAAGCTTAATAATACTGTACTATGAGTTAGCCTTGGATTTTTGTTAATATAGCTGAAAAGAAAAGGTACTCTGTGAAAGTAGATTATATTACTCCTGCACCAGAAATTGATGTACACTTAAGTGAACACAATCTGGTGTTAACTGACACACAGAGTCAGTAAGAGTAAACCTGCATGATTTAGTCTGAGTGATATAAAGAATAAGGTTATGTTTGTAATCAATATAAAAATGGTTGTTTTTAGTCATACCAAATCTAATATCTCATTTTTATGATGAAAATATGAATTATGGAGATCATGTCATACACAAACACCAAGTATATGTGTGATGGTGTCAAGTAAATATATACCAGTGCCTTTGTTTACATAATATGTCCTTGTTCTTGACTATTTAGCTGTAGACTGTACTGTAAGTGGGTCATAGCCCCATTAATATTATAGAAATTTCACTAATTAGTTCCTTGAATTCAATTTGAAGTTTGAATTGCATGACAATCATGATGTAAAAAATACCTGTGAATGTTATTTTCCTGAAATGTTCCCTGTGTGAGTGTGGGTCAGTGCATTGAGGTGTCAGAGTCCTGCACAGGTTGCAATTTATATACTGTACAGGTACAGTAATGTATGTATCATCTTGTTTAACGGTGGTTCATGGTCAGTACTTAAACTGTGGTGGTAAATTATTAAATCATGAACCTTTCTTTCAACTAGCTACACTACAGCACCACATTTACTTCAACAAGACTGCTAAGATCACGGCTCTGGCATTTCTGCTTATTGTTTGGAATGAATTTTGGAATCTTAGATCACTGTTTCCATATATTTATATAATAAATTTAACATTAAGGTAAAAACATATTTAGTTTCCAGTAATATCTAAGGCAGTATTACTTACAATCATGAGAAATATCTTATGCTTTGATAATCATTTGTATAAGTTAAGTCATTATTCTTCTGGAGACAAATAACACAGAGTTGTTGTTGGCTAAAAATAATCTTGTTGTAGCCACTGTTAACTCAGCCTCAGTTCTGTTGTGGCTAATAATTATATTGTTTATATGAATATACTGTAGTTCCCACTTCTTTGTACAGTTGGAGCTAATGGCTCTCACACTGACCACAAATTCAAGTAATGCAGGTAAATTATCAGGAGTTAACAGAGCAATAACGTACTTCAAACATTCACTTATTTAAGATGAACATTACACAGCCCAATAAATCTGTACAGTATTGCTAATCAGAGTTTGATAGCTAGGGCAGGTGCACATTATTGTCTGAGCTAAGATTCCAGAGTTCCTCGCGGTCGCTCACTCACTCTACTCCAAATTCACTCCTGTTCTCTCTTGAGTTAAGCTACTTAAGACTTTCAGTAACATTCGTTGCTATACTTTATAAATAAGATATACTGTGATACACTGACTCCAAGTACAACACTCAATGTTACTGTACAATCACAAGTTTGTATTTAGCAATAATTGTTTTCTTAATAATTTAATGTGACTGAACACAAATGTGGTTTCTCATTCACTTTATGTAAGACCTGGGCATGAGAATAAAATTACTGGGTAATCTGTGTTAATATTTTCCTGGAGGTCAATGTCCTAATATATCTACAGTATGCTGTAATACTGTATACAGAAACTGTTTATACTGTATTTCTTTAAGGGTTAAAACAGCACTGATGCTAAAGCTGGAACAAGATACCTCAAAACAAAACATTGGATTGTGCTGGACCTTTCATATTCACATGTCTTAGAAATGACAATTAATAGTCAAGCACACACATCATTTGTGTTATGTTGGCTACTTGTCCGGGAACTCTCAGGGATGCAAAGCACATACATACAGGGTACTTGGTTATATTCCATGAAATTATGTCATGGCACAACTTTAATTATATTTCTGTCATAGGTTGACTAACTAACTATGAACAAAGTGCTCTAGCATTAGTAACTTCTGTACATCTTCAATAAATGCTAACAGCACACCACAATGACTCAAGTTATTTTTTATAAAATACCATTCACAATAATTACCATTAATCTCCAATTTTATACTCACCCAAGAAACATAGAACAGTACAGTATATAAACATATAGACCCACAAATACTCAATACATCTGTACCAACACCATAGAGTAAGTACTTTTTTTACCTGGTGTGAGACTGGCAGTATCAAATACACTAAACCCTCAATACATCAACATGCTAATTAACTCGAGCTCCAAATTTTTGCACCCATTTTGGCATGATGCTGAAATTCACTTCAACTTACCAGCAAATAATATAGATAAGAGAAAGCTGCCAAGTGGCCAGGAACAAAATAATAAGGTACTGTATAATTAACAAAAGAATATTTAGACTTACTTTGCTGAAGTATGAAGAACACGTTGCTGGTGACCGAGGGGCTGGCACTATACAAACACCTTCACTGTATTTCCTCTTCCACTAATATTGCTCTTTATTATTTTACACTATAAAAGTTCAGAAAAAAACACCTGTAATATTTACATTATGCTGAAGCCATAATGGTTACAAAATGTTAAAGTAGATATGAGAGTGTACCAAGGGTGTCTTATAGCGTACACTCAAAGGGAGTACAGCATACACTTTTTCCCGAGTCACTCAACGTCAAGCTAATTAAACAGTCATCCTTTGATTCGTTTTTTATAATCAGGTTTCTCTGTAGCTGATATACATCTATATGTGTACTGACACTTCATAATATATACAGTATTTAGACAAGATTGAGAAAGTTATAATTCTTCATACCTACTGTATTGGAATATTTCCATCAACTGATTAACTCATAATTAAAAAAATTATGTTCTGTTACTGTTACCTGGGTGACAGGATCATTGCTGGTGGGGGTGCTGAAGTTAGCTCAGTTGCAAGAGTCGGAAGTGGCTGCCTTTATTGACGGCACGAGGACCTTCCTTCTGTGAGAAAAGGAAGAGAAGTGCAACTAGCATGAGAAGAGCGATGTTGTATGGCAGCAAAACATTGGTGGTTAAGAGGATGACATACTGTACGAAGGCTTGAGCGAGCTAAAATGAGAATGATGGTGGATGTGTAATGTGACACTGAAAGGTAGGAAAATGTGTTCAAAGGTAAGAGGGCAGCTTGATATTTTGAGTATTGGTGAAGTCTTACAAAGAGGCAGACTGAGATAGCTGGCACGTGGGGAGAATGGAGAAGGCCAAATGGGTCAAGAGATGCAAGAACCTAAATTCTATGGAGGGTAGTACTAGTACAGCCAGGGGTAGGTCAAGAATGACATGGCAATAAGTTGTAAGAAATGACAGAGTTAAGAACTTGATGAGAGAGGTTGTGTGCAGCCTAGAGAACTGTCATCAGGTAATTGCAGCTAACCCAGGTAAGCATGGAATATGGCCATAAAATGTTGACAACACAGTAAACCCTCGATAACTTGGCACACATTGGTCTTTGGCCTTGCCGAGTTATCCCAAATTCTGACTAATCGAGGCACTTCCTCCCTCCCACAAAAATACAACAATAAAATTATTTGACGCACATATGTGTACATGTAATTACTACACGTAAAAAAGTAACATTAACTAGTACTGCAGGCGAAGAATGAAGCATCATAGTAGGTGACACAGGTATGGTAGGTGATGCAGAGGTATGGTAGGTGACACAGAGGTATGGTAGGTGATGCAGAGGTATGGTAGGTGATGCAGAGGTATGGTAGGTGATGCAGGTGGCCAAGTATACGGAGATTTTCCCAAATAATTTTACAAATCTCTCCATTTCCCGAGTTATACTAATACATTCCGAGACCATTTTCATACCGAGTTATAAGAAATTCTGAGTTATCAAATGCCGAGTTATCGAGGGTTTACTGTAATGATGACACAATGAATAAAAGAAATGGTTTACCTCTGAGACAAATAGTTTAGGAATAAATTATAAAACATTCTTTGAAGAAATAATAACTTTATTTTTATATTAAGCATTTGAATTCCAACCATCACTGGGATAAATAATGCATACAGTATATCCACTCATCGAGCTGTCATAACAGTGGTGAGGTAAAGTCTCTTCTCTTCTCCACCAAGAATACCAATCTCAGCCACAACCTCCTCCATGCCCATAGTGTGCCAGCCTTCTTCATCCAATTCACTGTTGTACTCCAGCCCTAAGTCATTCAGTACCTAGGGAACAAGTATTGATATCAGTGACAGCAGAAATGTTTCATATACACAATACAACTTTGTTATAATACATTAATTATCTTTTAGCACGATAAATTGTACACCATTTACTCCAACCCATATGCTGGCTACACCCAACCGCTAACTTTATGTTGTGTGGACTGTACCTACAAGTAAAATCATTAAGCCAACCTTTGCTTTCCTAAAAATCACTTCCACCACCTGACCCCTGACTAACTGTAATGTATATAAAAAGATCTAATACATGTTCTTTTATGGGAACACCATCTACAACCATCCCTTGTTAACTTGATCACTAATCCACACATTTAAAAGATTTCCAGAGGCTGACACTGAAACCACTCTAAACACAACAAAGTTTGGACAGACCTCCAAGATGGCTCGAACTGTCCCAATTTGCAGTCATTAGAAATGGCTGAAATACCAACAACTTTTCCTTAGAATTAAAATGTTATCTGTACAAAGAACTCTGCAGCAACAGGAAACAACGTTAATGTAAATTACCGAGAAGACTTGACCATAAGTTTTACAAGTAGTGCTGTAAAACACAAGTACTGTACTGTAACATGATGTAAGCATTACCTACCACGGTTACTTTTGGGGGAATGATGTACTGTATGCGACCGAGGTATTCAAGTATTGCAAACTAAGGATTTACTCGTATGTTTTTGTTGATCATTGACTTTTGAAGTAAACACCGATCAGGTATGAAGTTTATTTCATAACTCTGGTTTTCAGAGGTAAATGCCTGTTTACACTGACTTGAATAGTTCAGTGTCCCTGACTTAGAACACAAGACATCTTCCAGGATAAGTTGGGCTCTGTCAGGGGAATATTGAGGCAGGTAATCTTTCAAGCTGCTTGCTGAATAACTCCTAAAATATAAGAAGCACTGTACGAGTTACTAGTCTACATGAAGACACTGGACAACAATATAGATTTTCTTAATGAATTGTAGATGAACAAAGTAAAAATCCTAATACAGTACAGGAAGTTGGGTAAAGTAATACACAGTCATTCACTTACTGTTTCACTTTCATTCATAAGAGCAATGTTGTGTAATATACAGGCAGCTTTTATCAGTGTTGCGCTGGTTTCCACGGGGTTATCAAGCTTTTGCATGCGTCTGAACCTTGACTTGAACACCGTCATAGCGTTGGCAGTCAACTTGTGAGCTTCCTGGTGATTCTCATTGTACAAGGCCTCCTGGTGGGATGATCATAATAACAAGCTGGTGAACAATTACACATATGTTAACATAAATATTCTTTAATAAAGTTCATTTGGTCTTGATGTGGATTTAAATTATATCTAGGTTTTTCTTTTATAAATTTTTTATATAGAAATCATGTTAAAAATGCAGTAACAGAGTTTTGTATGAGAGAGAGAGTTTGCCCTGACCAAGTGAAAACCTTAACAACTCCCCTGGAACATACGACGTGCTCTTGCATTCTACTGTACATGTTGACTCTCGGCTTCCATTCTTTTGAACGAGCTGAAGCCAACAGATATCATGTAATAGTGCAAGTCCATTCATCATTTTATTTTATTTAATGACAAACATTTGTATTGAAGAAAGAGTAGCAGCTGCCACACATCATTAATGAAACAAATGAACAACAGTGATATAAACACGCTGCCTTACAGTACACCATTCATCACTGGTACATATGATCAGCTCCTGCCAGTATCACCTCACATTGTCTACAATTGGAAAGAAAGTCTCTGCTCTGTGGCGAGACATTCCCCTGTACTCAATATACTGTACACCACAATACCAATTTTATAGGATAGCTCAGGACCAAGAATATTCTTTTCAGGAAGTATTTTCCAAAAATCTTTTTAACTTTTACTTGCCAAAAGATAATAGTATAGTGTATATTCCTTAAAATATAATTAGATATTTCTAATTACACTATTAATTAAATTATTTGGGTTAAATTTCTTCTTACCCAGTAGCAATGGTATTTCTGTAATTAACAGATTGTTGTTCAAAAACAACAATTGAAATAGTAAGGATGAACATTTAAATATTCTAAATACTTTAAAATGTAAACAAACTGTACAAGTAAAGCCGATCTATAACCCATAATTATAAAATGTCACTGTAAGCATAATACAATACTAGTCAAACCATTAACGTTATGCAATAAAAAGAGTTGTATTATCCGGCCTCACAGAAGCTTCCCTTCTCTGGATGCTCCGACAGGACAGCACATCACCACAACTCCACCTTCTTGTTTACTGTAGGAGTAACTCGTCTCTGTTTTACACAACATGATGCTGGGCAATCCAGTGATCAATTTTTATCATTTCTTTGGAGACATTGTGAACACTGATACGAGAAACACAACAGTCAAAGCATAAGAGAAACACAAGCTGGCTGGTGTCAATCAGTGACTTGCTGACCAGGAGGGGGGTGTCAGAGGACCAAAACTAACCTAACTCCTCACCAGCACCAGCCACCAAACTATAAACCTCTGAGGTATTGTACTGTACACAACTTTAGGCTCACCTGGTAAGATAACATTTCTGTCATGTGTGGAGTCATGAGGGCTGGTGCCAAGGGGTACACAGCCGGGGCCACCAAGTGTGTCTCGGCACTAGTAAGGTTCTGGATGGCTAACCACGCTTCTGATTCCTGAGACAATATAAAACAAAATAACGAGAACTGAATATGAGAATTTGATCATTATTCTAAGGTTACATTAATCATTTTTTTAGAGTAATGCTGTAACAATACCTACAGTAATGAGTTGGTAAAATACCTAGATTAAACTATGAGAATAAAAACATAAGCCAAGCTATAATATACAAGAATTAACTTGAGGTTCACAGTACAGTACCTGGAAAACCTGAATCCTTGTTCCTGTCTTTGGGGAATCCAAGTGGATGTCTCGGAATACAAGTCTGTGGTCAACAATGAACTGCAGCACAAAGGCACAATTGGTTTCAGAATCACCAATTGTTAAAGCATAATTGTATTTATCATTCCCAACAGGTGGAGTCATGTGGATGAGGGAAGCATCCATGGCGCCGAACACTCCTGGGAACCCACAGTCTTGCTTGATAATCTCTGCTATTTGTACCCTGAAAAGGAAAAAACATGTTGCCGATATTAATCCGAAAACTTTTTCAGTTGAAAATGCACAATACTGTAAATTCTAATGCAAATTTGTTCTAATGCTGATATTGACAGCCTTTTTCTTTTCGTGTGTGGATGAATTAATTACAACAAATTACTTGAACAAGCACCTACAGGTTTGACCAAGTCTGTCATAGGAAAATAAGGAGAAAAGAACAATTTGTAATCGTGCACTCGGAAGTCATGTTGTACTCACACTATCATTCCCTCCTTCACAACTTCCCATCATTCTTCTGTGGGGGAGGAGGCGGTCATGACCCAACAGCCTCCAGGTCACCCTATCAACAAATATTTATTCTCTTCTCTATTCCTCTTATAACCTCCTCCATTCTCTCCTTAGTACTGTGTATTGTTCCACTTTTCCCTTCCATGTTAAAGTAGACTTCTGCACTCCTCTACCTTGCTTACTTCAGTATGAGACATTCTTGCAGAAAAGAATGTTACCAACTTACTAAGTGGTTGATAATGAAGCCCTGCAATCTGACTGATATTATGACTAATTTGAATGAATTGAATAGAACACGCCAAGAAAATGGACACTTAATTTGGGGTAAGGCACAATATATGTAGCCGACCCAAATAAATTAGTGATACGAGCACTAGTAGTTGTGATGTGGTGTGCTCACTGAAGCCTCCTCTCTCTAGTGTGAGTGAAGGTAAAACTTTGCTTCTACTCTTCCTTTCATGACATTCATTCCAGCCACTAAAGTCAGGCCTTCTAGGATGAGACCAAAGGCTGAGTCACCGTTGTACAGTCAGCAAAATATTATTCTGCACCTTTACGGGTTCCTACAGTATGACACACCGGACCAAGAATTCTGAAAACACTCATGAGTCAAAGCAGATGTTGGTAGCTCTGGCTTTCTGAGTTGCCAGTTACTCTGTAGATAGTATTTAACAAAAGGTGTGTCTGCATGCACAATGTGTTACAAGATGTGAATAGAGCAGTTAACATCATATAACTATATTTATAAAATAATTGACGCTCAGTTACCTCTGCGTAATATTGTATAACTTTCCTACGTTACAAATGTTTGGTATTGATTTTTCTGGTTGAGGTTTTGTATTATTCCACTTCTCATCACTTTCTCAGATAGTGGTTATAATCATGAGTATTTAAATGATTTCATTGTATCTCTTGTATGCAAAATTCCTATACAGCACCTCAGTTTCTAGAGTGCCTGCCATTCCTCCCAGATGTGGGCAATTAAACGTAGGACTACGGTATAGTATACAAGTATAATGCTGTGACATTATCTGGTTTAAGTGCTGTGGGTTTATATGTATTCCTGATAATTTTGCTGTGGTTACTACACATTATATAAGGAATAAAAGCACATTAGTTTTACAATGAATCACACAATCAGAGGTACCAACCTTACCAATACCTGGCGTCAGTCTCACAGTGTTCGTTGCGAGAGCCATCGCACCCAGGGGTGCAGAATAATTTTATACTGACGATACATACAGTATATTCAAGCCATCTGGTGAAGGACAGCTGGCCATACAAAAATTGAAGTAAACTAATCAACACTCACCTTTCCTCCACAGGCGGCCACTTTATATATTTATTATTCTGTTTCAGAAGGAAATCAGCAAACTTCACAGTGATATCAAGGAGTCTAGATGGTTTCACTTTAAATCTGCAGAAAAATTGCAAGATGGAGAATTATAATAATAATAAAAAATACTATATTAAGTTCCAGATATACTAATCACTTCTCTTCAAATATGTTAGTTAACCCTTTTGTATGTAATGTATAAATAATGTTACATCAGGGCTATGAGACGGTTTGTATGGGTCAAAGTTCCAATAATGGATGGCCCCAGTTGACCCTGGACCAGAACCCTTAGCTTCCAATTACAAATGTATACAAAATTATGTGATTTCATGATTGTGACCATTTAGAAATGCAACCTGGTGTGAAACTAAGAGCTTCCTGTTACAACAACAAAATATTAAAACAATGATACAATTGGCCATTTATTTTATGTTTACAAATATATTAATGATTCAAATTCCAACTTACTTTGCACTGGCTGCTGCAAGATTGTCACCAGACCCAAGATAATAGAGGGCTGCCAAGACTTGGTTGTCCAGGAGCTCTTTTTCTGACACTGTTAGTCCAGTCGCCTCTAGCCTTTCATTCTCCTCTTTCTGCCACTCATTGACTAAGAACTGAGAAGAAAATAATCAGTTTCATAAAAATATATACAATACAGTCATTCAAATGATGTGATGTGTTCTCAGTAGTAAAGAATATTGCTTTAATGTTTTGAGCTGATTGCTCATAACCTCTGTTTGAAAAATCTCATTGTGTGGCTTTGATGACCTTCAACTAATAGGCCCACGTATAGACTGTACTCTGCCACTTGATTACACGACAATATGGAGATATCTTGCCAGCCAATTCTTATAAAAAAGGAGAACCAAACTGAACTATTCAAAGTTGTCAAGAAACAGTGGATTGAAATGAATTTGATATGTCCTAGCTTCTCTCAGTGATAGAAATAGCATACTGTACTGCATTGAAACATACAGGCCAATTATAGTGTCAACACTTCAAATGCTAGTGAAAGTACCAATGTAGGATCAGCATATGGGTGGTAACCCCTTCTTCAGCTTCTGACTTAGTGTACAAATGTGTGAATAAATTACACCACCAACTTCAAGGCCAACAGCTCTCATGTGTATGAAATTTCAGTTTACTGTCTGTCGATGAGTTGTCCTTCTCTATCCAATTTCTCGCCCCCAAGACTCACTAGTACAGTACTTTATTTTTTGGCCTTGTAAAATTATCAGTGCTGGCAGAAGACACAAAATATAAATGTGGCTCTGCAGTAAGCCTGCCTAACATTACATGGTCTTAAACTTAGAGCAGCATATAAGGATGGTGTCTAATCAGCAAGCAAAGAATCCTATGATCATGATGGTACCAACTCCTCTGATTGGTCAGGTCCTCTCTACTCTTGTGTTCTTTCCTGAGGTCACTGCCTCAGTCTGTCCACTGATCCAGCAGCTGTATGGACTTCCTTTCCTCATACCTAATTTTACTTCTGATGTCAATGAGCAATAAAATAAGAAACCTGAAAGAAACTAACACTCACTCAACCAACTCTACATGTTATTATACTTCTGTTATACGGTACAGTACTGTATATATGAGGCAGCCATCGCAAATAAACCCTACCCTCTTTCATCTTTAGTCCTCAAGTCACCATAAAATATTTGTATGAAAAACAATAATTGTAGATAATGACTCTCAGCTTTACATAATTCCTCAGCAGATCTTCATCATTTGTGTGGTACCTGTATGTCTGTTTCCCACACACAGTAGTGATCTAATTATGATACTTAGATTATTAAATACTTACCTGGAACAATGGTTTTGTAACTCTAAATGTGTGAAGAAAACTGCTGTCATTCAGGTGAGTATCCCAGAGAGGATGGAGTGACAATCTGTTAGCTCGAGGTTTTCGGAGTTTGCCAAGCTGAAATAATTTAAGCCATTTAATAGAGCTCAACATCCAAAGTAAACCTGTTGCACATAAAGTGACTTCATACAGCATTTATGGTTGCCAAAATACAATACACTGTATGAGTAAAGTAGACACACTTGACATTGTTCAGCTCAGAGTTGGAAGTCTGAATGTTGGTACGTACTGTACTGTGCAGGCAAGATTGGGTGAGGTTGTCAAGACACTGAATCATAGAAAGATGGAAGCCTGTTGTGTACAAGAAACTTCATGGAAAGGAGGATCAGCAAGGTTGAATACTGGTAAGACTGACAGGTACAAAATCTATTGGAAAATTTGTGAATCTGGGTCAGGTGGTGAAGGGAACTTGTCTGCTTGAAAGTGGGTGGAGAAAGTACTACAAGTGAAAAGGGTAGATGCGAGAATTATATTTTTTGGTGTTATTGGCAGGCAATAATCTGATAACTGTTGTATCTGTGTACACCCTACAGGTTGAGCTAAATGAGGAAGAAAAGGACAAGTTCTGGGATGCATTGCTGCATGTAGTGTCAGAGCTTGGTGAAAGGGAACTTGTAGTACTCAGTGGAAACCTAAAAAGCCATGTTGGTGAACACACATCAGGTTAAGCATGTGTACAAGATGGAAAAGGCTTTAGAACAAGGAATACTGAAGGCAAAAGAATACTTAAGCTTAGGGATGCATTGAAAATAATTATGTAACATGCTGTTTAAGAAGAAGCAGAGATATGAATTGTGAACCAGCTGAGTTAACATTATTGAAAAGTTGTGAAGCACAGACACTGTAAGCAATAGTAAGAAACATGTTGGAAGCAAAATATATGATGTTCATGACAGCAATATGAACAGAATGCAAAAATAACAAACAGTACAGAGATGAAATGTGAGAGAAAACTGACCAAGGTTTACGAAGGTGGTGTGAACATATTGAGCAAACAGAAATTAAGACTGGTAAAAAAGAGTACTGTATACATTATATGTGACCCACAGAAGGATGGAAGGAGGCGGTAATAAAGGCACTACATATTAGGAGGGATGGACAGAAAAAAAGCCAACAGTGTGTGTGTGTGTGTGCACGTGTGTGCACGTGTGTGTATGTGTGTGTGTGTGTGTGTGTGTGTGTGTGTGTGTGTGTGTGTGTGTGTGTGTGTGTGTGTGTGTGTGTGTGTGTGAGACTGGAAAACACAAAACAGTATCTTGTGGTTTATGAGGATGGGTGTGCTGCATATAAGTAATGGTAGGTTATATAAAGTACATACATTAACCGGAGCCTTGTTATGGATGGGTGTAGAAGAACACTTATTAAAACAGAGTTGAATGACAGTTAGTAAAGGGAGACACTGCATACTCTTGATTCTGACCACTTGGCAACACTGCAGGCAAGACCTTGCAAGAGTGAGAAAAACAATATCTCTTCCTACTGTATAAAACAAGATAACAAATACAGTACAGTAAGAAAATTACAGTATCTAATATACTATAGGAATAGCCGTGTGTCTGTCTGTTCTGGGCAGCCGAAACAGCACAATCGTTTTTCATCAAACTTGGTGGAAAAATCGTAAGAAATTCATAGAGTGGAACAAACCTGGTCCCATGTCGATGGTTTCTTTAGGAAGGCATTAATGAACCATTTTATTTACGATGGAAAACGATGCAAGTCTACGGACTTGGCGCACCCTCATTCGCTGTAATGAGCGTTCAAACTTTCACCGGGCATGAAGGGCCCGCGATCACTTGTAACAAACTATAATGTGAATTGCACTGATGTTTTAATGTTATTGCTGCACTTTAACAACTCAGGCCTTTAACCCCTCTGAGCTCTGAACTGAATAAACTTGTGAGGTGCCAGTGAACTAAAACATTAAAAGTGTGGCATCCCCGTAGTGAGGGGTTAAGCACATAAGGTTAGTAATTACTTTAGTCCATCAACAATAGAAAAATTAAGAGAGCCAGAACTCCCTTTATGGAAAATGTTTAAATCATAAGAACAGTGTTACATGGGAGAAACTTACTGGTCCCATATCATGAGCGCAGTGATCAGATTCCTTTGGTAGTTGGATGTATATTCTTCGTTCACCTTGTGCACGGCCATCTTTGAGCGCCAGACGGAGAAGATTCGACTTTATCTTCTTCTCCTGCCGTGAGTCTACCTGTACCTGTTTAGTGAAAACAGAAGGAGTGCTGTATAAGAGCACTGAAAATATCTACTGAAATCCTCTACAGTACAGTACAGTACAGTACAGTACAGTACAGTACAGTACAGAACAGTACAGGCATCACCAAGATGTGAATTTCACAGATTTTCATCAAATTTCAAAGCTCTATTTTATTTCATCCAATATTGACTCCACCTAACTGTTTCTGCCTTATGTCGACTACTGTACACTTAACTTTTACACCTTAAGGTAATAAGAAAACAATATCAGGCAGTTAACACTGACTTACCTTAAAATCAGGAAACTTGATAACATCCTTAAGAAAAATTTTGGCAGGACAGTCCACTTTCTTAGAGACATGACCTTGTGGATACTTTTCTCTCTGCAGAGATTCCTGCTGATAAAGAGGTTATATTGTACACAATACAGTACTGGTTTCTCTAGTAAAGGAAAATAACTAAAATCTCCATGTTGGACCACAGTGGCAACACCACGAACCAATATTTTTTTCCACACACACACACACACACACTGTGTCTGGCCCATCAAGTAAAAAAAAAAAAAGGTTTCTGGATAACATGAAAGACACCACATGAAGCAAAGAGATCCCTGGACCTTGATGAATTCCTCCTATAGAAAAAATATTCTTCACTTCATTTGCGAGCCTCACTGTTAATCCTTGCTGCTGTTGCCATTTTTGTCAGTCCTACTCTTCATAATTATAAAGAAAAGGCAGGCATGTAAATTGTGATTACCAAGTTAATTTAGCCAAGGTTCAGTGACTGTGTGCTTCTAATGGAAACTCCCACATCATAGGACTAAATATTTCCATTAAAAATAAATGTTGGTGGTATGGCTGGAGAGGCATTGTTTAGGTAACATCTCATCACTATATCCAACAAATAAGGATTAGTGAGTCATAAGTCACAAGCCATCTGAAGAGTCATCATCATGGAAAGTCAATGGGAAGAGGTTGTAAAAAATGACAGAATTAGGAACCTGACGAGAGACCGTAATACTGTGCAGCATGGAACACAGCCATCAGGTAACCTCGGCTAACCCAGGAAAGTGTGCAAAATGGCCTTAAAACGATGATGATGATGATATGGAAGAACAATAACCATTAATATCAAATTGCTGAATGAAGAAAAAGGAAATATGTCTTAAGGGTTTTTACCACCATGCTGTTACAAGGAAAAAGAAAAGCTAAAGAGAGTTACAAACTTACCTTTCTTTTTGCACTGTTGAGTTTCTTTTGGTAAGCACTTCTGTTCACACCATACTGACACTCCAACACTTTTGTGCCATTAAGGATGTAGGGAACTCCATCAAACTCTGGAAGTGTGTTTTCCCTGAGCTCTTCTTGCTGCCATAGAATCTTTCGATTTTCTGCACACAATCCTGGAAATTTAGGTTGTAATAATGATGACTTTATTCCACAAACTCAGCCACCAGCCACCTCCCCTCACCCCTCATGTGTTGCCGGCAGACTCCACACCTCCAAACATTTCTTCACTTCCAAATTCCACATTTTCTCTAACAACTCTATGCCTTTATTATACATAATTAACATGAAATTTAAGAATAAAGACTACATTTACTTTAATTAATGTTCCACATACGGTATACATACCACATGAAACTAAAATGAGTCACTTATTTTCACATGAGCTTAGGAGTAAGTTCCACTGTGATTGGAGAAGATTGGTGACACATAGAAAACTTATTTGTAGATTTAAAAACATTGTGATTACAGTAATGTATTAGAAAATGTTAGTGAAATAAGTAAACATACTGATCAACCTCCAAAAAGGTGAGGAACCACTGCTGTAAGGCCATACCCATGGTGGTGACCTTCTGTACGGGACCACAAGTTTCAACTTGTCAGACAATTGAGTTTCTTTGCCAAAAATGCGTGAATTATCACAAATTCCTAATATATAAAGGGTGAATCTGATGGGTCCAAGTGTAAAGTACAAACGAGAAACTGTGGTGATTGGCAGGTAAGATGGTGTGAGACTCTTCAGCAAAACAACCATGTGCTCTTCAGTGTGCATCAATACAACATCTAACACCATAAGTCACTGTACAGTACTTTAAGTTTGGATATTTTTTGCTCCTACAGGAATTGATTTTTGTGTAGTTTTAGCTGAAGAATAAATACAAAACTTAAGACCAAACAACCCTTAAGTAACATTACACAGGGGCTGTAATATCATAGCTACATAAAGGTGAAAACTCCAGTAGTTAATGGATAACCTCCATGGTTCTTAGACCCTAACCCCATGTTTCCCGTTAGTTAATTGGTTTACAATGGCACAATTTTGCAATTATGTAACTCCTTTAAAGAGAAGGTTTACCGCAAATCTGTTCAAATGTTTAAGAGAATGATGCAAGATGTGTTTAGATCCTTCAGGGAGACCGAGTTCACAGAGGGGTACTGCATGTGCTCAGCTCAGAGCAGCCGTGGCAGGTGGTGACTGAATCTAATGGTTGGGCCTCGGGTGACCGGAGCAGTGTACACTTATCCAAATACCTGTATCCCAACTTAAGTGAAATAGTTACAATAGACAGACACAAAGGAGTCAATAGATTACACCCAGGCAACAATATCAAGGTTTCTTTGAGTTATCAACCAGCAGCCAGACAACTAAATATACAATTTCTGTAGCCAAGTCAATAAGGCTTCAATTATGAATATTTATTGATGAATTAGCAACTGACTGGTCATGTTCTTTCACTAATAAATTAACTAAACTTATAAAAATTACAAATAAATGAAGTACCCGGTAATACTTTCCTTAACATGTATTCAGACATTATTTTTACTCTTAGTCGTCCAAGTTTAGCGTCAACCATCAACACTCTAATCATGTACATTATCTTTTAATATTTCTGTTTCTCTAGAGACAGAGATATAACAATAGCTTCTACCATACTACAATAACATCCACAAACACAGTTACTTACCATCTCTTCCAAAACTCCGCTGCACCTTGTAGCAAATATAACGAGACATTGTCCTTTGTTGAAAGAGCTGGATTGTTTCACTTGCTTTTTCTAGAGTGTGAACATAGCCACAATTAGGCCTGACCGTATTATCAAAGTAACCAGTTCCCACTGCTGTTGCTGTCATCTCTCCACTTATGTCGTCCTCAACAGAAACTTCCACAGTACCAAGAGCATCTTCTCCACTAGCAATTTCAACTGTCTGATCAATAACATCAGTGGCAACTGGTTCAGTTTTCTTACTTGCTTCTCTCATTGCTAAATGATATTTTCTAAAAGTTCTTTGGGCAGGAGGAGGATATATGACATTATTCTTGTTAACCTCGTGGTTGTGAGTCTTAACGTACTTAACGGTGACCGAGCCATTGTGACATTCTTTAACTAACATTCTTGCTGGGCAAATCATACCAGTTTTAACTCTTCCTTTCTTCCACTTTCTTGAAGACCCTCTACTTGTATCACTTGGTGTTTCTGAATATCTATCTGGTCCATTGTATTGACACACAAAGCACAAATATGCCTTACCATCATTAGACGTAACACTGTGTCTTGTACTGAAATATGAATAAGATTTCATCTCTTCATCTTCTTTCCAAACTTTAAATTCAGTTAGAGAAGCAAAACTTTTCTCTGTTACGTTCACCTCCATATCAGTGTGGTCATTCTCCATGTGTTTCATCATAGACGATATATGAAAAAACATTTTCTCACAGGATGGATGAATACATTTTGTCTTTTTCAATTTTCCTCCAACACCACAAATTTCCATGTGTCTCTGTAAGCTCTGCAGGTGACCATACAATGTGTCACAATTCTGACACTTAAAGCCATGTTCATTGTCTGCCTTAGGTTCCTCCATATCAGGGTGATCTCTTTTAACATGTTGCATCATCCTGGACTTATGGAAAAATTCTTTTGTACATGAAGAATGAATGCATTGTTGTTTTCTTAATTTCCCTCTTTTACCGCATGTCTGAGTGTGCGATTTCAGGCTTCGCTCGTGAGAATATTCGCGGTCACATTTTGGACACCTAAAATTGGTGTCCTTAACAGGATCAACATACTCCATGTCAGGATGTTCCTCCCTGACATGCTGAAGTAGTCTACATTTGTGAAAAAATTCTCTCTTACAAAGTGGATGAGTACACGGTGTTTTCCGCACTTTACTTCTGTTTCCACAAGCTCTCTCGTGGGTCAGGAAACTCGACATATAAGTGAAATTACGCAGGCAGTTTTGGCAGCTATAGTTAGGAAGGGGCTCCAGCAGGGACTTCATTCTTGGATGTTCTTTCTTGACGTGACGGTTTAATATAGACTTATGGGTAAATTTTTTCCTACAAGAGGGATGAATACACAGAACTTTCTTATTATTGTCCAGTGTACAAGGGCTCTTTAGGTTGACTGATTTACCACAAACTTTTTCATGGGTATGTAACAAAGACAGATTAGTAAACACACATTCACAGTTGCAACAGATGTATTCTGGATTTATAAAATTGGGATCTACTTTTAGTTCTGGACCTTCATCCGAGTGATCCCTCTCGTAATGCTCAATCATCCGGAACTTGTGGAAGAATTCCAACGCACATGAAGGGTGGATGCACTTTGTTTTTCTTAGTTTACCAATTTTTCCACATATTCTGGTATGGGACTCTAAGGTTCGCACGTGAGAATACTCGCCACCACAGTTCTGACACTTATACTTTGGCTGACGTCTGGGTCGGGAATATTTATTTTCGAGATTATTTTGGCTCTCCTCTGTCACCTGTTGGCTCTTCATATGAATCAAATTTTCTTGTAATTTAGTGTCTAAAGCTTCACAATAAGGCTGTGTATCCTCTCTCTCTTGCTTGAGTTGTATAACTTTGATCATGGCATGAGATGGTAAGTCCATGAGTGTGGAATTAGGCTGGACAACCATAATTTCTGTGTGAGGATGAGCATCTATAATATTATTTAACAGTTCAGGGTCATCAATTTCATGTTTGAATTGTAAAGGTAAGTTCATTAACTCTGGGTCAGGCTGGATACATATTGATTCCTGTATAGTCTCCATTCCTTGCTTGTCAGTACAATAATTTACATGGTCTTCATTTACCTCTTGACAATTCTTTTTTAAACGATCACTAGCATCACAACGGTCACTCTGAAAACAAGAGGAAACTTCCAAGTATCTTCTCCGGTAGTGATCAGTCATCTTCGGTTCATCCCTGTCTAATGATTCATGTGTTTCTTCCTCATCTTTCTCACTGTCTCTTGTCACTCCTGACTCATCATTTTCCTCCTTAAAATTCATTACTTCCCACGTTGTGTGATCCTCCATAAAGTGTTCATCCATTTCATCATGAGTCACCTGAAAAATGAAAAAAATAAAAAATCATCAGCACCAAATTTACAATACATTCTTCCACACAACACGAAGATGATAAAAAAATGGTTCTATCAGCAATCAAATCTTATCCCTTAATAATCAGTACTTTTGATCAATTATTTTGGTGTCAAAATCCTTTACATATACAGTACTGTACTTATAAAATACAGGTAACTGTACAATACCATATATAGATACAGATACAGGTATCAGTTTGAAGGAAAACTTACAGCTCTGAAGAAAACACATTATGTATGGCAATTATATACATCTTCTATCATAATTATGAAATGCTGTTCTGGATAAAATCACCACATTGATATTATGAAATACATATATCCTAATAATTCCTTGAAATTGACAAAATAATACAAAATTTAATGAGAAAGTTATCATCTACCATCATCGTCTATTCATAAAATGGGTAATTACTGACGACTGATATTTCATAGAAAACCGATTTAAAAACCACAATTTCACTGTTTTATAGTGGATACTGTCAAAGTTATTGCAAATGTGTTAAAATGTTTATTTAAAAATTCAATTTAACCTAACCATAACCGTCTAATATTGAAGACTAGACCGCAAACATCATAACAACGGTCCGACTAATTACCCAAATGTAGTCGCAATTAAGTCAAATGATGGTCGTACAAGCGTAATTCGGGCTGTGAATCACTTCTCGATTATTATTTGGCGTCATAAAGTAAAAAAAAATTGGTAAACTTAATTTAATCTGAGTTGCATTGTGTTAGGTTAGGTTAGGTACATGCACTTGACCTATTAACTCAGATTAAATTAAGTTTAACAATTTTTTGTGACTTTGTGACACCAAATACTAGTCAAGAAGTGATTAGCAGTCCGATTTATTCATCTAGGACCATTATTTGACTTCATTGCGGCTACATTTGGGTAATTAGTCGGACCCTCATAACAACGCGTCGGCGGCATAAATCATCAATAGGAGTCCAAAAAATATTCTAGTTGCTGGTTATTTATGAGTAAAGAACTCTATGAAGTGAAATACTCGACAAATGGCATTACTGATATAACACATTAACAGTACATGTTCTGGAAGGAAAAAGAGATTTACTGTATATTATTACACAAATTGGATATCCTAGTCAGTTGATAGATTTTAATGGGAACTAAAGCTTTACCTTCTACAGATAAAATGGTCCTGAAGCTCCTGGTTAATATACTATAGCCTGGGGTATGAGGTGGATGTCTTGCCTCAGGGACCTTCACTCCTCCATTGTTTTGTTTATAAGTTGTGAGCTAAAGACAACTATTATCTACCGATTTATTTTTCATTTATAATTTTTATCACAAATGAAAATAAATGTAATTATTGTCAACTTATTTGTTTTTTTATGTATTGTTATTTTCATTGTCCATATATTTTTATTATCTGAAAATTCTTAGTGAAACTGTAGGATTATTTAATTTAATTCAAAGTATTATTTCACCATTTACCAATATATTGATCTTACCAGCGGTAACAAGTACTATACAAGGAACAACAAGAAATAATTAAAATAACACTAACTAACCTAACTTAACCTCGTGCCCCCAAATAGTGTTAGGGTGGTTAATCTTTAGGTTAAATAAGCTGGGGGTGGAGATTCTTCAGGTGATCAAGGTTTTTTCTATCATTATTATTACAGTATTGTCAATTGTTGAGTAACATATTTGTAAATACTTGTTTATTTTATAGTCTCAACATAGTATTTAAGTTAATAACTTAAACTTGATAGGACACAAACTTAACTAACCTGTACTGTATCATTTATATTGCCTTGTTCCTCTTTATTATTGTTGCACATATATTGCAACATCATTAAGTCCAGTGTGTTGTGTATCGAATACACAACATGATGCAAGCCAAATGGTGAACAGTACAGTGGGTATTATACACTACAGTATGTGGTGCAACTTCTCGTTTCCTAATTTAAAAAATTATAAATTAATAGCACAATGGATTAACAATATCAAGCAATAAATGAGTACTGACCACAGAATATAACCACTAATTAGTTTAAAAAGACAATTATTAATGCAAGTATTTAATGGAGGAATAACGGTGTGTGGTAACTGTGTGGCGGGTATAATGAAGAGGTGAGAGATGCAGCTCGCACTGGCTCCTTCCCCTCCGTCTCTTATTGTTGCATTTTTGGCGATATTTTCTTTTTTCATATAATTTTAACGTCAAAACAGACAATGGCCTAATTACTTTGCAAGTAAACTACGGGGACCAGCTGCAAGGGGTGGGGACAAAAAACATAGTACTGTACAGGTAAGTCCAATATTAAGCATTTGTTTTGTATTTTACCAGTTTAGAGGAACATTTTCGTAGATATTAAGGCCACATTTTCCTTACTACACCCTTAGATAGCTCCAGGAAAGTGGAATATGTGCTTTATTGGTGTTTTAATACATCAAGTTTTCTGATGTGTGTTACATCGTCACGGCAACAGGAAATGATTGACGTGTTATCACCATGGAGAGTTGCACGAATGAGTGTAGTTTTTCTTAATACTATGACTAGTTCTCTCAAGATGTGTTTGTGGTCATGAGTACTCGTCGTGATATACTCATGATTAAAAAAAAACAACTGCTCACTTTTCTGGCATCTTCTTGGTGTAGATTAATATGACCCCTTTCTTTTTCTTTTTTTGTATTTCTTTTTATTCTTATTTTTTCGCCCCTGGGCCCCGATGTGGGTCGATGACCTGTGCCCGGGTGGGCTTTAACCCGTAAAAGAAAAGTTCCCTGTTGTAATAAAATATTGCTACCCGTGATACTTGTTTCTTGTATAGTGCTTCTAGGTGTATTAAATACGAGTTATATCCTCAAATATACAGATATTTCTATATCCCATAATTTATAGTTTTTGATGGATTATAGTCACAGTTTAAATACTAACCTTGTTACGCACTTTAGTTGCTCAAGCGTAGATAACATTATAACGTCAACGTCCTCGACTGATAAATTTTCTGACATGATTGTGCGAGGTGAGGCAATTGTTACATACAGTACAGTACACAAGCGTACTTCGTCTTTGATCTATTGTGACACTGACTAACATGGCAGTTTTTTTTTTAGTTTTTTTTTTTTAGGGATTAGCCCACCCGGGCACAGGTCACTGACCCACATCGGGGCCTGGGGGCAAAAATGTAATAATAATAATAATAATAATAATAATAATAATAATAATAATAATAATAATAATAATAATAATAATAATAATAATAATAATAATAATAATAATAATAATAATAATAACTTTTAACTAATAATCGGTCAATTAATAATAATAATGATAATAATAAAGAAATACAAAAATGAAGAAAAAAAACAGATCAAAAGTGAGAAACATTATTACTTTTTACTTTTACTTTTATCCTCTTCGCCACTAATCAGCTCGTTAGCTGCTTGGGCGATCGGTCACGTCTCTGATTAATTTTCCTTTTCATTTATCCTCTTCACCAAAAGATCGGCCCGCTAGCCGCCCGGGCGATCGGTCACGTCTCTGTCACGCACTGTTGGCAAGTACTGGGCATGCACCGGCTCCTGAATGTACCTGAACCCGCTCCAGTGTTCAAGTCTTGTCTTTAAAGAGCTCACACTCGGTGCCGTTACAACACTCTCTGGTAGATTGTTCCAAGAGTTTACAACCCTCACACCGAAAAAGTTTGCCCTCACAGTTTTCTGGACTTGCGGCTTCTTCAATCTTGAGCTGTGACCCCTTGTGGGGCGAGTGTCCGCCAGCTCCAAATGAGGGCACTTGACTGAGTAATGCCCCCTGGGATGCTTATACACCTCAATTAGGTCGCCCTTTGCGAGTCATGCTACAGTGATTGCAACAATTGAGGTTATCTGACGCCTTGTCAACTATCATCATGTTGGTGGCTCACTGATCTTCTTAATACAATAATTACAGACAATTAAGGCGTTCAACATATACTGTACTCAAATGATCTTAATACTACACATACAGAGTTATACAGGGTTATGGATAATGAATATTTGGACTTCAATATAAACAATGTCACCACCTTCGTTTTCTCCGATACAATGTGGAGAGAACGTACTTACTGATGACCCATGAAAACAGGATGTTTTATGAGCGATGTAGCGTATGAATGAGTGTGGGAATAGAGGTATTACTTTGACCATGACAGTAGTACTGTAGAAGGCAAGGACAATTATTCTAAACCCTTAATTCCCACTTTCAGTGTTTATCATTTAATTATATCGAATGAAAAGAATGTAAACCAAAGTTAAATAAATACAAAATTATTGAAGTACACAATCATTACCTGGGGTCATCGTCCATTGTTGCGTTTTCATTGTGTTCACAAAAAAAATATTTTACTATCTATTTTGCGATTTTCAGACGCGAGTGTTGGAGAGGATGGCTGTGTGTGGAGCGGCGGACGGAGTGGAGGTGTGGTCCAGCTCTGACGCCGAAGACGACAACTTCGTCTTCGTCACAGGTAATAGTAAAAGTGATCCTCGTACTACATCAAAGATACCACCAACTAGTTATCAATAAACGATACATTTAGGAGGCAGTGCATGCCCAGTACTTGCCAACAGTGCGTAACAGAGACGTGACCGACCGTCCAAGCGGCTAACGAGTCGATCAGTGACGAAGAGGATAAACGTAGAAGGTAGTAGGCAGCTACCAAACAGGGAGGTACTACCGCCTGGGAAGATATTGGAAGCATAATGTGTTGTCTAATGGTAGACCCTGCTGCCATATGTGACCAAGTCCCAGGCTGATGATCTGTCTTTCTGCCTCATTTACACACAATTGTAGGGTCTCAATTGTTTCTGTTACATGACAACACAACATACATATAGCGTTTCTCACTATTGATTTTTTTTCATTCTTGTATTTCTTTGTATTTATTATTATCATTATTATCATCACAGTGTTGTTATTATTATTATTACCATTAATATTTTATTTTACTTTCTATTATAAATTTTATTTACTATGAATTATTATTATTATTATTATTATTATTATTCAGGCCCCGATGTGGGTCAGTGACCTGTGCCCGGGTGGGCTAATCCCCGTAAAAAAAAGTAAAAAGAGGTTGTCAGCATTACAAGAAAAAATTAATAAGACCCATGCAACTACACACATCAAACCACCTACCCATCGTCACACACAAACCCACCCACACACGCACAAGCATTTTCTTTTAGGTGCAACACGTTACTCAGGATCAATGCAGGTTCACTACACAACTACCACCACCCTTACCTTGATCTTTAAATTTTCCTCACATCAAACCACCTACCCATCGTCACACACAAACCCACCCACACACGCACAAGCATTTTCTTTCACTCAGATGGTGCAACACGTTACTCAGGATCAATGCAGGTTCACTACACAACTACCACCACCCTTACCTTGATCTTTAAATTTTCCTCAACTGTGTGGGTTTTTGTTGTTAATTGACAAACGTAGAGGGAATAATTCAGACAGATGGGCAATAACGTCTCTGACGACCAAATGATTTAAAGGAAACTTTATTTTCATGCAAATTGAAATTTTATACATAAATTACATTTACGTTTGCAATATTTTAGCTTTTTTTTCAAAAATTCAATCTGGATGAGATGAAGGCATCTGGCATCTGCATAATGCAATACTTGTCACTCTTGGACATCAATGATTTTTTTTTTTAAGAATGAAACGTTATATTGGTACTGTATGTTCGAAAAGTTTACAGTCGGGTACGGTATGTTCAAATATGATCACGTCTATTTAATGTTGTATAAAGTTGAAACACAAAACTATATATTTTGTGAAGCTAAAATATTACTTATACTTACCCTCTTCACCACTGGTCGGCTCTAACCTGTGGGGCTGTCGATATTGGCAATTATTGACTGGCTGCCTACTGTACCAGAACCTGCACCGGTGTTGGTCAAGTCTGGTCTTTAATGAGCTCACATTCAGTGTCATCACAACATTCTCTAGCAGGTTATAAATTTACTTCTACAGTATAAGGTACTGTGGTGGATCTCACTGTAGACCGTGAACAAGTAAGGTCATTTTTTCTGATGACGTCATTTCTCATGTCAAACTCTAATCCATATTTACCATGTACCTTATTCTTATTTTCTGAACAGATGTTTTTTCCTCAAATTTGTGGAAATTGCGAAAAAATTGAGGTAAATTTGATATCGATTGTGCATTAATAACACCATTTATGGTAGACAGGACCCGTAAAGTTGATATCTGGCTTTACAAGTTTAACTAGACATTGACTATAAGATATATAGTACAGTACCTGATGAGTAGCATTAGTTCCATGTGGTCGTTTCTCTATAACCACCAAACAGGAAATGTTGTAGTGGAGGAGAGTGAAAAAGCTGTCGAAGGCTCAGTCCAGGCCGGGGGCACACTATACACCTCAGATCACCGAGACCCTACACTCACCACACCCCCAGCACATACACAGTCCGTCAGCTATTCAACCATTATCAAGGGAGGTCAAGACGAGGATACTATCCATTTTGAGGTCAACCATTTTGCGGAATCCCTGCCAGAGCAGTGGCCACCTCTCCCTCAGCCAGCACCCAGAGCTTTTCTCCAACGCCACGAACCTGAGACACCATCAAGCCTTCAGCGTCATCAAGCGTCTCCCGGTATGACGGAGAAGCAGCAGGTGGTAAAGGAGGAGCCCCTCTCGTGCACCATCCACCGCCACTCCTGTGATGAGGACTGTCTCAGCTGTTACTCACATGGCGGTGACTGGTGGCTGTTGTCTGATAGTGAGGACGAGAGTCTGGACGCCTGTATCAACGTGAGTCTCTGACACACACACACACACACACACACACACACACACACACACACACACACACACACACAGACACACACACACACACACACACACACACACACACACAGACACACACACACACAGACAGACACACACACACGCACACAGACAGACAGACACACACACACACACACAGACAGACAGACAGACACACACACACACACACACACACACACACACACACACACACACACACACACACACACAGACAAACACAGACAGACACAGACAGACACACACACACGTTCACAATTTCGTTCCAGAATGCTTATAAAACCCAACTCATGTTTACTGTCTCAACTTGGCAACAATTGTGAATATTTGTGGAACATATGAGGTGAGTGGCGCGGTGCTGTCATCCACAGAGGCGAGGCTGGACCAAACGCTTCGGGGCGAGGAAGAAAGGCGCCAAGTTCCGCCACAACCACCGCTGCTGATTCTGGTACGTCCGGTCACTGTAATGTACCCTTACTTTATCCTCTTCACCACTGTAGGCGGTCGGTCGGTTGGTGATTACATGATGTTACCCGTGACTCTTGGCAAGTATATAGAGCACTGTGCCTGAACCTGCTCCATCAGACCATTTCTGGGGGTGTGTAGACCCTTTTGAACCAGATTCGATCTTGATCAGGCTGAATATGTTGTAACATGTTCGTGTCCAAAGCAGTTTTTTTTTTAGTAAGTTTATGACCAATAAGATCCGACCTACACCAACGTCACTTCACGAGATTCCACATAAAACTTAACTCACCAAAGTCTTAGGTTTACTTTTTACTTTTATCCTCTTCACCACTGATCGGGTCGCTAGCCGCTTGGGCGATCGGTCACGTCTCTGTCACGCACTGTTGGCAAGTACTGGGCATGCACCGGCTCCTGAATGTACCTGAACCCGCTCCAGTGTTGGTCAAGTCTGGTCTTGAAAGAGCTCGCACTCGGTGCCTTCACAACTCTTTCTGGTAGATTGTTCCAAGAGTTCACAACTCTCACTCCGAAAAAGTTTGCCCTCACAGTTTTCTAGACTTGCAGCTTCTTCAATCTTGAGCTGTGACCCCTTGTGGGGCGAGTGTCCGCCAGCTCCAAGTAAGGACGCTCGACAGAGTAGTGCCCCTTGAGATGCTTATACACCTCAATTAGGTCATCCCTTGCCCGTCTGTGGTATAAGCTAGGCAAGTTCAGGCGCTCCAATCTCTCAGGGTAGCTGAGGTGCCGAAGTGCAGGCACCAGTCTGGTGGCCCTCCTTTGAACATTTTCAACCAACTGACAGACCCTAGCATATCTCGGGGACCAGAAGGGGTGACAGTACTCCAGATGGGGAAGCACTTCACTCCTGAAGATCTAGATATCTGAACGACCTTCTTATGAGACCCAATAATTTATTTGCCTGATTTACCTTCTTCTCGCAATGGCCCGAGAACTTCAGCTCATTGTCAACATACACACCTAGGTCCTTCTGTCCTGTACAGCTATATATATATAATCAACAACCTCACCAGACAGGACTCGAACCCTCGACCTTATGCGTGTGACCAGGGATTGCTACCACAGTGCCACAAGGGCACAAAAGCAATCCTAGACTTTATATATTTCACACAAAACCTGTTCATCATGCTTATGGCGCCGTGAACCTCCAATTGGGGATTGCCCGTGCCACTTATGTGGTCGGAGTAGCATTTTACCGAATCCAACTTTGAAACACAAGGTTCCATATATATTTCGTTAGTCCATGTAGCACGCGGACTAAAGAAATATATATATATATATATATATATATATATATATATATATATATATATATATATATATATATATATATATATATATATATATATATATATATATTAACATATATGTTTCTTTGGTGCCAACAGGTGAGGCGGAGAGGTGTGAGGAGGAGGATGGGTGGTGCTGGGTGGAGACGGAGGAGGACAACACACTCCTCACTAACAAATATAACTCTTACCAAGTGAACCATCAAGTTGCCGAAGATGACGACGTCCAGGAGCTAAACCCAGACGGTGAAGATAACTCCCCCCAACACATACACGAACAACAACAAGAAACAACACTGAGTTATACAGACACAACCAAGCAGGACACAGCGTCTCCCCAGGGTGTGGCCGACAAGAACCAGTGTGAGTTGACGATGACTGCAGAAGACACTTGTGCTCCGGCCTCTTGGCCATCTTATGAAGAAGACTTGGATGAGGACGAGGACCAGATGATGACCTACAGCGACCCTGACAATATTCTGGATATTTACCTTGATGTAAGTTTTATTATTCTCAAACTGTGTGTGTATGTGTCTACAGTATGCCTGTGTGTATGTGTCTACAGTATGCCTGTGTGTGTATACTGTATGTGTGTGTATACTGTATGCATGTGTAGTATACTGACTGTGTGTGTATACTGTACTGTGTGTGTACTACAGTTAACTTGCATGTCTTTGTGTCAACAGAATCGAGCCAACACGAGGGTGAAGTTCGACTTGTTGGGTAACCGCGCCCGCCACAAGTACTCTAAGGCCAATTTTAAGGAAAACTGGAAAGTAACCCCCATCTACCCTTACTGAGGTGTGTCCCTGCTAGTGCCTCTCACACCTCTATACTAAAGTTACATCGTGTGACGTGGCGGGAATCTTTAGAATGATCAATTGGTTAATATACGTCACATCATTCACTGTAAACAATGCTCATTAGAAGTGCCTAATAAATGGCTCATGCAAGTCACACCTATTAATATCATTCTTAAATAAACCTATTACAATCTAGTAGGTTCAGTGAGGGTGTACAGTTGGGGTCATTTACTACAAGTACACTCAGCGATGTCAGTAATATCCCTCCAGTGACATGACACAGATCATATCCCTCTTCCAAGAATTTACCAACCGTATTGAAAAACTCTTCGCTACACTCTGTACCACCATCTCCCACCTACTCCTGCCACCCAGTCACTCCTCTCTTCTGGTTTGACACAAGCTGGTAGTCCTCCTGTGAGCCCCCCCCCCCTGCTCACGGCCTACTCCACCGCCGGCGGCCTTCACTACTGGTGTAGTGCCTACCGGGCCTGCCCTGGTGTGTCCTGCTGCCCCCGAGCGAAGTCCTGCCTCATCTTCACGACATGTGGTGCCTCAATCTGTCCTCCACCCACCACAAGCCGCGCCCGCTACTGTGTCTGTGCTGTCTCCACCAGGGCTACCTATTGGACCTGAGGACGCCACTCCCGGCTACCTGTACCCCACCGACATGTCGACGCACACGTCATCACAATCACACTAAAAGTTATGTCCCTCAATATTGTCAATGCCTATGAGCCTCCCTCCACCCCTACTGTACCTGCCCCACCACACCATATCACCTCCACCACCCCCACTGTACTTCGCCTCGCCTAGTACATTGGCAACCCTGAGCCTGGTCGCACTGTTTATAATCTTTGTGGCCAACCCGACTCTCACACCCTCCCTCACTACATCCTCACTTGCCTTATGACCTCCTCCTATAGGTCCCCAGCCGTTACCACCACCTCTTCCCTCTCTGACCAGATATCCCTCCTCCTAGTGACAGGCCTGGCACTTGACATTATTAAGGACCTGCCATAATTTGCCATAAACAGATAAATTGTACCGGGAATTTTCCCCCCACACACTCATCATTCTGTCACTTTATGTTACTTGCTGACAAAATCCATGACTCTTCATACTTTTACGCCCTTAATGCAGGAGTCATAAAGGCAAGCATGAACTCCGCATGCTTCCCAGGTGGGCACTGTAAACGCTTCTGCGCTTCACCTTGCACAGGATGTAAGGGGGTGCCCAATAAACTAGCCACCTCCGGGGCAATCTAAAAAAAAATCTTCGTCCTCTCCGTGAGGTGTGTGAACCCCGAGAGTATCGACTCGTGAATCCTCGAGTGAGGGGGAGAAGGTGGGCGGGTGATGGCGGCGTTCGGTGTTGGGTGGTATTCCCAGCTTGTGCTACACGTCTGAGCGATTCAATACATATTTATTGTGGGTTTTTTTTATGCAACTCGCGTAATCTAAGGGTGATAGAGGGTGGGCTAGTCACAATATGGTGACCTTTTATGACGGGGTGACTTTCATGATCATATAAATAACGGATGTATTTGATTCTATTTACATAGGCCTCAAAATATTAATAAAATGTAATTTGCAATAAAACATACCCAGGAAGATGGCAAACTACCTTATTATAAACATTAATGTGTGAACGACTCTTAAAACACTATTACAACCTGTCTACAATGCTCTTCAGGTCAACTTTGAGTCAGACTTGTGTCATGACGAAATGTACCATTGTGTGAGTAGTAATGTTATTTATAAGGACATGTACCATTGTGTGAGTAGTAATGTTATTTATAAGAATATTTTGTATGCTACAACAATATAATATACGAAATTAATGGTATAAATATGTAAGTAATGAACCGATGAAGCTTCTCCCGTCCCGTCGTGTAAGTAATGTTTGGTCAAGGTCAATATAGACCTTGTAAACAGGGGGTAAAGTCGGTGAATTGTGGCTGATCACATGGACTTTGTGGCACCACAACACTTGACCCACACCACACCATAAAGCCGAGCTCTTTACCAACGTATCTTACATTTTTCTTGACGATAAATAAACTGTTAGATTCACACTGTGTAACCACCCAGGTTATTGGGTCAGCCTTACACCGTCCACGGCTGGTCCTTCGTGATATACACTAATATAATCTTTTTCTTTTCTATTTTCTTTTACTCCCATTTTATCGCCCCCTAAGCCCCGTTGTGGGTCGATGACCTGTGCCCGGGTGGGCTATTACCCGTAAAAAAAAATACACTCGAGAGTTGTAAACTCTTGGAACAATCTACCAGAGAGTGTTGTGACGGCACCGAGTGTGAGCTCTTTCAAGACAAGACTTGAACACTGGAGCGGGTTCAGGTACAGTCAGGAGCCGGTGCATGCCCAGTACTTGCCAACAGTGCGTGACAGAGACGTGACCGATCGCCCAGGCAGCTAGCGGGCCGATCTTTTGGTGAAGAAGATAAAACTATAACATTATATGAATGGATCGTGAAGCCATCAACCCAAAGACTGATGTCATCACTACTCGTGTAATGTATGTGCCGGGTCTGTGGCTGGTCCAGGACATAGCTAGGGCTGGGGTAAAGTCCCTACTTAGACCCGAGGTGCAATTAATGTCAGATTGTTTTATACAATACAAGTATTACTAACATAAGCAATGTCTGCCTTTTATTCAAGGAATAATTAACACTTGCTCATTTACAGTCGTTGCCTCGCACAGTCCCTCACACCATACAGATGTAATTTAGTATTATTCAACATAACACCCATGAAGGTTACTACATACACACAAAGTTCGCTTTAAAGGTAGTTGCGCCTTGCTTAAACATGCTAGCAATTGCCGATGTTTGCGGGACAATAGCCCAGTATAGTTTAAATAGGTTAACACTTCAACAATTTCCGGACATTTTTTTACAAGTGGACAACCATGGATTTTTGGTTAAGCAATGTGTCTTTCCGATGGGTTACACAAGGACACTTTTCTAATAAGATCGGTTTCCCTCGCAAATGACTTAAATATACCAGAGGATCCAGGGGGCTATTTAATATTCCCGATATATTAACGAGACAAGTAACCCCCTCAATGGTTAGTATCCCTATTAGTGGAACAAACAGTTAGTGGAATGCGTTCATGTTTTCCACAGTTGTTCTTTGGTTAATATTAACTAATAAAATCGACACGATAATTTTTTAATTAATTTTTAAGTTTTGTTCATCTATCAACGATCATAAAATACTTGTAGTGGACGTGACATGGAAGAGGGAAATTGCGGGGTAAAACGGCGAGAAACTTAACAAATGGTAAAATTTAATGTATCTCCGAAGAAATTAATTACAGTGGTCCTATAGAAAACAAATACATTTCCAAACCGATCAGTGGTGAAGAGGATAAAGGTATAGCTGTAGAGAAAGTGTTTTTTGCTTGACTGCATACTTGCCTGTTAGTGTGACAGACTGACAGCTGGTGTTCAGTGTTCACCTCTAGGAGGGTAATCATTTGTGGGCGTGTGACGGCTAATGTTCACTTTCGCTGACGTTATAATGTAGTACTGTGCTTCAACAACTAATGTCTTTAAACGTGTAACAAGGTTAGTAACACACTAGTCCATCAACACTAAAAAACAATGAGAAATAGAACTGTCAGGTGTTTGTCCGTCTCTCTGCAACCAAGGTCAGGGATAACTCACATTTCCAATACTTTAATAATATACATATAAGTTTTTATTATCGTATACATAAAAAAAATAATTTAAACACTTGACCGAGGGAGACGTATTGTAAAGTACCTCTAAAACACCACAGCCCTTAATGCCCAACAGCCGTCAGATACAACAGTCATGAAATTAATAAAACATATTTTTTCTTGTAATCTATAGTAGTAGTTGAAATATATATGGTTTTATTAGTTTTCTCAGATAAAATTGCACAACTGATCCTGGTGAGGAAGATATTTCAGTTTAGTTTCATCAGAGAAATTCACCTGAACAGAAAACGGGGAGGTAAACAAGGAAGGAGGCCCAGCGTTCAGGTAATATATTAATAATTGATGGTTATGGTCATGTAGTAAACAATATAGTGGAAACAATTGATATATGAATGATTTAAGACTGTGGTATATTTCTTACCAACAGTTTCAGTCCCTACTTGTAATAGCCTGAGTCCCTTCATGGTGCTGCCTCCTACCTCAACAATATTACATAGTTCCTTTTCCCCGTGTGATTTTATCAAGAAATATTACATAGATATAGGAAAAAAATTAGATACAGTTGTCAAATTGGGAATAAAGGGGCAAAATTTCACTGGGTTAAGGGGAAGGGGCAGGTCAACCTAATCTAACCCAATGAAAATAAATCTTTATCTGATGGTCCACTCATGAAATCTAACCTTACCCAGTGACAGGGGTCCGACTAATTACCCAAATGTAGCCGGAATGAAGTCCAATAATGGTCCTAGATGAATAAATCGGACTGCCAATCACTTCTCGACTAGTATTTGGTGTCAGAAAGTCACAAAAAATTGGAAAACTTACTTTAATCTGAGTTAATAGATCGCGTGCATGTACCGACGGAGCGAGTAATTACCCAAATGTAGCCGCAATTAAGTCAAATGATGGTCGTACAAGCGTTATTCGGGCTGTGAACCACTAAGACTAAGAGTTACCCAGTAATGTGCGTACAGTATGTGAACATTTGTGAGTTGTTGTTTTATTCATAATATAAGAGTCATATAAATATTCTTTACTCCACAGCCAGCTTGAATGACTGTGATAGTAAGTAGAGTATTTATTTATTTATTATTTATTGTACAATATCTGTTTCTTACAATACTGTAATATGATGTACAGTGTTAACAGGTATTTGTTTAATGCATTATTACTGTAGTGAACTGGTGTTGGTAAGTGTTACAAACAGTTGGATTGTTATGTATTTGTTCTAAAGCATATTGAGGCTTAATGGCCAATGACCATGAAATAAAGGTATGGTACAGTCACCCAAAAAAGTCTTGTCGCCTCTCATCCTGAACCACAAACCCCGAGATTCAGACTCATGAACCAGAAGCAGTAGACACTGATAATTTATTCTGTCCATAAATGCTTCGGATTCAAGAGTCTGAATCTCGGGGTTCATAGTTCAGGGTGAAAGGCGACAGGACTTTTTTGGGTGACTGTACAGTACTGTACTGTATTGTTCAGTTTCCTGGAATCATTACCGTACCACTAAAGTGTGTAAATAATACCAAGGTTTTTGAGGAAGTAGATTATGGTGAAATTTCAGGAAAACAAATTGATAAATAAAATGCTGGTGGGAATATATCCAGAAAATTAAAATTAGAAATGCTTTTATTAACTTGATGATTTGGTTGGCTGATGACCTAAAGTCTGATGGTTGTGTCACATCACAGGGCTGCTTATTTAAGGGTTCTGTGTACTGTACTCACTTAACCCTGTATAATATCAGCCAAGGTTGGTGTAGTAATACTTTACGATATATCAGCCCTTCTCTCTCCTCTCAAATGAAGGACACTTGGAACAACAGTTGCCCTCTAGAGACCTTGTTTGAGTGGAGTCATCCCAGTCAACACAGAACACCCAAACACTACAGTGTGCTAGTCCCTTCATACACTAAAACCATTCCTGGCTGATGATCTGAGAGGATAGTTGTTGTAGCCTGAATCATCACAACTCGGAATACAGTATATTTTACAAAAGCTAATTATTGAGCCCCTCTGGACACTTCAGGGTCTGTTAGCTAAAGTCACCACAGCATTGTAGTATGTGTGATCATATAAAGTAAGATGAATATTAGGTTGTGATACAATGACTGGAGAGGATCACCACCAAGATCACACACACAAACACTAATAAGAGAGAGAGAGAGAGAGAGAGAGAGGGAGGGGTGGTTAAAAAAGTGTTTCAAAAGATGGTGATCTTACATGTTAAGGACAACATTATCATTTATCACATTAATCGTTCAAGACATAAAACAGGACAAAAGTTATTATAAACAATTAAATCTTTCATTTCTTTACTATTGCGAGTTAAGAGTTAGTACAGTACTCATACTTCACACTGCTCTTACCTTCACACTTCTTACAATATAACTTCTATAATTTGGAATAATAGGGACTCTTGGCTCTTCCCTTGTAAAAATAAAACAAATTATGGTCAGCTAAGGAAGGTATAGAGGACATATCCAGGTTCTGTTGTATTTTATCTATTGTTTTTGTACAGTGTATTAGTGTTATGTAGTTCAGTCAATACAGTATGTTGGTTAGGTTAGATAATACAGTAGTTTACTTCCCATATGCTCTATGTACTCCTTCATCATGGTACAGTACAGTATTTAGTGCTCTATGTAATAAAAGATAATATGTTTGTTATTTTAAACCCTCTGTACATTATTCATAGAGCTTCCAGGTTCCACAAACCCCCCCCCCCCCAAATATATTCAAGGTCAATCGTCCATTCTTATGTGCAGTTGATAAAGGTCTCCTTGATATGATTCAGGACATGCTTTCAAATTTTCAGGTGTAATGGTGCGACAAGACGAGCCCAGGATGGGTCAGGGTGGTTTGTGTGGAGTGACCACACCTGGTGTAGATTCATTGACTCCTATATTACCTGCTACTTCTCTCACAAGCACCTCAAATGGCACTGCCTCTGAAGTACAGGTGAGCCCAGCAGTTACATGACCTCTCATTAGTAGGAACACCGGCTAATACTATGTAAAAATAAACTGGTTCGTGTACAAAAGCACAGGTTAGATTTTTTATATGCCATAATTGTATTACATGTTGCCCTTATATTGAGAACAGAGTGATAGCTGGGGGAGATAGACTGAATATTGTGTTAACTGGGGACATTGGCTTAAATTCTCAACAGGGATAAATTTAAGTGCGGCTACCTCTTCGAATATGCAGACTTTGCCAGTTTGGAATGCAATCTTGTTTCTTCAGTAAGATTATGGTCCATCAGTAATGCAGTTGGCTTTATCACAACAGCTATCAGAACATACAACCATGATATACAGTACTGTACCTACATTATTGTACACTTTATTGTGCACTTCTCAGGTAAATTAATTTGTTTTGAAGCGTCATACAATACTGGTGTACACTCTAGGGCTAAACTAGTGGACAGCTACACTAGTGACCTCCAGCAATGAGGATAATCATAAGTTAAAACAATGATATGATGTAAAGAAAAAGTTTAATAACTTTAAAAATCTAAATTGTAATAGAATGCTTTAAAACTCACATGCAGTTAAGTACCCCTATTTAGTTAAACATTTCTTCATCGCCAAAGGTCACTAGTGTAGGTTCCATGTGGCTGTCGATGACTTTAGTCCTGGAGTGAACTGTACGGCACTATAATATAAGGATAATGAAATTTGATCAAGTGAATATAAAGTTGTTTTTTTTTCAATTGTTTTAGGAATCGTTATCAAGTCTGATGTCAGCTGAAGGAACTGTGAACCAGGAGGACCTTATTTCTAAGTTTCGTGCAGTCATCAATGAGAACCTGGAGCTGAAAGGTTGGAACAACGGTCATGTAGTCAACTGCACTGTACTCTCATTATATACAGTGCAGTATTGTAAAGACTGGGTGGACTGTGGTTCTGTAGGTCACTATTACATGCATCTGAATAAAATCATCTGGCATAAGTCAAATAGAATACTAAAAATGGCATCCCAGTAGTGAAGGGGTTAGCTTTTGTTTTCATTTTTTGTACCTGTAGTTTGCTTTTCATCTTCTTGGTTAGAGATGATCTTTCTCTTCTGTAATAGTTAATACCTGTATACAGTATGTTAGAAAATGACCTGCCTGTCTCTCTGTCTGTCTGTCTTTCTTTCTTGAGGATCCAAAAGAATCTCTCTGCTGGGAGAAGTCTTGAATAATGATGTCTGAAATATTCTTAATAGTGACTCTAGAGTGTCCAGGTTTAAATCTTTACACTCAACCTCCACAGAAACAGTGACACAAAACAACCTCGCTCTCCGGCAACAATTAGGACTTGTGGTGAAGTGGAGGCAGCAGAACGAATTACATCAACAGCAACAACGGCAGCGCATCAATGAGTTCTCTCAGCAACTGTCATCACTCCAGCAAGAAAATGCCTCTCTTAGATCTCAGCTTACTGGTTCTAAGGTAATTTTATTAAGAGATGACCAATGACTAAAACATATTACTGTATTGCTGTATGGTGTGTACTGTATTATGTCATCTAGCTACAGTAAAACATATTATTGCTGTATGGTGTGTACTGTATTATGTCATCTAGCTACAGTAATACAGTGTTCCCTCGGTTAATGAACAGAATTCGTTCCAGAAGGTCGTTCGTTAACCGAAAATTTCGTTAACTGAATCCATTGTTTCAATGGGATATTGGGTAATTGGTTCCAGCTCACTGAAAAGTACATACAAAGTAAAAACAAAATGCAGTAAAGTACACTTACTTTGAGGTGTGTATGTAGAAGGTTCTTGGTTGATGATGATGATGGGAATTAGAAGTGGGGTGGAGGAGAAGAGAAGGAATGGGGATGGAGGAGAAATTACCTTCCAGGGGACCCATGCTTGATGCCATCATTTCACCAATAAAATTTTAAGCTCACTAGGTGTAATTCAAGATTATTTTCTTTATATCAACACTGCACTGCACTATATATTGTCAATCTGTTAAATAAATTTCAGAATGACCAATTATTGTGCTGTAAAAATTTAAAAATACTCTGTGTTCAAGAGACCCACAAGCAAAATGTTTCCTCCACTGAACAGACACAAACTGACGCCTTGGTGGGTGAGTGAAGTGGCTGATGGGCGTACCAAAAACTAGTTCCCTGTACTGCAGTTATGTTAAATAAGTGGACAATTATTGAATAGCACAACCTTCTTGATATTTACTCCAATGGAAATGAATGTAAGCCCTAGAACCGATTACTGTATGGCGGACTAATCTGCCAGCCAATGAGCAAGCCAAAACATGTTGACATGTTTTCGTAAGAATTTCGTTAATCGAATTTTTGTTCGTTAACCGAATTGAAGATTCTTATGGAAGGTAATACGTTAACCAAGGCGTTCGTTAACCGAGGGACCACTGTACATATTGTTGTGTGGTGTGTACTGTATTATATCATCTAACTACAGTAATACGTAATTATTGTTGTTGAATATTTTGTATCATGTTATCTACCAGAGGTTTATTTGACTTTTCCATGGTTGTATTTCTGAGTGTTGGAGAGAATGATTGGACTGGTAGGTAGGGATGGGCCTGGGATCCTTCAGGGAGAGTGAACCTGATGAAAGGAGCTCATCTGCTCCACTCAAACACACCTGTCCCCTGCTACCACACCTGCACCATCCTAGTACACCTGTCCCCTATTACCACACCTGTCCCTGCTAGCACACCTGTCCCCTGCTAGCACACCTGTCCCATACCAGCACACCTGCACCCTCCTAGCACACCTGCACCCTCCTAGCACACCTGCACCCTCCAAGGACAAAATAATATCCTAGATCGGAATAAAATCAAAGACATGAATTAATGTGATATCTTAGTGAGTGGAAGTGTTATTTATGTTCAGAAAGGAAAGATGTCAACAATTTATCTGTACAGTACATCAAGGTACAAGTTTATATAGTGACACGATGCATCTTATGTGTTTCAGTCTTCAGAGGAATCTCAGCCACGTTTCCGAGAACTGGATGAAACTATAAAGTTGTTGAACACGCGTTTGGAGGTTGCCGAGAGGAACCTGCGTCAAATACAAGAGGAAAAGGAGAAGCTGATGGCACAGAGGTCCAGGCTAGAGGGAGACATTACACTTCTTAAGGTGGGATAATCATGTGCCTCTGTGTCATCTCCCTGAGAGGTTTAGTAGATGACTTTTAAAGAGTCTTGTTAGGTTAGTCCTGGGTGAAGGTACTAGTGTGGGTTGTGTGTGTAGAATTTTAATTGAATTCATGAGGTTATTTTAAATATTATGATAAATATATCACTTCCCAAGAAACCTTTTGTGGACTGCTCAGCTGGGAAAAATCTTATGTATTTTCATCAATTTATTTTGAAAGTTTCCTTCCTTTTTATCCTTTAAAATTATTTAATTCATGCAGTGTGATGTGACAACAACTCGTAGTGAGCAGGAGCGGTTGCAGCTAGAGAGATTTGAACTTTTAAGCACAGCCAGTGAACTCCGACAGCAGCTGCGTCAGGTCAGAGAAGGTGCTGCTGCCCAAGCTCGCTCTCTTGAAGCCAGTCCTGTTTATGGTTTGTATTTGATGTATAATTTTTACACGTATAACTACAGTATTTCAAACCAAATATAATCCTTGCTAGGGGAATATATTTTTCAGTTTATCTCACAAGACTGTCCAGTTACATAAGCTCTAGTGTGCCTGTACAGTATGTGGTCTGTACTCTACAGGGTACTGTACAGTACTTTAATTGGGGTCATCGCATATTAGGAACTGCACACTGTTGTTGCTTGATCCATTGTCATTTTATATTTTTAAGATGTCAATGAAAGCCTTCACCTGACACATTGCAGCTTAAGAATATTGGTCTTGTTGTATTATTATTATTAAAGAACAGCCATAATTTGTTGGTCTTGAACATATTCCATTTATAAATATTATTGCAGAGGGCGGACTCCCTACTGAAGCAGCAGTTCAGAAGTTACGTGATCAGCTAAGAAAAGAGCAAGACACGTCTGCTACACTCTTACAGGAGTTGCACGACACACGCACACAGGTACCATCACCATCCTTAACCAATCAGTCGGTGATGATTTGTCATGAATAGTTTGTGTGGAATGACCTAGGATACTATCTCATATAACAGTGCCATCTGATCATACCTCAGAGTATAGCAGCAGTACAGTATTACTAACATAGTGATCTTTCCTGCCATATCTGACGACTTCAGTTTCAGAAGAAATGTGTTTCAATTTACATGAATTTACTAAGGGGTGAATGCTGTGCCTGGTACACATAGTAAGCAACTGGGAGCACCTTTTTACCTCCATGAAACCTGATAACCTGGTTACTCTAATACTGTATAATGTACCTCTGTAGGTTAACATTCATAAATGAACAGATGAGAGTGTGTAAGGTAACAAAGATGTTAACACTAGGATTTATCAGAAAGTTTTGAAGATATTAAAATCTAAAACAATGCAGATAAACTATATATGAATATTCACTTTCCTGTCTCATTGCTCAGGTTGAAGGTTTAGAGTCAGAGGTCCAGAGAGCTCAAGAGGAAGCCGCTCTTCACCGTGAACGCTTCCGCACCTTGCAGGCCAAGGCTGACGCAGTGCTCACCCAGGCTGCACCATCGAGCCGTGCACCTGATGCCCTTATGAAGGTAAAAGTATTTCCAGGGAAGAGGTCTGTCTTGGTATGTCATTTCCTTTTTACAGGAACCTTTCGATTTACATAATACGTACAGTAATTACACTCTTGAAAATGATCGTGTAAATCAAACAACGTTAATAATGGAGATTAAGGGGTTTTGTTTATTAATAAGACTGTACCCAATATTTTATCAAAGAAAATTTACAGTATACATTAAGTCCTCATTTATCGTTGTACCAGACAACGTTGTTTCATTATAACGTCGCTTCTCTTTAGATAAGCATGATTCTGCCAACGTCCCGACCGATTCATTATAATGTTGTCACCCAACACGGACAACTTTGTATGGCGCATCACCCTCTCTCATCTTGGTGCACTACGCTCTCTGGCGGAGCGTCCCCAGTCTTTGTTAGGCTTCCGCAGTGTACATGCGTGCTTAAGTGTTTTTGCTATAAATACTGTACTGTACAGTATTGTAACCATTTGAAATGGCTTCCAAGCACCCACCAAGTGTTAGTGATGCAAGTGTTGTGAAGAAGCAATGCAAGATCATTAGCCTCGCTACGAAAATGGAGGGGGAACCCCAGTCAGAGTGAGAAGGGGAGCCTCCCTCCAGGTCTCAGTGACTCTCCACCCTCCTCTCCATTACCCACCACACACTCGCTCCACCTCTGACCATCAGTGAGTACAATACAAAATAATTTAGTTTATTTATCTTTTTGGATGTATAATATATATTTTCTATAAAAATTCCATTGAATTTATGTACTGTATATATAATGTATTTTATGGGGCAAAGGGAGGCTGGGAATACAACTAACGTATTTTATCTATTTCTTATGGGGAAAATTGATTCCGTTAACGTGGTGTTTTTTTTAAGGACTTGACCACGACAAGATGCGAGGACTTACTGTACACGTACCAGGAAATATAAAATACTCCGGGCTGTTGTTTCTTAGCACCACAGGTGCCAGGAGAACTTAATGGATGCTTTGGTGGCATGATCCAAGGAGCAAAACACATACAATATACTGTACAGTATGGTAAACTGTACTGCAGCACAAAATACTGAAGCACTCTGTGACTATACTGTATCCATACATTGAGAACTGCAAGGCAGGAAGCTGCACACTCACGCCACTCATGCTTCTCATACGGCGCTGGCAACGAAATACTGTTTAGCTGCCTGCCCGGTGGTTATGTTTGTTGAGGGTTGCATTATTCCAATCATAAGCCCACATAAATTAAAAAGGTGTAATTGGACCGCGTGCCTTAATTTAAAAATGGCATAAAGCAAACACATGTAAATCGAGAGGAACCTGTACTAAAAAATTCAGTGGGTCTTTTTTTGCTCGTAGTGCCAGAATACTTCAATACTGTACTTTACTGCAGATTTATTTTAAATTTTTGCTTCCAAGTCATCCAGTTGTATGTAATATCAATTACAGGATCCAGTGGACGCCTTAGAGAAAAAACGACTTCGAGATGAAGCAGCCATGCTCCGTGAAGAAGTAAGAGAAACCAAGTGCTTGAGCAAGCTTTTGTTTTGTAATGAAATAATTTTGGGGGTATAGTGCCAAAGATGTGAATGAAGAACAAAATTGTCATTACCACTGAGTCAGATGGTCAAAAGTCAAGGTTGTTTGCTATTTATTGGAAGAATTGTCTTCTGCAAATTTCACAGTAATATTGAAAATAATTTTTGCATTGTACAGTCAAAAGGGTTGCAGGTAAACTGTAGATGCCAAAGATGTAAACATTTACTTGTTATGTTATTAAGGTGGACACCCTTGAAGCTGCCCTGGAAGCTGAGAGACAAAAGAATAGTGATGAGAGGACAGCTGTCTCCAGAGCTCACACTGAAATAAATCGACTCAAGAAAGAACTGCAGGAGGTGAAAGATCGCTCTGAAAGGGACACACACAATGACCAATATTATCAGGTGAAGGTTAGTACAGTCCCAAGGTTTACAATTTGTATCCTTTAGTGATACATACAGTACTTGTAGCTGTTACTTATTATTGCATGTAATTACTTTTTATGAGGTGTTTCATGTTACTTGGTCACCTCAATCAAAATAAAAGAATATCAAGTCACTGGTAAAATGGTTGAAAGTATTAAAATTTTGCATTTTTCAGATAAAGTCTATTAGTGAGAAGTATGATGAAACAACAGCCAAACTCATGTCTTATGAGGAGTTGTTAGCTGCCAAGAATGATGAACTGTCCAAAATTAAGAAAGATCTTGGTCAGGCAAAGGCCACTCTGACAGAACGCACAAGTGAGGGGGAGATAAATGCGATACTCAGAGCTCAGGTTGGTGAAATTTAAAGGTTTCATTTATTTATTTTTTTCTTATTGACATCTTCTCAGTGGCTGGGTGCATGCATGTGTTTTTGATCAAGTTACTTGCTGACAAACTTACTAGAGATAAACACACATACAATATATGATATCTTGTGTCAGTAATGATATGGAAAAGAATAATTCTCCATTTTTTATCACTTCTTAAGAGATAAATACAAGAAAGATGAAAAGTACATTGGACATCAAGTACCTGTAAACCTTAGCTCAGCATAAATTAAATTTGGGTATTAAATCATCCATCATATATGTGCAAATCTGGTGAACCTAGACATAAAGAAGGGCAGCCTGTAGTGATGGTGGTAGATCATCTCTTATATCAACAACTTATTTCCAGGTGGAAGTCTACCAAGGAGACTTCAGAGCAGAACGTGAAGCAAGAGAAGCTCTAGCTACTGACAGAGAGAAACTGAGAGATGAATTACGTCACCTCCAGACTCGAAACACACAGCTCATAGACGAACTGGAGGCTTACCAGCGAAGACATCTTAATCAAGGGTTTGTAGTAGATTATGATTTCTTTGTTCTTGATATTATTTTTTTATTTACAAATGTTAAAGTATTTTAATGAACATTGTGATTAAAATCTTAAATGTTTTAATTTTGAATCTGTTTAAAAGATTATATTGTATTAGGCTCCAGAAGCACTGCCTTTACTACATCACAAACTCATATAATTTATCATGACCTCCATAACATCACATCACCACACAAGCATAACTACTACAGTTTATCTCATGAATCATCCATCTTCTAATTCACCTCCACTGTTTTAGAATCCCTCACTTGGATACAATATTTGACTGACTATTTATTCTCGTTTCATATGTACAGTACCCTACATGTTTGTTACCCTCACATAAATGAAGTAGGTCCAGGTCCCCCTCCCAAGAATAGTGTACCAGCCTTTCTCTACTTAGATGCAGGGTGATCAGACAGGTGTTGATCATATCCATAACATTAATGGGTTACACCAGCCCCATAGCAGGGCGGTAGTCCGGTACTTTTATTAGTCTTGGTTCCCCTTTCCCTTACTGTGGGTGACTGTTTCAACAGGGAGGTACACTAACTATAAGATGAAATCCAGCCATCAGCATCAGGGGTACTCGGGTCCTGATTCCCTAGACATATTGAGTACTTTCTGTGAGTCACTCCAGGCCCACTCATAATTTGAAATTTCAGGACTTCTTCTTTCTTGGTAAAATTCACACAATAAAAAATTCCACTTTGTAATATTCCAGTCAAGGACGAGGTTCCAGAGCTGCTTCAGAAGAGCCGGCAGCAGCAGCAGCAGGGGCTACCTCTGGTGGAGCTTATCTTGCACTTACTCCAGAGGCATTGTGGGAAAAACTTTCCAACTCATCTGACAAAAAGGTCTTAAATTGTGTCTTTATGTGGGGTAGGCATATTTGTGTTGGCGTGCTCCACTCTTTATTCTAAGTACAGACACTCTCCGGTTTACAAAAAGATTCCATACAATAAACACATAATCTAACTTTGAGGAGTAGTCAGTCACATCTCAAGATGTTGGAAACACTCAAATAGTACAATAAACCCTCCCAGCTCTGTAAAGTTATGAATTTGTTTAGCTAAAGATAGTAAACTCATAGAAATATACCGGTACATACATACAGTAGTCCCTCGCCAACTGCAGGGGTTAGGCTCCTGGAAAACCCCGTGGTTGGTAAATCCACATTTGGTAAGACTAATGGGAAATACGAGGTTAGGTTCCATGGCTGCCGATAACTCTTGCTAAAGCCCAACTAAGTTGCCTGTTCTTTTGCAAAACAATACCTGCATTGTACATTTCATTAATTTTGTCTCAAATACATATAAAATCATGGTAGAGTAATATAAATTAAATAGTAATATAAATTTTACAGTAAATGGGGTATTTACCTTCATTGAGGACCATGGTGGATGAGGATGATGTGGAGGGAGAGGTGGTTGTTATAAGGAAGGGGCGGGGGGGGACACAGGCCCACTCTCTTTTGCAATTTTTCCATGTGCCATCAGCAACACTTTTTTTTTTCTTTACCGGTATTAGCCCACCCGGACACAGGTCACCGACCCACATCAGGGCCCGGGGGGCGAAAACGTATGTATCAAGGATTTGTTTTCTCACTGATGCCACGCGCTAGTCTATCGAGCACTTCAACCTTCTTTTCTAGTCATTGTGTTCCTTACCCTCTTCTCACCTTTATCAGGGGCCATAGTTAAAGGCAAAATCTATGTTATTACTGGAGAAAATACTTAATAAATATTCAGTGTACTGAGCAGTAAAATATGTCTGCTCGTTACGAGAACACAACACTGAGAGAGCGTGGCGGGAAGCTGCGTGGATGAATACATCGCAACACAGACGGAAAATGATGCCGTGCTAAACCGTGGACACTAAAATATTCAATGCCGTGGTTGGTGAAATAGTGTACAGAGTAAAAACCATGGATACCCAAAATCTGCAGTTGGTGAAGGACTACTGTACAGTCTTAAAAATTGATACATTGCCGAACGGCAATTCATGTTTGCTTGTACAGCACTGTACTGTAGTGAGAAGTTTTATATTATTTACACATAATATAGCCCATACAGTACTTAAAAATATATTGGCATTTCTTGTTGGTATCAATCAGCGTCTGTGCGAGAATCATCTTCATTTTCCTCCGCTACACAAAATAGTCTCGGGCTAAGACCTTATTTATTTTTTCACAGGAAGAAGAGAAGAAGGAGGAGGAGTTGGATGAAAACCTCTTCTATTGCCCTAAGTGCAATAAATCCTTCACTCAGTACCGTCCTCTAGAAGAACACGTAAATCGATGTCTGGATGAGGATTAGGCCACTTTAGACTTTCATTTGTGTTTTAAGGAATGAGCTTAGAATATTATTTCATTCAAATGCACACAGTACTGTAATTACTTATGATTAAACCCTTCACAGCATCATTTGGGACCTATATCTTTACTCTGACACAGCACACAGTACTCTCCTTACTTTCTGAGGGTGTGGTAGGTACATTTTCTTTATACATATATGTATGGGAATGCTAATCAGACAGATGGTCCAGCATAACATCCATAATGGTAATAATAAGCCACACACCGGACTAACAATGTGATAATACACCAGTCAAATGGCTATAATAAAAATTGTAACGTAAGATTGAACAAAAATACTGCATGTACAGTACAGTATAGGTGTCCTTCATAACTTAATGAGGAAGCATTGAAAATAGATCAGTAACTTTTAAAATCATAAACTCGTACATTTAACTTCATAAGGGAAAAATTTATTAACTTTTGTTTTGACTGAAAAATCAAACCTTAATTTAAACCCAAACCCATTTTTTTCTCATACTCTATATTATGAATTTATAAATTATTGATATAAGAGTTAACATTACTGTGCAGTGTCCACAAAATATGACAGTTTAAGCTTTCCCAAGAAAACATGTTATCTGTCTATGTGGTGAAGGTAGCATCAACACTAGTGGCCCTTGGTGGGAAATTCAAGTGATCACTTAATGTTATCATCATCATCACCATCATAATAATCATAACCATTATCCACGCTGGATGCCCTTCCTATCCCCAACCCTCTTTTACAAGAGTGGGAACTGGGCATTATATGTAGGCTTCCAGTACCTCTTAGCTAACAAGGCAGATTACTACTCCTTGAGGTGATCTGTCTACTTTTTTCCTTAACTTTTAAAACAATGGAGCAATTAAAACTCCACTTACTTATGATTCACTTTCAAATTTGAGATACAGTAATTAAGGTACATAGGAGAGGTAGCACCACTTCCTTAAGGCTCTGTAGTAATAAAAAAAAAAAGAGTAGCTTTTCTTGAAGTTTACTTATGGTATGAAATGCTGCATTGGTATTAAAGACAAATAATTTGTTCTTTTATTGCAGCCACTGATACCAATTGGCTCAGCCAAGTGTCTGAAACATCACTTCTATTTTTCTCTTTGAAACTAACATTCGTTTTTTCTTCTGCTAATTTATTTTCATCATTGTGCTTTATTATTAACTTTCTCCTTGTACTGTACACACTCTTCAACTCATTCATTATCATTCACCAGATCTGTGCCCTCTGCAGACAGCAGTTGATGCCCCTTATTTACACATGTTTTTCCACCAGCACCAAGTGTAGAAAAACTTGTGCTTTACCTCTGGTGTTGTACTTAATGAACGTCAACCTTTCAGGTTTGTCATACTTGAATAACAATAGTTCCTAATAATTCAGCTCTCTGAATATAAGGTCACTGACCTATTTTGGGGCATTACAGGTCTTGTCTTGTCATGTTTTATGCCAAACTTTGGTTCTACTGTGCACTATTTTAGCATGCTAGACGTCATAGGTTTGATCATGTAATAAACACTAGTCACCTCTCTCATAACTTGACTACTGTGACCTGTTTTTGTTTTGTTTGTTTTTTTCAGAATATAAAGGATGCATTTTAGTGCTAGTTCTACATTAAGGCAACAAGCTAGCCTCCAGACTTTGTATTCACAATATTCTGAATAATGTCTACCAGTAATGATCAATATTCTCTGCAAGTATAGTCTATGACTTCCATGTTGGAAAATTTGGGTCACTGTGTTAAGTTTAAGGTCTGTCTTTTGTTGTGAAATAATACAATAAACTACTGTACACACTTTTTGTGCATAAACTTGTAAAATAATTTGGTGTTTAACATCTTCACTGATGACAGTCAAGGTTCTTACTCAGCCATCCTCCCCACTCTCTTTGTGATAAATTTTTCCACCACAAAGAAAACTAGAGCATGCTAGTTCTCCTCCGTAATACAGTGGTCCCTCGGTTATTCGTTCCAGAAGGTCATTTGTTAACCGAAACCGTTGTTTCAATGGGATTTTGGGTAATTGGTTCCAGCTCACCGAAAATTACAAAGTAAAAAAAAAATGCAGTAAAGTTCACTTACTTTGAGGTGTGTAGAAGGCTCCTGGTTGATGATGATGGGAATTAGAAGTGGGGATGGAAGAGAAATCACCCCAGGCTTGATGCCGTCATTTCACCCATAAAATTTTAAGTTCTCTAGGTGTAATTCAAGATTATTTTCTTTAAATCAACACTGCACTACACTATATATTGTCAATATGTTAAATAAATTTCAGAATGACCAATATAATTGTATTGTAAAAACAGTTTATGTTCAAGAGACTCGCAAGCAAGATGTTTCCTCCAATGAACAGAGATACAAACTAAGGCCTTGGTGGGTGAGTGAAGTGGCTGATGGGTGCACCAAAAACTAGTTCCCTGTACTGTATTTATGTTAAATAAGTTAAAATTACTATAAAACTTGGACAATTATTGAATAGTACAACCTTCTTGATATTTACTCCAATTTTAATGAATGTACAGTAAACCCTAGAACCATTTTCTGTATTAGCGGACTAATCTTCCAGCTGGTGAGCAAGCCAAAGCATGTCGAAACATTTTCGTAAGAATTTTGTTAACCGAATCGAATATTCTTATGGAAAGTAATTCGTTAACCGAGGGACCACTGTATTTGTATGCAGATCACCACCCTTACTCTGACCGGAAAATCCATGCGGTCCTACGGGTATCACTATGATGGTAATTACCCTATACTATTTTGCCTGATATCTCAGTCATCAACTTTGAGAAGATGATACATCAGCCAGTGGTAGAATTCTTTTAGTAATGTATAGTAAATGTAATTATGATGAACTGGTGGCAACAACTAGATATCACATAGACTACTGTATTGGCGGACTAGCCCATCAGCTGATGCTCACAACAAAGCATGTTTCTCGTAAGGCTGTCGTTAAATCGAAGTTGTGCTCATTAGTGGAACTGAAAATCCTTATGGGAACGAATTCATTAACCGAAATTTCGTTAATTGAGGGACCACTGTATTTCATTTGATTTGCATTTTCTCCAGTTGTAATTTAAATTTTAATAAATATTTTATTACAATTTGGAATGAATATTAGAATTGTACATACCATTTATCATTCAAAATAAATAAAACTTGTGCGGGCCAGCTAATGAATGCATGTCCCGTACGGCACATATTAATATCAAGAAATTTAGGACTGACTAGTGTTTATCAGTTTGTCTTTTGTCACCATGAAGTGTACAGTACAGTACAGTACATATAGTTAATGAAATTAGCAGTGAAAACACTACTGCGAGTATTGTACACCACACTCCCGTCACCACCACTACTAAGTGTCTTGACAGTCACATTGAGTTCACCAGTAACAAGTCATGGACACATCCAGTACAGGTGAGTAGACCATATTGGAACTGCCCGCTGTCCGCATACTAAATGTCGAGAATACAAATTTATTTATATATACCCTGTATATGGGTATATATACTGTATGTATATTATAAACAAAAAAATTATGATACAGGCCATCAAATTGAGGTATTTTGGCTTGAAAAGAGTGGAGTGTGATAGCCGAGACAGCACACTCATCTGCCAGACAGATGGGAACGCCCAGCAACACCAGCTGATGGATGGCTCGCTGAGTGCAGCTGTACTGTGAGCCAGCACGAAGCTGCTGTGATCATATGACTGAGGGAAAAAACACTTTTTTCCATAATGTTAAAACTTGGTGGCTAAAAAAAATTTTCAAATGGCATACTGCATAAAAACACTGAGGGTGTTAAGTCTACACTAAAGGTTACAGTACATTCAGTGTTCTCAGGTAGCTTGAGTCGGAAACCCCACACCACTTTGAAATTTTCCACCTTGCAATATAGACAATAGACCCATAATTTTGGCCAAACCCGACCCCCCCCCCCATTAGTCCTAATTAGAGGAAGTTTACTGTATCTTGAAAGATTACAAAAAAACCTCATTAATACTTTCCCCTACAGGTATATTCAGTTCATTGGAAAATCAACATTTAAAAGTACTGTATCTGGCCACAACACAGAAGTATCAGTGCCAAAATCCATGACTAAGAAAATGTTTCGCTAACTTAACTCGAGAAACCACATACAAGCCATTCACAGTAAGATCAATAAACAGTGCGGTATCTGGTATCACTCTCGTCAGCAATAAAGCAATGAAAAACCTATGATGACCTTGTTCAATAATAATATATGTTACAGTCAAGACATGATCTTGTGTCCCTTTGTTTCACCCCAACATGACCCATGTTGTACCACTTCCACCAACATATCAGATATCAACTCTACTGTAAAAATGTATATACACTGTACTTATAATAATAATAAAAAAAAAGATAATTGTGGTAACACTCTTATGTGTACTGTATTTATTAAAACCATGTTACATGTAGTAATCCAGATGATAAATGTACAGTATATATCAGGTGAAACTAAGAGCTCAGGCACTCAATTGGCTCAGCCATGTCAATATTGTTACTGTATTATTGTCCATTCTGTACTGTACAGTATCTCTATTTTTCTGGCTAAATGGATCATTTCAATATCATTCAACATATCAATGGTGTGTAAAGCAAAGATGAAAGCGTGTGCCAAATTTATGTAACTGTACAGCACTGTTCTTCTCAGTGATGACCAACCCCCTTTAATGAGATCAATATTAAGTCACAAAATACATAGATTATAATTTATTTATTAAAGTTACACTTTATACATATTTTGCCATTGGATTATAGTTCTATACATTTGTAGAACAACAATGAAAAAAGAAAAAACTAGGGTTTCTGAATGAATACTGTACTACCCAGTTAGAAGTTTGGTGGAACTTTGACCCCAGCCTGTTCTGCCAAGTAGATCATCTCACCTGTGGGGAAATAAACACAAATTAAGAAAAAAAAAAAAAAAAAGCACAAACAAGAGCAACTTGACTTTAACACAGTTCATCACAGATGTGGGCGGAGCTTCTGGACAACCACGTGGTAGCAGACATGGAGGACAAACAGTGCCATTTACCTATTACCCTCAGAATGGCTGGAATGGCATCTCATTCATTTGCCATTACTTTAACTGAAGATGATGTATCTGGGCAAAAATTTCTACACCCTGATGTTCCCCAACATACATAAGTAATAAATAATGGTTGCCCCTCGTGTACGAGGATGGCAAGCCCAGAGCCACCAAGTTGTGAATTTGTTTAAGGTGTAGTAGCTGTTACCAACACAACAACCACACCCTGAGTTAACAAGTTGCATGATCCAGTGTCAAGGAATAGTCCGAGAAGACCGGACAACTCGCCAACTGCACTGGCTAACCAATATCCTGAATCACAATCTGCAAATCCATTAACATCAAGGTTCCCAATTACTGCTGGGTAAACAGGCAAATGGGCATTAATAAGCTTGCCCATAATTTCACCCTCACCAGTGATCGAACCCGGGTCCTCTCGCTTGCGAGGTGAGCCAGTTGAAACTATGGCTGGAGTGTATTTGACTTCCAGTAAAAGGTAACAGAGCAGAACATGTAAAGAAGCAAGTCTTCTGATTCTACGCAGCTCTCTCACTAGTGGTGCAGAACATTCTTTACAGCAGTGGTTCTAACCCAACCCAGGGTTGTGACCCAAATTTATTAATACAGGTACGTATACAGTATTCAAGTAACCCAAATTTATTTTACCATTGTCTAATGAATTTTTTTTTCCAAGTGAAATTAAGACATGGGTCACCTAGATTATCATCACTGCCATAACAAAAGAAAAAAGTTATGAATTGCTGCTGTAGAGGATAAATTATGTTTTCTTCTTAACTTCCATTTCACTCACCCTTTTCAACCCAAAATAAACTATTGAAGTGATAATAATTATCTTTTAGTTCAAGCATAAGTCTTACTTTAAGGGTCAGTACTGCTAAGTGTCTTTTCCTGCCTTCCCTTATTATGAAACCACAACAACTTCAGTGTTTCCTTTTTTCATCTGTAGTCTGATGCATCCATCTACAGTACATTATTTGATTGTTCTTGCTTTTGAGTAACATACACTTCCTGTACATTTTTACTTGATATCAATATGTACTGTACTTACTACATGTATTCTCTACTACTTCAATCCAAAATTCCTTGTATGGATTTATCATTTGAGCATCTATTATTAAATTTGCTCAATCTCTTGTTTGATAGTCATTATATTATGTAACAGTATGATTATCTTGTACTTCTTACTGACCACACCCTCATGTTTGTCTTGCCGCACTGTTGATGTTGTCCCGTGAACTCTCTAATGTAAAGTATTTGAAGGGAGAGAGGAGAGAAAGAGAAGAAATGAGGACAAAATAGAAAAAAGAAAAAGGAGAAGAAAGTGTACAATACAGTATGTTTACTCTGACGAAGATAGTGCCTAAATTAATTGTCAGTCTTAATGTGAATTGTTTGAACTGGATTCTGCTGTTCCCAATACCTGTTTACTATCCACTGACCTCACATCTTTGTTAAAACACTTTAATACCTACAATTTATCACTTCCATCTAATACACTTTCTTGTACACTTTGCACCAGTACCACTTCTTGCACTTCCTCACTTCTTTTCTGCTAATTTTTCATGTTTTAATCTTTGACATCAGTTTAACTTGAATCAGGTCCTAATTTTATAAGAGCTTTATAAGTGCAGTGTTGTAAGTCAGATCATAACTCAGAGCTATATTATACAACTAAAACTCAAAATATGATGGATCACCTAAAGAATCTCCACCCCAGCTTAATTCACCAAAAGATTAACCACCCTAACCTAACCTAACCCATCCTCATGCCCCCAAATAGTGATCTTTGTATTCTTCAATATGTTAAGAAAACAGATCACTCATAAATCATATTCCTCAAACATAAGATACACTACCTACAAAAGTTATGTTTGCTAGAAAATAAGTGTTAATTATGTGTCAGTATTAATCTTTACCACTGAATGAAGGAAATCTGCTCATAATTGAACTTACCTCGTGTAAACTTAGCCTTTTCCTCCGCAAGTTGAACATTTCTGACAACAGCCTGCTTGCCTTCTTCTTCTCTAATTATTACCTCCTTTGCACTTAGAGACTTAAAGTGGCTTCGTCCATACAGGACACCAGTCAAGAGGGCAGCCCATCGACCAAACTGTAATAAAAGATACCAGTAATTTCATAATTTTTGAGTTGCCTACTAAATTATATTTTGTATTTCTTTTACAGTACATATAAATAGTGGAATAATAATTTGGAATCTAGTAAACATGTGTTAAGCAATGTTGGGTCTGGTTAATACTGTAGCTACTTGGAGGATTGACCGCCTGGGAGCACCAGAATGTTGGCATAAGCTTCTCATGGGTCTGTCAGCTGTCCTTGGTGAAATTGAATGAATATCAATTATCAGACCATTAATACTGTACTCTTAAACACATTGGAAAAACAAACTTGGAAAATGTACAATTCCTCTACAATTGTATTAATATTTAAAATGCGTTAAAATTTTATTCTACAGAATTTTCCCGATGTTCCTCCTCCTCAGAAGTCAAGCGTCGTGAAGTAATAACTCTAACTTAGCTTAACCTAACCTATATCAGATCACCTGAAGAATCACCACCTTAGCTTATTTTACCTAAAGATTAATTACCCTAACACTATTCGGGGGATGAAATAAGGTTAGTGTTAGGATAGGTTAGGTTAGTGTTAGGGTGACTAATCTTTAGGTGAAATAGGCTGGGGTAGAGCTTCTTCAGGTGATCAAAAAAATACAAAGAAACACTATGACTTTAGAGCTGTTATAAAAATTACCAAACCCTTCTAGAGGAACCAACACACAGTGGTTAGGCGGAGGTGTTCACAGGGTCAGTACAGAGTTATCGAAATAATAAATACATTTTCTTCGTCCACCTTCTGGCATTTTAATGGGGTAAAAAAGTCTTACATCTTCTACAGCAACAAAACATAACCTACACCTAACACGGACTTACATTATATAAATCAACACAAAAAAAGAAATATCCCTAGAGAAACATTCATCAATAAGCTCAGCCACTTCTCCTTATACTTCATCCAATACCAAGGTGTCAGTCAGCCAAAGACTCCACCAATATTATATTAATTTATTATACAAACTGAGGATGCCAAGAGCTGCCTCACCGGCTCCTCTTATACTAACACTACAGCCAATAAAACACATCATTATATCATACAGGCCCAACAAATTCAATATCTGACAAAATTAAATTAACTACAAAGGATATTACTCGCACTATAGCCGTTGTTTTACCTTAATAAGTGGGGAGACACGGACAGGAGCACTGAGAGCCGCCATGTTAACTCGTCTGGCAGCAGCTGACTCACGGCCTCTGGCTACACCTCTTTCATAGTTTTTACTTTATATATAATTTGAATGTAAAAAAATATAAAATTGCTATTAATATTTATTTTATTAAGTTTAAGATGATTTTACCTCAATTCTGTCAATACTTTTTCCTCTTTTAGGTACTATCCATAAGATGTTTTATTTTACCGCGCAGTTTAAATATACTGTATACCTGTACAGTATATATATATATATATTTACCTTATCTTCTTCACAACTGATCTGTCTATAAGTCTTAGCCTCTTGGTCACATCTATTTTACACACTGTTAGCAAGTACTGAACAGGTTCTGGCTCCAGTTCATGCCCAGTACTGAACAACCTCTCAACTGTGCCTGTAGTCATAGAATGTTACAGTGTTAACTATTACTGTACTATATGAGAATTGCCTGGTGAATGGTTGAGTAAAATTCTGTACTGTACTTGAAAGTAAGTCAAGGAATTCTATGTTGATGTCTTACAGTGCTGTTGTTGACCAAAAACCAAACCATTGCTGGTTTCATAATTTTTTTATCTTGTATTTTTTATTTTTTTATTTATCTATTTTTGCGGGGAATAGCCCACCCGGGCACAGGTCATGATGGATGTTAAAAAACTACTCCCTGAAACTTTCAATATCAAGTTTTGCAGTCTTAGCAGTGATATAATAAATGAATTAATTGTGTACAAGTACCCTGTACACAGAAGTGACTTTTAATAAAATTTATTATAGAATCCTGGAAACAGGTACGGCAGAACAAAAGTAGTCTTTGACAACTGGTGCAACTGGTGTTCCAGGATTACTGCAGTGTTACTCCTGTGTCTTTCTTCCACACTAAGCTGGGTGTTTGCCTCACCAGTATAGTATAATGGTTAACAGGTTTTGCATATAATTTTGTACTTTACTTAAAAATGATGAGCTGAATTTCTTGAAGTGCTTATGTAACAGGTGGAGACAGTGCTGCATATAAATTTATATTTAGACAAAATAGAAAAGTTGGTGAACTGGATGAACAAAATAGTTGGTGAACAGTGTGTCAAGTAAATCCAGAGGGTGTCAGTGCCAAGGTTTACAACTGATTACACTGTGTGTCTTCAACATTGGCACAGAATATTATTATGTTTTTATACTTAATATTTCACGGAGCCTCACAGAGCAGTGGCATAGTTACCATAAGGATCTCCTTCTTGGGCTGTCTCAGGAGAACACAGTAACAGCTGTGTGTACTTCAGCAACTACAAGTACATTAAGAAGTTGACCACCAGATTCACTCTGTTAGAAGCATAGTGGACAAATGGAACATGACCATGTGCTGACCGTATGCATGTGGAAGGTGGGTACACAAGAGGTGCAGTGGTGTAAATGACAAGCTGCAGGATGTTGCCTACTGTATACACAAGTTATTATGTGGACTTAGCAAGGTTGCAAAAGCTCAACATGAGAATATATCCCTGGACTGTGACGAGTGACATGATCTGTTCTGGCAGTGGTGCTGAAGGTGCTGGAATAAGTTTAGGAAGCAGTTGCCTTTATTGATGGCAAGAGGCTCTGCTTTTCATGTGAAAGTTAAGATGTATGTAACTAGCAAGAGAAATGTGATGACGTTGTGTGGCAGTGAAACATGGGCAGTTAAAAAGGATGAAATACACAAACTTGAGTGAGATGATATGAGAATGGTGAGATGGATGCATAATGTGACACTGAAAGATAGGAAATCCTGTTCAGTGCAAAAAGAGTGACTTGGTAGTGAGAGCTTTGGCAAGGTTTTAGATGTGGAGAGAATGGAGGACAATTTGGTCGAGATGAATGAATGTGAACATAGAGGAGAAGAGAGCTATGGGTAGGCCAAGAATGACATGGGGTGAGGTTGAAAGAAATGACCTCAGATATAAGAACTTGATGAGTGGCTACAATAGACCAAGCAACATGAAGAGATGACGTCAGAGTGGAAAATGACCATGATGATTAAATCTACTTCAACGTGTCAATGGGCAGAATAAGTCTAAAATTGGACTGAACCAAATACAGTACAGTATTATCTTATACAGAACTACATTACAAAAATGTCCAATTGTTGAAGAAAAAGTGTATTTACTTACAATTTATTAATATCCATATGAAACAATACATATTTCTTGATATACTCACAATAAACTGACTGATTGAAATCATCAATTGATGAAAGCAACATAATGTAGTATGATTAATCATACTATATGAAAATATTTTTTCATAACTCATTTTTCAGTAACATATTAAATAATATAATTCACTTTATTTAAGGATATAAGAGATAGTTGCAAATAAAGAGATAAAATTACACATGAAAGGAACTCTATAATAGTAAAATAACCTACAGCAATTTTCTCTTTTACACCGAACTCTAAAACTCACAATGTTTTGGTTTACTATACTTAACACCATAACCTACATTAAAACTGCCTTCACCCTTTATGTACAGGGTAAGTCTGTGCTGAATAAAGTCATCTGCCATTACCCTAAATAACATTACAAACGGCATCCTGTAGTGAAGAAGTTTATGCTTATCATCCAAGACGTCTTCATAAACTATTAAAGTGTAAAACAGTTTGGTTCTCCCACACAGCCACAACACCTGCTACCCGACTCTTGTTATAACTTCCAAAAATCAATATCAAATCCATATTTATATTAATTTGAATTTCTCCCCATTTATTTTTTGTCAAGTTTGGTGTTAAATTAGTTAGTTCAACGTGGCCAATGTTAGAATTACTGTTATGAATCAGATCGTAATAAAAGAACAAGTGTTTATTATGATATTGACACATTACACAATACTAAAGTTCTTTTTAGTGTATTCAGAAATGCAACTCAAATACAGTCTCTCCTCAACTTACAACATATTCGACTTACGACAACCCGGACATATGACGGCCAGGGCCGTATAAAACATTTTTCGCATTACGTATTTTCGAGTCCCAACGTTAGTGATAGCGCTGTGTACTGACAAATTTTTTTTTTGCAATTCCCTTTAAAATGGCTGGCAAGCGTAAAAGTGAGAGTTCTCGTGGTACTGAGAAGACAAAGAGACACCCATTTTAGAATTTCCATGTATTATTTTTGCCTTTTCGACTTACGACCTGATCATCGGGACGGAACCCTGTCGTAAGTCGAGGAGAGACTGTAACTCCAAATCTTGTTTGTCAAATATTCTTGAAAGAAATAAAAGGAACTGGTATACTGTATATAATAAAAGTTTTTAGAAAATATAATTGTACTCTTTAACTGCTTTAAGAAAATAGATTACCTGTATCTGAGAACCAAATAATTTTTTCTTCTTTAAACTGGCCTATGGGAGGGAATCGGTCATGAGATATTTATAATAATGTACGTAAAATACACAAACTGGAAACTGTATTAAGTGAGAGTTTGATCCTGGAACCTCATATTGCTACTGAGCCACTTGACACACAACTTGCTGCCACACCCTGGTAGGTTTGACTCAAGAAACATTGTTTGGTTTAATTTGATCCGTATTACACATTTGTATTCCCCAAAAGATAAAGGCCAAAATAGCATAACTCTTAATGCGTACAGTATTACATCTAATCATCCTCATCAGCGTGTAACTCGGTCATTCGCTTCTTCACATTATTCATAAGTCCCTTCATCTTATTCCAGGTTCCAAGAGCATCGGGCAAATTTTCAAATACGATGTGATCAGATACGTCGACTGTCCATTTAACTGAATCTGGGAGAGTTTTATAAGTTGTACAAGAATCGGGAATGACAACTCCTAACCTGAAGCCCTTGGAATGTGATCGGTGATGGCGTTTCTGTTTTGACGTGCTCTCGCCCACGTCAGTGCTGGAATTCTCCGAGTGATTCGAATCTGCGGCAGAAGTACTTGACATTTTGCTGTCTTCTGAATTTTCAGCCACGTATTCAGTTTTATTAATTTCCACACTTTTAACAATATTTTCCTTTTTCTTCTTTTCCTCCTGCACATCTGCACCCTGAGATGATGATGCATCTTCCAATTCACTCAATATCTTTAGTCTTTTGGCCTCTAAATCACCTAAAGAAGCCTGAGAGTCTTCACTGATTTCTCCATCTTCTACATCGTAAGGCTGAAATAATAATTTTTATATCAAGTTTGTGGAAAAGACATAAGAGGTATATCTGATCCATCATTTATCTTTATGACCAGATGATGTAAGGATCACTCACAGGTAGGACTCAAGGAAGACTCAGGAGGAACTCAAAGAAGGTTCACAGAGAACTTAAGGAAGACTCAGATAGGACTCAAAGGGTACTCATCGACAGGTTGTGTAAATGAAACTTCAAAATTTTGACGACTTGTAGAGAATTTTTGGGAAAGATGAAGACGAATATTTAACATGCACTCAATGTCACCAAAATGTTTTGATGGTCAACAAATTTATTTACATCATAAACTGTTTTTGTCATTAATGAGATATTGTATTATTTCTTAGGTAAGTAATAAGATACATTACTTACTCTCTTCTGTGGTTGTGGTGGTGGTGGTGGAGGGGCGTCCAGGGGAGGAGGCGGAGGCAACGGCTCCTCAGGCAGTGGAGGGTTGAACTCTATGTCTGTTAATTTGTTGGCTTCAGATTCCACTAAAAATAAATTTAAGTCGATTCAATATACTGTACTGTATCACAACATCTTTCTTTAATACTAATAATAATAATAATACTAATAATAAAAGAGCCATGAGAAGTGATCTATAAATATGTACTGTACAGTCTCGTTCAAGATTCTTCAAACACTGCTGGAGAAAGCTGGCAACTCAAATTAACAGTATATACAAGCATAAAAGTATAATATAATACGAAACAACAAAGCCCAACCATTAACTAAGCAAAGGGAAACTAAGTAACCAATCACCAATCACTTTTACATTCATTCACAATTTTCACTACGTACTATACTGTAGTAAACAAACGGCCTTGAGTTGCCAGCTGTCTCCAGCAGTGTTCAAAGAATCTTGAATGAGACTGTACATCCAGAGTTTTTCATTTTTTGTCTTCAATAAACCATAAGATGATTACAAGTAGAGCACTCAATACCCTCCTCCCTCAGTAAGCAGCCTGTACAGTATTATGAAAGCCACCAGGTTATGGGACACATAAAGATAACTGTTCCTAAGAAACCACTGTTTATTATATACCATCTACCGAGCTGACCCACAGTACAGTCTTTATGAGCTTCATGATGGCAACTAACTTAAGAGTGTTACAGTACTGTGCCATGCATGTTGTTTAAGTCAACTTACCATCAACTTCCATCTCTCCTGCAGAAGCTAAACTTGCATTAAGACTTTTACTCCTCAGCTCTGAGCCCTTCAGCTTCTTTTTTTTATATGCCTCGGCCTTGTTCATGTTCATATACCTCAAAAACTCACTTCTTTGATGACAGGGTTGCAGGGGAGGGAAGCTGTACTCCTGATATTCCTGAAGGTTTAGATCATTTGTATCAAACAGTGAACAAGAAACTTTTTTTTGTTCAGGATTCTGGTCAGTTTCCACAGCACCAGGAAATGTTTTACTAAAGTCAACAAATATATGTGAAAAATAATATACAGTAAACCCTGACTACAGCAGACTTCCTTAACCAGAAATGTGGATAAAAACAGACCTTATTCAACCTGTCTCTAATGTTTATGGAAAATTAAGATAATTTTTAATTGACCTAATTTCTTACAAAATCAGTCTGGTTCACTTACTAAGGTCATATTGATATCACACTGTCTGTTTGGACGCTATCCACAAAAATCAGAAAATGCAAAAATATTCCTGGTCAGAATTGTAGCATTAATAAAGAAACTAATATATATGGAGCACCGTCTAGAACAAGCTTATTTACATATGGCATCACTACACCCAATAACATATATTGTAAAATTTTCAATGGTAAATAGCAGACAGCAAGAGCCAGTAGAATAAAGTATGTTGTACTTACATCTCTTACACCTTGGGGAACAGGATCATTGAATCCAGGAAAACTGACAAGTCTCTCTGGCTTGTATTTAACTAAGTTGGGTTCAGCTTCACCGTCCTCTGTATCTGGATGGGAAACACCTGTAAAAAATAAAACAAAAACATATGCACCTGACCCCTACATTTTACTATACTGTACTAGTCATCTACAAACAGCAACTGATTCATGTCATCATCATCATCACTGTTTTATGGCCATTTTCCTCACTTGTGAGGGTTAGATGTGATTACCTGATGATATGGTGTCAAGTAGCTATAGGTAGTAGGTAGTAGGCAGCTACCAAACAGGGAGGTGCTACCGCCTGGGAAGATATTGGAAGCATAATGTGTTGTCTAATGGTAGACCCTGCTGCCATGTGACCAAGTCCCAGGTTGCTAATCTGACTTTCTGCCTCATTTGCATACAATTGCAGGGTCTCAATTGTTTCTCTTGCTATTGACAACACAACATACATATATCATTTCTCACTAATGATCTTTTTTTTTAATTTCTTTATGGTTCCATATTATTATTATTATCATTATTATTATTATTATTATTATTATTATTATTATTATTATTATTATTATTTTATTTTTATTTTTGTATTTTTTATTATAAATTTTACTTACCTGAATTATTATTATTATTATTATTATTATTATTATTATTATTATTATTATTATTATTATTATTATTACATTTTCGCCCCCAAGGCCCTGATGTACCGTAGGTCAGTGACCTGTGTCCGGGTGGGCTAATACCCGTAAAAAAAAAAAAAAAATAGCTGAGGCAAATTTAAAACAAGTCTTATGGCTGGATGCCCTCAGCCTCCTATCACCAACCCACTTTTAAGGAGTAGGAACTGGGCATTACATGTAAATCTTCCAACACAGATATATACAGTAGATGGTGTATCTGTCACCTTAATGTGACAGATACCAGTCCTTCATTCAAGCTGGTGGTTCAGGGAAAAGGAGAGATCATTAATCCAATCAATAAAATACCACATTAACCCTTAGTGACACTGTGGTCCCCTATCTAAAGGCTCAAGGATCCTCTAGTAAGCTGACCAATATTTCAGGAGCCACCTGGCTAGGAGCTCCACCATATGAATCCAACTAAGTAATGGAAAAATTAATTGGTTTTGCAGCCTCTAACTTCTGTGGTCAGATAAAATGGGGTGAACATCATTGACCTATTGGGGTAAAATAACCATTAGAGGACCATTAACAAAGGTCCTCTTATGAACAACAAAAAATACAAGTTTGACAAACTTGATTTTTCACTTACTCTCTCCTGAAGCATCAAACATCCTCACATTTGCTTTATGTACTTCTGCATCCAAAAGCCATCCGGGTGGATAACCTAACACTCGCATGCGGTAGATAAACAGAGGCAACTGATTTGGTTTAAGTCCTAAAGCATGTCGGAGGTTTTCACTAATCTTTCCTGGCTGGTAGTGTCCATACTTGTTCTCAGTGTCTTCATGATATCTCCTGTGATAAAAAAGAGGTAATCAAGATATTTTTCTTATAATCACACTTGTTCTCAGTCAATACCTTATACCTGTACTGTACAATACTGTATATTTAATGCAAAGTAAACTTACATCATAGCTACATATGATATAAAATTAAATGTAATGTGACCTCTACATATATATCATATATGCATACATACACAGTACCATTTATTCATATTATTAAACAACTGAAACAATGCCCCACCTACTGCACTGTTTGGTACTAACTCCAGTACAGTACTTGGCAAAACCCCCCAAAAAATTATGTCTGATTCCAGTAATCTTTTCAAACTTCATTTGGGAAGAAACACTTTTTTTTTCTTTTTTTTAAATATGCACAACAAAATTAAACACATGTTGTTAAATCTATTCAAACTGGCAACCTTTCACTTAACACTGATGTACAGGTATATGGTAAATGAAAGGTTATGCACTGAGCATATTCATATTTCTTCTCCCACGAATAAAAAGTTAAAGAAAAAAAAATGGTTTTGAAGAAACGGTAAAAGAACACCCAAATTTGTTCATCAACAAATCAATTATTTTTATGCCTATAACTGCCTGTATACAACATATCTACAAAACAAAACTCAAATATTTAATGATTTACACTTGATGTACAGTCGCTAAAACAACTATCTGTGACAGGTGGGGGTCGATATGCTCCGAAACTTTACGTGTGACTAGTGACAGCCCTCATATACCAAAATTTATCGTTCATGGTCTCATATTGTTTTCCACAAAGTATGCACAGATAGTTGTTTTAGCTACTGTACATTAGTATAGTATTGGGAATATAAAATATACATAATAATATACAAATACTTCAATTAGAGATTACTTACACAGCAGATACTCGGAAGTTTATGAGCTTCCTCCGATTTTCAGCAATTTTTCCTAAATCATGCCGCTCTTTACATTCTGATAGATTGTGATCTCCTAAACAGTTAAAACAGTTCTTCTTTTGTCGTGGTTCTTTAATCTTCTTGCCTGTTAGCATGCTGTACTCTATGTCAGAGAGAACACCAGCGAAGTCCTGAAACAAATAAATGATAACATGTAAAAAGACTTATGATGGAAGTACCAAGGATAATACTGTACTGTACAGCTTATTCTATTCTTACATGCCCTTTATTTGTCACATAATCTACTTTTATGGCAGTGAAGCACAGGTAGTTCAAGAAGATGATATACGTAGAGCTGAAATGAGAATGGTATGGTGGATGTGTTATGTGACAAAAATATAAGTCCTGTTTAGAGCTAAGAGGGCACCTGGGTATTGAGAGCACAGGGTACTGTATTGGAGAAGTCCTGCGTAGAGGCAGGTTGTGATGGTTTGGTCACGTGGAGAGAATGGAGAAGACCAATTGTGTCAAGAGGTCAATTTCTATAGTATTGTCCTTATAACTATATCTGAGGGTTGGCGACCACAGTCCTCCGCTCTAAACATTTTTGGGCTGTGTTTACCAATCCTCTGAGGTTTTGTATCTTTCTGGGGACCCAGTTTTTAATTTAATTCATCCATTCCAGTCTCTCACTTCCCCTGGCCCTCCTACCCTTAATTTTGCTCATTAATATTTCTGTTATTATCTCCTCGTCCCTAATTATGTGACCAAATTATTTCACTTTTCCTTTTCTGTACATTTCAAGTATTTCTCTTGAAGTTTTTGCTCATCTTTTCACTTCATATGTTCTGTCAGTGTTGCTTATTCTTAGAATTTCCATATAACACCACATTTCAAAGGCCCCCAACCTCTTTCTGGTGTCTGCTGAAAGTGTCCACGCCTCTGACCCAAACAGCAGTCCTTACCATATAAAACCTATCCAGAGCATTTTTCTCAAATTGAAATTAATGTCCCTTTTCATTTTGCCTTACAGATTACTAAATCTTGTTTAAGCTCTCTGTTTCCTACAATAATTTTTATTTTAAGATTTATTTCCAATTTGGAAACAGCCATTACTTTAGTCTTTACAGCCTTAATTCTTAAACCATATGTTTCACCTTTTTCCACTAATGTGTTAACAAGTCAGGAGATGCATGAGCCTAAATGCAGAGGGGAAGAAAGTCAGAGGGAGGCCAAAAATGATATGGGGAGAGATTGTAAGAAATGACATTTGAGTTAGGAGCCTGACACAAAAGATCGCAAGACAATGTGGTGTATGGAGAGCTGCCATCAGATAATTGCAGCTAACCAACACAAGCATGGAAAATGGCTATGAAACTTTTATGATGATTAGCATTGTGTGGGGTAGCAGCCGTATTAGGGAGTATTGAGGCCAGGACACAGCATTGGGGGGGCAGTGCTTTATTGCATTCTTTTTTACAAGTGTTTTAATAGCTGCACTGTGTACTGTAAAGCTTATCTTTGACATATCACATTCTCAACTTATAATGCTGTATTAAGTGTGGGGGCAGACAGTGACGTACCGTTTCATACGAGGGCACAACATCCAGTGCTGCTTGAGGCTCATGTTCAACAGTCTCCAAAATGCTAATCTCATCTCCATCTGTGTCCAGACATACTCCTTCTGGCATGACAAATTCTGTAGAATAATATATATAAAACATGAACTCATACTTGTCTTTGTCTAAACCTCTCTAGTTTTACACCTATGAGGTTACAACTGATGAATGAAGAGAATGTTATACAAAACTATGCTATACAAAGTTATCCCACTCAAGTGCATGAATTATTTAATGATATCTTCAATACTTGAGATTCTTTAATTCAACATAACACAATACTTACCATCTGGTGTTGCCTTGTCTTGTTCATCAGGACAACCTTCAGGGGTAGTGTCCAAAACAATCATCTCCTCAGGAAATGAAAAACTATTGGAACTGTTTGCAACATCTTCATTCACACTGTCTTCTTTTATGGATTCTGTCAATATGCAATTAATGTACTACAGGTATGAACAACTTTATCAAATACTGGATAGAAATTCGGTTTGGTATTGTACACCTATTAACTGCTAATCTATTAAAGGTAAGCCTAAAATTTCTTGGCAGGAATTTTGAAAGGAACTCACATTTGAAACACACAGTCATTCAGCTGCTTGTATCAACATTCAAGAAATTATAAATTATACACAACAGCTTTATACCATTTCCAGATGCTGCCATTAACAAGACTCACTGTTTAGCAATACAGTACAGTAAAGTACTTACCATCTGGTGTTGTTTTGTCTGGTTCATCAGGACAATCTTCAGCGGTAGTGTCCAAAACAATCATCTCCTCGGGTGGTGGAAGATTATTGGAACTGTTTGCAACATCTTCAATCACACTATCTTCTTTTATTGATTCTGTCAGTAAACAATTACTGTATTACAAGTATGAACAACTTTATCAAATGCTGAACAAAATTTGACATTGGGCAATAAGTTACACAGTACCCTGTACTTTATGAATATTGTACAGTCATTCAGCTGGTGGTATCAACATTCAAGAAATTATAAATTATACATAAAAGCTTTAAACCATTTCCAGATGCTGCCATTAACAAGACTCACTGTTTAGCACCGACCATCTCTGAGTACTGTTTGGTCATCTGCCTCTCTATCTCACTTAAGAGTTTCAGATAAAGATTAAATGCGTAAAATTCCTATATTGTACAATGATGATAATTGGGTTCACTTTCCACACTGTTATTCTATTGATGACGGTACAGTCACCAGCACTTATACCTGGTACAGAACAGTGGCTGGTGTGCTTTATAAGATATGGCAACTCTGAGGAACGTTTATCTAGCATCCTTAGTCTAGTCACTATTGTGAGGTTCTGTAGGGCCATTCTGGGAGATTTAATTTGATGTAAACAATCACAGAGTTGCCACATATTATAAAATGTGCCAGCCACTGTACCAGGTATAAGTGTAGATGACTATAACAGTAGGCCTTTGTAAAGTTTCAACTGGAACCAAAAAGTGTGACAACTGCTGAAGACCTGCTCACACCTCACACTTCTTATTATAAACTGTGAACTGTTGCTTCTAGCGATCCCTCTTGGGACTTTGTTGTCATGGAGAAGAAAATCTAAATCATAAATTAATCCAAATTACTGATGTCAAGGATTACAGTAAAGCCAGGATTTCCAACTGAAGATTCATGACCATAATTCACAAGTACCGGTAATCTAGAGAGGACTATCAGTATCAGTTATACACAGTACAGTATACATACTCCTTGATTTTGAGTAGTATGTATATTATTTTAATTCTTATACAATACTGAACCAAAATTAAATATAAAAGTGAAAACTATTTACATTGGTAATCAAATAAAAATATAATTACCGTAATACAGATGTAATACAGTTCTTTAAGCAATACAGTACTGTACTTACCATCTGGTGTTGCCTTGTCTTGTTCATCAGGACAACCTTCAGCAGTTGTGTCCAAAACAATCATCTCCTCAGGAGGTGGAAAACTATTGGAACTGTTTGCAACATCTTCATTCACACTGTCTTCTTTTATTGATTCTGTCAATATTAAAAAATACACTTTGATAATGCACTGTACTACTACATTATTAACTACACTTCATTATTGCAAGCATTAATTTTGATAACATATAACAATTAACTGCAGTAGACCCTTCCCATTCACAGGTTTACGATTCGCTGTAAGCAGCTGGTGGGTCGGGTGGCTAGCATGCGAGCCTTCTCCCGCAACACAACGAGTCACCCCACGCACCCGCGGCGTCTCATCTCACTCAGTTTGCCCTCACTCAGTACCTGTGACTTAGCATCCTGTGCTATACTCTCAAATCTTTCGTGTTTCTTTGTAAAAATGGCCACAAAAAGACTGCCTAGTGTCAGTGCTAGTGATCCTAGTGGAGTGAAACATAAAAGGCAAGAGTCAGTGATGGCCCTAGCAAAGAAAATTTAATTACTGGACAAGCTAAAGGAGGTTGTTTGGTGTGAACGAAGTCACGGTGCGGTACATAAGAAAGAATAAACGAATAATTCGTGATTCTGTTCAAGCGAGTGCTCCTGCAAGTGTTAAAGTGGCGCAGGCTGCTTGAGACAAGAACATAGTGAAAACTGAGAAAGCACTGAACATTTGGACTGAGGATCAGCACCGCAAAAATGTTCCGATCGACAGCAACGTGATTCGTGAAAAGGCTAAAAGACTTTATGATCATTTTTACGAGTCAACAGGTGGTGAAGGGTCTAGTGCAGTGACTGAACCAACTTTTAGTGCCAGTAAAGTTTGGTTCAAGAATTTTAAGAAAAGATTCTCGCTCCATAATGTGAAGCTAACTGGGGAGCCACCCATCTCCCAGCCTCTCGCCACCTACCAACCACCCGCCACCTCCCAGTCGCGCACCACTCCACCACCCTCCATTCCACCAACCACCACTGATTCACCCTCTTCCACCAGTGATCTTGATGATCCACTATGCTTCAGTAACCAGATGTCTCCCTATGTACAGTACACAACTTCATCAAACTCCAGACTTCACATACGAATATTAGTCCAGTATTGTGACTCAAGTTTCTCATACACAGTATAGGTATACCTGCATATTAGTGCACTAAGGTATTATATAGATTCCTATTCGTGGTTTTGTCAATTTGCGCCATTTCTTGGAACCTATCCTCCGCGAATGGCAAGGGTCTACTGTATACTTTTCAATACAAATACTAATTTGTATTACTGTATTTTCACTGCTAATCCATTAGAAGTACCGAATAGCTAAATTTCCTGGGTGGGAATTATCATGGGAACTAACCTTTGAAACACAGTCATTCAGCTGCTTGTATCAACATTCAAGAAATTATAAATTATACACAACAGCTTTATACCATTTCCAGATGCTGCCATTAACAAGACTCACTGTTTAGCAATACAGTACAGTAAAGTACTTACCATCTGGTGTTGTTTTGTCTGGTTCATCAGGACAATCTTCAGCGGTAGTGTCCAAAACAATCATCTCCTCAGGTGGTGGAAGACTATTGGAACTGTTTGCAACATCTTCAATCACACTGTCTTCTTTTATTGATTCTGTCAGTAAACAATTACTGTATTACAGGTATGAACAACTTTATCAAATGCTGAACAAAATTTGACATTGGGCAATAAGTTACACAGTACCCTGTACTTTATGAATATTGTACAGTCATTCAGCTGGTGGTATCAACATTCAAGAAATTATAAATTATACACAAAAGCTTTAAACCATTTCCAGATGCTGCCATTAACAAGACTCACTGTTTAGCACCGACCATCTCTGAGTACTGTTTGGTCATCTGCCTCTCTATCTCATTTAAGTGTTTTTCAGTTTTAATTGTGAATAATTCTGTTGACTTACAGTACTGTGCTGGCTTAGTAGTGGTTGGCAAGGGCTGTCTAATGCTAAATAATGGGTAATGGGTTAGGAGAATTAACCCTTGAGAGACATACCTGAAGGGTCTACACTATAATTAAAAAAACATCCACTATGCTGTACTGCAGAAAGATACTAGATGGTACAGGCATACCTCCAGATGTGGAAGCTTCAGTTAAGGAAATTCACATTACGTAATTAAGTCCAAGAAGAACGGAACGTGTTTTAAGATACGGAAGATAAAATTGTGTAACGATAATATCTTAAGAATAATTCACAGTTAAGACAACTTCATGGTCTACACTTACCACACCCACTGTGATCTTTCTCTGGGGCGCTACAGTTCACGACGCTGCCTTCAGGAGCGACTGCACCTGAACCAACGCGTTCCTCCTCCTCTCGTTGCATATTTGTAAACTACAACAATAAATAACACATTATGGTATTACAATTCTTGGTTAGGTTAATTTTTTAGTTATAATTTTCTTTAAGTGTGTTCAGAAGAAAACACAAATATTATATTATATTAACTAACAACTATACACAGGTCTGTCCCGTTGTTAATACAGCCATTTAACACCTAGATATACGTTAGTGTTAGAGGAAATACTTAACATTTCTTGAGTTAAGGAGTGAAGAGTTGAGAGCTTAACCTAGACTCTTGTTACTCCTCTCACACAAAATAATGTTAAAAATATACCATAACTATATTTTAAAACCAGTTATTCTTCAGTTTACATTAATTAAAAAAATCTTTATATATTATACAAATATTCATTTTATCTATATTTTTCTTAATTTAAATTCAATAACAAATATTAATAGGAAATAAATGAATATATAGACACCTGGCCATGTTCGTGTGTATATTTAACATTAATTATCTTGTATATCATGTGTTGTCCCTCAAGCTTTTCAGGATTAAGCTGTTACATATTTTCTTTCTTTATATTAATTAATTATATGGATCACCTGAAGCATCTCCATCCCAGCTTATTTCTCCTAAAGCTTAAAGCACCTTAACGCTATTTGGGGAGATGGGGTTAAGTTAGGATAGATTAGATTAGGTTAGGGTGGTTAATCATCAGGTGATCCTTTACTCAATATTAACACAGCTTATTGAGTAAAGTACCCAGCTAATAAGAGCTTAAATTGGAGTCATGTCGTAGTACAGCTTAATGACGCTAAGACCCAATCAGAACCAGGGAATCCATAAGCTCAACCACAACCAGGGAATCCATAAGCTTAGTCACAACCAGGGAATCCATAAGCTTAGTCAGACACCCAGGGAATGTGTAGATAAGCATTAATGGAGACCAGACAGCCACCTAGTGAGTATAAGAGCCACCAGTAGTAGGTATTAGGTCCTCCCTTGTCGCCACCAGCCGGCCATCACTTGAGTGCCTCCACCTCCTTCAACTACGACACCTTACAAATGGCTAGAGAAGGTTAGTTTATTCCTCTCATATTTAACTTATTAATACTTTGATCCATAGTTAAATACATCTTTTAGTAGTATTGAGGTTTTTTCTTTGTTAATGTTGATTTATAAGGTTATTGTAGGTGTTATAGAGGTTTTGGTTTGGTGATGTCCTGGACTACGTGATCAGGTGTTTTATTCCTCTGTTAAGTAAATTAATACTATGATCTATTTCTAGCCATTCTGTTTTATATTATTGATGTTTCTTGATTATAGGCATTAATTTAAGTGTATTATAGGTATATTATGTTTAATTGGATGTGTTTAGGGCGACTTAATGTATTATATCAGCTGATTACACCTTGACAGTGTTGGCGAGTCTGGTGAGTTATATATAGTTTATACTCTATATATAATGTATAAGATAGGTATATAGTTCATTAATATTCATCATTTGGCTGGAATATTGGATTATAGATGGTGTAGTAGTTTTTGTGAAGTTATATATGGTAATTATATATAGTACTGTGTTACGGTGTGTCATGTAACAAGGTATTTGAAGGCTAACAGTTGGTTGTTTTATTAATTACCTCAGGTAGGTATTATTATTAAGTTTGTATTATATAAAAGGATGATTTATATTGTCTGTATCTTGTGTAAAGTATTTATTGAACATTAAAAGTTGCTCTGATAGATATGTTGATGAAGGTGTTGCAATCGTAATTTAATAATAATCTAATAAATTTACAATGAAAATTATGATTTAAGTAATTTTAGTGTTGGAGATAAAAAAAATAGTTTGAATTTGCTTATAAAATACTTAGGATGGAGGAGTGGGAGAAAATTTATTAATGATTGATTCTTATTCCCATTAATGTATTGCTGTTTTTCCTGTAATTATTGTATAGATTACATAATATCTATACATCTTAATACTGATCCAATGGCAGAGAAGAAAAATATGGATCATCTGAAGAATAGACACCTCCATTTTATTTCACCTGAAGATTAAATATACATACCTAACCTAAACCTACCCTAACCTAATCAACATAAACTAGCCCTTTCCCCGGTACTATAAGGATGGCTCGTCTTTAGGTAAAATAAGCATCGGTGTCAAATAATCAAGAGATCTTTTAAAAAATATATATATATATACTGTAAATACTGAAGCTACCTTAGAAAAATGGCAGCAACTTGTTCCTACCATTCATTGCCTCTACTGTTGTAAAATATGATGAGGAATGAACCAGTGAATGTTTGTGCTTCATAACCTGGCCAAATATAACACAGCAACACACTATGCACAACACATCAACACACTATACACAACACAGCAACACACTATACACAACACATCAACACACTATACACAACACAGCAACACACTATACACAACACATCAACACACTATACACAACACATCAACACACTATACACAACACATCAACACACTATACACAACACAGCAACACACTATACACAACACAGCAACACACTATACACAACACAGCAACACACTATACACAACACATCAACACACTATCAACACACTATCACACACACATACACTATACAACACAGCAACACACTATACACAACACACTATAGCAACACACTATACACAACACAGCAACACACTATACACAACACAGCAACACACTATACACAACACATCAACACACTATACACAACACATCAACACACTATACACAACACAGCAACACACTATACACAACACAGCAACACACTATACACAACACAGCAACACACTATACACAACACATCAACACACTATACACAACACAGCAACACACTATACACAACACAAACACACTATACAACACATCAACACACTATACACACAGCAACACACTACACAACACATCAACACACTATACACAACACATCAACACACTATACACAACACAGCAACACACTATACAACACATCAACACACTATACACAACACAGCAACACACTATACACAACACATCAACACACTATACACAACACATCAACACACTATACACAACACATCAACACACTATACACAACACAGCAACACACTATACACAACACAGCAACACACTATACACAACACAGCAACACACTATACACAACACAGCAACACACTATACACAACACATCAACACACTATACACAACACAGCAACACACTATACACAACACATCAACACACTATACACAACACATCAACACACTATACACAACGCATCAACACACTATACACAACACAGCAACACACTATACACAACACACTATGCACAACACATCAACACACTATACACAACACATCAACACACTATACACAACACAGCAACACACTATGCACAACACAGCAACACACTATACACAACACAGCAACACACTATACACAACACAGCAACTCTTTATATACAACAATATACGCAAAACACATTAGAAACCACACACTGTAACCCATGTATACTGGAGAGAGAACTTTTCATTTGTCGTGATTGATTAACCAAACTTATTTTTGTTTCAGCCCCAAACCCGTACGCTCACCTTTTATCTAACATCAAGATCAGAGATGAGGACTTCAAATATTACAACCTTCTCGGCCTTAACGACAGCCGCTATGGTAAATATTGTGGCTAACTGTGTGGAGTGTTGTAATAGATCACCTGAAGATTATCCCCCTCTTCCCAATGCTAACCTAACCTGATGTAAACTAACCTAACCCAGTCCAACCCAGTTTACCCAAACTAAATCTAAGCCTAACCTAATGTGCCCCTACTTTAAACTGAGTCAATTATTAATTATTTTATTGTCTGCATCTAGTCATAATAGTGTTTCATTCTTGGTACAGTATTCATGATTGTCTGTTGTTGTTCGTCGCTGGTACTCGGGTGTTAGGTTATATGTAACCTTCTTTATTTTTCCAACAGAACAATTGCCATTTAGCATCAGGGTGTTGTTGGAGTCGGCTGTCCGAAACTGTGATAACTTCCAGGTAAGGTCAACTCATGGGGTGGTGTGTGGTGGTCCGAGCTTCCTCATATAATATAGAGAGAGATCCTTAGTCCAAGATGATGGTGGAGGAGGGGATGTTGAGGAGTGTCAAGTATAGTACAGTATTAGAAACATAAGGCAGATGGAAAATTGGAGATTGTAATCATGAAAATACAATGGCAGAAGAATGAAGAGGAGGCAGTAATATCCTGCTGTTGTGTTATACAGTATTGTATTCTTATGTACTATACTATATATTGTTTTTGTTGTGCATAATTTTTTGTATAACTTCAATTATAATTAAAAGAGTGATGTTGTTAAGATTTTTTTTTTGGTATTAATATAAGTGTGCTAAACTGTGTGGTATCTCTTGTAGGTGAAAGAACAGGATGTGAACAATATTTTGGACTGGGCCAAACAACAGAGTGATGTTAAAGGGGTAGAGGTCCCCTTCAAACCAGCACGAGTTATTCTCCAGGTGAGCAGAAGCATAAAACCCACTCACAACTTATTTGCACTTGATTTTATTGATTAACTAAGAAACTGAAGTAAAAGGTTAAATCATAGTTGGCATGAGAGGCACTAGGGAGGTCAGTGTGTTGTTTGTAAGCTTCCACCGCAAACAGTAATATGGCATATTTGAAACCCTTCTTGTGACCTCTTGAGGAAGTACAGCCGTTTACTTCTTGTTCACAGAAAGTATTATTTAATTATTCGTACAGGGTATTCTGATAATTTACACACATTTTTATTGAAGGCAAGTGACAACAGCTCCCCCCATGTGACAGCCAATATAGTACATACAGTATAATGTGGAAGAGTCATGAAAAAATATACAGTACAGTATATTTATATATTTGAATATTTTAGACCATCAGAGTTAAGCACTTGGTGTGGAGATGATCTGTGGCTGAAATGTTTGATGGAGCTTCTTCATTTGACTGTCGTTTAATACAGTACAGTATGATGTTTATTTTACCTTAGAGAATTGGAGGTGATACATGCAAGACTGGCTGGTTGGGGAGGCTCTACTACTGTACACTTCGGCAGTTACTCTCTTGTGATTTAAATCGGTGACTCACTGTTGTTAATTCGCAATTCCAGTTGATTGAATATTTTACATCTTAAAAAAGATCAATGTGTCCTGAGTGGGTTTATTAATATTTATATGTTGGTTCAGTAACTACAGTACAGTGGTGCGTGAGGTAAAGGTGGTGGCAGCGTGGACCACCACTTAGTCCTCCAGGGTGACCCATGGCAGACCTTCACAGGGAAATCCTTATTTTTAACATTGTAAAAGTATCATTTACTTCTGTCTACATCAGTTGTCTTTGGTGGTATTAATTGAAAATGGTAACTTTTTATTCTTTTTATTTCAAAAATTGGTCAATGGGAAACAATAAATCCAGTTTTCAGATACACTTGCACTTCATCTCCCAGTAATGACACTACTATACACATGCTGTGTATGACTATTGTACAAGTGTTTGTGTATGGAACCAAAAAAATTATGAATATGCCACATGAGTAACGGTGGATGATCTTGGTCTTCAGGACTTCACTGGAGTCCCGGCAGTTGTGGACTTTGCAGCAATGCGGGACGCGGTGAAGGAGTTGGGTGGGGACCCCCAGCACATTAACCCCATCTGCCCGGCTGATTTAGTTATTGATCATTCCGTCCAAGTGGAGTTCTCCAGAACGTTAGTATTTATTAAAATTTTATCTTTTTTTTTCTGTGCATTACTATTTTTGTTTTTTTGCTAAACAGTAGAACAAATATTGTATTGGCAGTTGTGAATTATTTGCAAAAATAATTGTAAATATATTAGTGCAGGATTATTAAAGTTCCTCTGCATCTCCTATTTGTTTAGAAGCCTCAATACTTCCTAGACGAGAGTATTTGTTATAATGGGGTTTGAATATTTTTGTGGTTCCCTCCATTACACATGACTGCATACTGTAGACCATCTCAGATCATCACAGCCAATTAATGATTTTATCCAATCTTCATGAGATGTCTTAAAGGAGTTTCCATAACTACATTAGTCTGCATGACTTATAACAACAGTAACACAGCAATGATGAGAGAAGATGTCTCTTTTGCATGACAGGTTTTGTTTTGTTTATACGCTGATTATTTACTCCTCACACACACACACACATAACACACACACACACACACACACACTCCTGCTTAAATGCCTGAACTTGAAAAGGCCAAATTTACTAACATGTTTCAACACAACAGCTGTTTGGCGCAGTAGTGTCTTGGCTTATTACCCTCGTGTTTGGACGACGTTATTGTCCAGGAAATTTTGAACTAAGGTTTAAAGGGCAACATAACCTGCCGTATTAAGCAGAATTCTATATTAATGAGCGTTCAGTTTATTATTATATATTATTTCCCTCCTCTAATTTTAGGATAGGGGGAGTGTAGCAGTAATGGTGCCCGTGTCTGTGTTTGGACATGTTTGACAAGACATTCCTCTCTTACCCTTAGTAAAAGTGTATTAGTCTGCTCGTTAGTATAAAATGTCTTGCCTCCAGCGTTGGGGCTGATTATTAGTAATGCTCACCAGAACAGTGTTTGGCCACTGTGAGGAGGGGTAGGGTGTCCCTTAGATGGCTAGTTTGTAGTCGGTAGATGAATACTGTATCTGGAGAACTAGCACTGTACTGTACCCTACTTGCTCCTCAGCTGCATGGACGCTGACTTGGGGAGAGTGTATTGTAAAAGTTGTCGGGGTAGACTTTAAATTACGGTATGTCTTATTTCATTGGTCATTATTATTTAGTTGAAATGCAAGACTTTGCAGGATTTTAAAGATATTTAGACTACAGTATATTTATGAACATTTACTTCCCCCAGTTTGAAAATGATGGACACTGTTTAATTGTCCTTTTTTAGTGTTGCTGTTGTGTGCTGAGGACTTCATTTTAATTCTGCCAGTTATATTAGACACAAGTACAATAGTGAGTCTGAGGACAAGCATCAAACAATAGAAATTTGACCTTATGTTTAGGGGGCAGAGAGGTGAGGGATCTTCATTATCATCTCACCATAAACCAGTTCTTGGGTGAACGACTTTTTGTATTGGTATTGAGAGCAATTTTAAGTAATGTTTATTGAAAGATGAAACAAATTAATTGTGAAGGAGTACTGGTGTGGCCTCCTGTGTTGCTTCAGGATTGAGCATAACTTCTGCATCCCTCTAGTAACTCTGCCTGTTGGGCCTTCATGGGTGTGTGTGTAAGCTTAAGTAGTGTCAGTAGTACTGTACCAAGCTGCTGGTTTATTGTTAGCCTCATGCAGTCAACAATCTGGTTTTGTCACCATCACACTCTTAGTCTACAGTTGGTTTGTGTCTTACACTTTACTCACTGTAATACTGTGCAGTAAATCCTCTATGTAATATGTGCATTATAAGCCATTAGCTGGAGGTTTACATTTAATGGGTCTAGATCTGACAGACTCCCCTCTCCATGTGTTCTGTTAGATGGAGGTTTCACTGCACTCAAAACACTAATACTGTAACAATTTATATGTATACTGTATTACTAAATCAATAACAAGTGTGAACTATGTCATTAAAATCTTCATATTCTTTTAAGAAAATTAAGGTTGATTGAAGAGTGATTTTTAAATTAATAATTTGATGAATTTAATTGACATTGGTAAACCTTTAATAATGCATGCTTTTATATTTCAGTTTAAAATACAGTACAGTACAGGGTGTCTCAGGAAACTGTAATGTATTTTACATACTGCCTTGCAGATTTTTGTGGAGCTGAGATGAATGTTTCTCTTATAATAGCAACATTATCCTCACTTGTTGATGTGCAAGGTCTCCCACAAGTGAAGACAGTGTTACTGTTGTAGTAGAGTAATTCATGTCACTACACAAGAATCCATAAGGCAGTGTGTATACATTTTTCTGAGACACCCTGTACAATGTAAATAAACATGGTCAGTCAGAGATGTTTGCTATTGGTCATTATTATATTAATCTTATTCCAGACTTGTGTTTGAAGATGCATTATGTTCATTCATTATCTCATTTAAGTTATACAAGTGTGTACTGTACGGTATTGATACATGTGAAAAAAAAAATATTCTTCACTATTGGCTGGTGAACATAGGCTACAGTACATATGTGTGTTCAGAGATATATTAACATACAGTATTAGTTTAAAGGCCTTATATTTCCGTAACAAATTTTATTCCTGTAGCTCTTGACTACAATATGAAGGTCGGACGGTTGTCACTTACAGTCCTGAAGGGGCAGGGGTCAGGGGCTGTGTAGCTTGAAGCTATCATCAGAGGTCTTTATTTTCATGTGATATCAGATTTTAAATCTTTAATCGGCTAGTAAGTATAACAACAAGTAGAATAATTAATTATGGAGTGAGAATCACTGTATAATGTTGCCTTCAGAGTTTGTTAATAGTTTTGTGTATTTTTATTGATGGTGAATAGACTGGAAGAAACCTTAAGCCTTGATAACATTTACACTTGTGTTAGTAAATGTGAAGGTGTTAGGGAAGCTCACTGTGTAATGTAGGAATAAGGACACAGTTGCGGCAGCATCTTGACAGAGTCTCTCCCCTGCAGACGTGGAGGGCACGACCCTGGTGGTGGGGGCACTTTGACTGGTCAATCCTGTGGTCGTTGTGCAAACTATGGCCAGTCGGGCTGTGTGTCAGCTGCCTTGTCAGGGAGGCGGCCGAGTGGTCGCTCATATTCCAGGTTGCATCGTCCGCGTGGGCCAAACACGCACGGGTCAAGGTTGCGTCCGGCCTCCCCGGTTGTGCAATCTCAGCCATCCAGTCCCTCAGTTTACTCTTCCCTACCTCCAAATATTCCACAACAATCTCTACAGCAAGTGTACCTTATGCCCCACACAGTGCCTGTGTCAGGAGCTGTGATGGTCGGCGTGCAGCAACAGTGGCATTATCCGCCCATTGTCTCCGCTCCTTCTCACCAACTTCCATCATTAGTGACACAAATGACCATAGGTGAACCATTAGTGAATATACCAAACTATCAGCAACAAACTGTACAGTGTACAACTGTAGTTCCTGGGTACAGTACTCCAGTCTACCCATCCCCACATCCTTCTCAAATAAGTAGGACACAACACCCTGTCAGCTACTACCTGGGCTCCCCATACATTCAGCATCAGGGTAGTCGGCCCGGTAGCCGGCCGACCACTCCCGACCAGTGCCAACTTCCAGACTCGGAGTGTCATTATAGTGTAGATATGGAAGACGTTTCCTTCAGACCTCGGGGATCGTACGCCTCAAGACCTTTAGCATTAAGAAAGCAAGAAGTTGTCGATGATTCAGCAGCCACTGTGTCAGATGTCTCCAGCACCAGGAGTGACACATCTGGGACACCGTCGTTGAGATTATCAGTGTCGTCGTTGCCTTCGCCTCTCGATGTCCCCGGGATACCCATTCAGGACCTTGTGTGCCCTTTCCACGAGCGCCAGTCTGAATGGTTAGCACACACTCTTGTTGAATATTACTTGTTAAGTACTTAAACCAGTGGCATGACTTAAACTTTTGAGGACTTTCATCTTTTATGATAGATGAGACGTTTTTGGTCAGGTTATATCATATTCATTGTTTATATTGTGTGAGACAGATAAGGTTTATTAGCACCTGGGCTTCGGGCTATAGTCAGTGTACACCCCCCTCCCGCCCCGCCCCAGTTATATTTGGGAACATTTAAAAAACAAATAAAAAGCATTTCTATCTTACAAACTGGCTATGCATAATATAATCAGGAAAAAGATACGTGTCCTTACCACTGGTTGGCAACACGGGTTAGGAAGAGTCGAGAATGTCCGTGAAGTGGCGTCTGTCTGTGTGTCACTCGGTAGTAATGAGATAAACGACACTAATTTGCAGGCAGTATGTGGTACAGGACATTACTGTTTACACTATTAACAATCATTATTACTACTACAGTTATTGATCATTGTACTAGACTTGTGCTTGGGGAGGTAGAAACACATGGTGAGGTGGGTCAAGTCCAAGGGTGAGATGCTTACATCACAAAAGCTAAGAAGAAACTGGGAGGCTCTCATGTGTGAGTGAGTAAAGACAAATTACCTGTTTGGCAACATAATCTGGTCGGGTCCGCCATATTTATTCAAATAGGCCCGGAAAGATCAAAATGTCCCATGACGTGACCCGAAGCCTAGGGATTAAGTTTGATTCTGTTTCACTTGTTCGTGTGATGTAGTTGCTGTTGACAAGTTTGTGCTGGAGTCTGACTGTTGTCACCTTGTACATACTTGACATAATGTTTAATATATGATAACTTATATTAACCTCCACATACACGGCTGTGGAGAGGAACTGTGGGAGTCAGCTGATGATGGAGCTCTTCAGTTTGATTCTTTGGCAACTTTACTTCCGTGTTCATTATGTAAAAATTATTTTTATTTATGCTTGCTTGTTTTCTTATAATTCTTGCTTCTAATATAAGTTTTCTCGAGGCTGCAACACATTATGTACAGTACTATAAGACCAAATTGTGAAGTGTATCTCTCCTGCGTCTCCCTCTCAAACACATGCAATATCTTAACCTGTATATATATGAAATAGCTCTTCAGTTTACATACCCAGTAACTTACATATACCAAGGGGACATAACCTAACCTTAACCCAACATAGCCTAACCATTTACCTTTACCCAACCCATTATTATTCATAGTCCACAATTTTAGTGTTTTTGTACATATTATACCAAGGAGTCATTTAGGCAGAGTTGTCACAATAGCTGTAATGATCACTACTTTACTGTACTGTACAAGCAGACTTTAAACACACACACACACACACACACACACACACACACACACACACACACACACACACACCATCTGTCAACATCATCTCAGATTATCTCCAGAAGTTTACAAGATGTCGGTCTTTGGTACGAGGAGTATGCACCCAGGCATGACTGCTAGTTGGACTCACAAACAATTTTTGGATAGTTCTGAATTATTTTATGTTTTCGTTCATACTTTCTTTCACGTACGATTTTTTTTCACGTATTAATTTTTTCAATGTCCAATGAAGTATCTGTATTCAAAAACCTTTTTATAGGTGCTGGATGTTTTCTTTCCATTTCTTTTTTGTGTAGGACAGATTTAGTTCCCAATTATTGTATATCGACCAGTGTCACGTGTCCCTTGTAGTGTTGCCTAAAATACATAGTACTCTACAGGGCTCCTCACATTGTCAGTAGCGTTACCTCCTGTATTGCGTCTCCGTCTAAAGGCAACAGTTACCGAATTATAGGTAATGTCGCACAACAGCCATTAATAAAGTATGAATGAAAAGGTTATGCATTAGGGGTTTGGTGGTACAGTACAGCAGTAAGATGCATACACCTCTCTCTAATGTGTCCTGGGTTCACTGACTCTCTAGCCCGGGATAGATGCGAGAATGATGTTAGTCAGCAAACATGGCAGCATCTCTCAGGGTACTCTAGTTTCTTCCTGTACTAACACTGGATAATAGAAGCCATAACAAACCAAAACAAACAGACCAACTGCTTGAATCGCCGGTGAACTGATAAGTGGTGAAATAAAATAGGAAAAAATACTCGTATGTAAAGGCAACGAGTAAATTGAAAAGATTAATGCTGTTAATATGCGTTAATTAAAAAAAAATCATTTTTATCTTTTTCTATTTACTTGGGTAACATTTAGAGGCTGGCGTGAGGATCTTAGTTTATGTAGATGGGTAATTAATGTCTTCCATAAGACCAGTGTGCTGTATGTGGGGTAGATCTTTGCTTCAGTCTTCTTGTATCACTTGTCATCATTACTTTAGAGTTACTGTGAAGCTTCAGCATTTTTGTACTGATATATGTACACTGTATGTTGTGTTGTCAAAGTAAGAGAAACAATTGAGACCCTGCAATTGTGTGTAAATGAGGCAGAAAGTCAGATCAGCAACCTGGGACTTGGTCACATATGGCAGCAGGGTCTACCATTAGACAACACACTATGCTTCCAATATCTTCCCAGGCAGTAGTACCTCCCTGTTTGGTAGCTGTCTACTCTAGTAGTCTGGTAAATAGAGGTTTCATTGCACTCTAATTGCTATTTATTTTTTGTAAGGCTTTTTCTCACTTTTCATCCACAATATTTATTCCTGTTACTGTACTGTATTTGCTTTTGTTTGATTTACTGTGTTGCTTTTATTGTTTTCTTGTGATTAAAGACTCTCTCTCTCTCTCTCAGCTTTGTTTTGTTTGTAGTATCAGAATGTAATTGCTTGTTTGGTTTATTGTGTGTTTTAAAGTATGGAATAGTTCTGTTGAGTCTCCTTGCATATATTTGTTTCTTAAAAGTGCTTCAACATTATCAACAACTCTTTTTTTTTTTTTCCAGTAAGTAATCATTCATTATCTCCCTCCCAGGTCTAGTGCATTACAGAAGAACCAAGAATTAGAGTTTGAGCGGAACTTTGAGCGCTTCGTGTTCCTCAAGTGGGGAGCTCAGGCACTGAAGAACATGCTGATTGTCCCCCCTGGATCTGGCATCGTGCATCAGGTGAGGTTAACTCCATTGCTTGTCTTGACCCCTTTGAGTATGATGACAACCCCTTGACTATGATGATAATCCCTTGAGTACAATGACATCCCTTTAAGTAAAATGAGCACAACAAACCCTAATTTTGTAGTGTGTGTGTTTGTTTTATATAAAATTTAAATACTCAAAATTACTGTCAAAATCTTTAGGGTTAGTTTCCATGATTTTTTATTTATTTATTTAAAAATTTTCCAGTAAAGTTAATACTGTTTATGCTTTGTTTTCCATCCAGGTCAATCTAGAATACCTGGCACGTGTTGTGTTTAGTGAAGACAAATTGCTGTTCCCTGACTCCCTGGTGGGCACCGACTCACACACAACGATGATCAATGGCTTGGGGGTCGTTGGCTGGGGAGTCGGAGGTAAGTGTCATAATGAAGGTTACGTCTCTCTGGATGGCTTGTCATTGTTGAGTCTCACCTGCGATCGCTTTTAGTAAGGTCGTTCACTCAGAGAAGGGAGCTTATATTGCACTGGCATGTTTTATGGGATATCAAATTATAAATGTTTGGGTTTAAGGAGCGATGCAGAGTAGTTTTGATGCCTAGAGCAACAGTACCTGAGGGAAAACCACTACAGTAATAGCCATTGCCTCACTCTTGTTCTCTGTGTTTGAAACTTGGTCAACCATTTGTATATCTCTGCCATAAACATTGATTAACTGCATTATTTTGTTATAGTTGTAAAAAGATCACAGGAAAAGACCCCCCTCCAGCTTATTTCACCTGATGATTAAAACACCCTAATGCTAACCTAACCTAACCCAATCCAACACTCTCCGGTATAAGATTTTGGTGTTTAATCATCAGGTGAAATAAGCTTGGATTGGTTAATATCAAAGTAATCTGTGATTTTTATACCGTACATTACAGTATATCTTTTAGGCAGGTACAGTACATTGCAGTATAATTAATGTACAGTGTAATACAATAGGATATAAATAACTACAGTATCTCAGGGTTATTGTCAACACCTGTCACATCTCCATTGTACTGTATTATCTGGGTTATAGATAAAAACAACGATAATATGGTACAAAGTTCAAGGTTTGTGATGGTGATGTCTGAGGGGGAGGACTTTTGTATTCCCAGGCACACTTATTTATCCATGAAGTGGCGTGTTTGATATAAAAAAAACATGTGCCTAACCAACACAAACATGGAAAATGTCTTGAAAACAATGATGATTACTTCTAACTCCTTTTGTCAGGGAAATGTTATTGATTATGGTCAGGGAATACAAGCTGGTTGGGACACTCGGCTTGCCAATAATTACACATGATGATATTGGGAGGTTGTTGTGGAAGGTCGGCCTTCATCAGTCCATCATGATAAGGAGAACAACCGTAGAAAGATCCCCAAATCTTATCATTTGTAATAGTATAAGACTTGAATACCGTAATTTACTTCTCTATAATTACACTTTAATAAATCTGTTGGTTTTTCAGAGTGTCCATTAGGTAGCTTACTGTTGAAATGGATCAATTGTCTGGCAAGTCAGTTGGTGCAGTTGTCTCTACCAAAGTGTCAATCACATAACTTTGATGTTTTAACCTCTCCTGTTGGGTACAGGCGGTGTTTGAAAGACTTGGAAGATTTCTTTCTTGGTGTCTTTTCTCAATCTGTGGAGATATAATCTGTAATGTGATACTAATTTGAGGAAATATTATGAGTATACGAGTAACAACACCAGTTACCCCAGAGACGTGCGCGTGTATTCACTCGATGTCGTAAGTAAATGATGTTCCTTTCACCCTGCCATATTTTTACAGGTATTGAGGCAGAGGCTGTCATGCTGGGTCAAGCTGTGTCAATGGTGCTGCCAAAGGTCATAGGTTATCGCATCACAGGTGATCTCTCTCCTCTCGCTACCTCAACAGACGTTGTTCTTACCATCACCAAGGTGAGTCGGTCCTCAGAGTCACAAACTTTTGATAGTTTTCAATAAAACAATGAACAGTGTAATTTTTTTATGGAATTTTACGTGCTTTAATATAGGGCTTAAATTAGCAAAAACACTGCTGCCTGTTGGGAGAGCCTCGCTGCTTGCAGCCTCGTACACAATTACAGACACCTTGATGTGTCTTAGTGAACTGTTTTTATCCACTTGACATAAAAGAATTAAGTTAATGTAAAATGTTTAATTTCACAAAATATTGTACAGTACTTGGAGCAGAAATTATATTAATAGTATAACTTAATACTGTAGCTTGTTCTCTATTACTGTATTTAAGGGGAATTACAGTAGTATGGCTGTAGAATGTTGTCTATGTACATGCTTAGAGACCTTAGTTATTGAAGTGCAGTAATACATTGCAACATTAAACCCCAAACATCTTGTGTGGTGGTGGTGACAGCAACAACATACTGTATATCACAACCACTCAACACATATAGAAGATTCCCAAGTGTAAAGCAAAGATGATTATTACTTTGTCTAACTTGCAATTCATTAATCATTACATAGTTGATATTACTATTACAGGGGGTAATAGTTTCAAGCTATTTTTTCCCCTTTCAACCTTCACTTTGACACAGTATAGTATTAAAGCGTTGCATGAAATTTTAAGATTGTCATGTAAGATAGGGTCCAAGTAGGTAGGTTTAGACATTTTGAGAATATACTTGTATCAGCCAACTCTCAAGACTGTTTTTATTAAGGTAGATAGATGAGAATTGACAAGAATTATGTGGTGATTTGTTTCCTCTGTTTGTTATTGTACGGCTGGTTGGTTTGTGCTTGACTCCCACCTGTACAATCACCATCAGACACTGTACCCACTCAAACATGTCCCAGCTCCTACAAACACCTGAGTCACTAATGTATCCCAACACTGCTCTGCCTCTCTCACTTGTTTATTCTTTAGTCCTTCAGTGCCACTCTACCTCAGTTCTTCACAGTGTTCTCCGTGCTTGGCTTCTCCGTATTCATGTATTACCTTAGATCTCCTACTTCTCCGTCTTGAACCGTTATATACTGTACTTGTAATATTTAATTTCTCTTCAATTACCTCCATCTAAATATCTATACTGTACTAACACTACTCCAGTCTTTAATCTCTCAGTGTTGTCTCATTCTTCAAACATTCATGATGCCCTGATGTCTGAACTCTCACACCCCAGCCTTAGTTCCACCTAACATACCAGATGTAGTTTTGTATGTAATTTGTCATCTTTAAATGCATTCTCTGGTACCTAGGATGGATCAAGTACTGTTCCTCAGACTCGTGAAAAGTAAGTTTAGTGTCGGTGAATAAAGTAAAAAAAATAAAGTACATATTTCTTTAGACTGCTTCATATGCCTTACTGTACAGTCACCATGCACCACCGGCTTTCACTGTGCACCATAGATTAGTCGGCAGCTTTGATATATGTGCCAAAATTCTTCCTTTCATTGGTGATTATCGCTATATCACTATCTACTATCCTCACACTTCAGCAGAAACTTACCGTAACTTACAGTATCTATAGTTAGGATGGTCTTGTTGCTTGAGGTAACTCCTAAAACACCTACCTTAGCATTGAGCTGTTCCTCCTTTAATACTCAACATTAGCCCCCACCATACTTTTCCCCAGGATTAAACGCCCTAATGATTCTACCTGGTGAGGTTAGGTACTGTACATGCAATTAGGTTAGGTTGAGTTGGATTAGCATAGGATGGTTAATTTTAAGGTGAAATAAGCTGAGGACTAATCTCATGGTGATGTTCACACTGTAACTCCTTCATAATACAGTACTGCTCGGGTGCTCCGAGTACAGTTGTATTAGTATGCTGTACAGTCATAAACAAGTCCCACCGCCTCTTCTGCTGCTTTGCGAACCCCAAGATTCAAGACTCATGAATCCAAACCATTTAAGGACAGAACAATGCATCGGTGTCTACTGCTTCGAGTTCACGAGTCTGAATCTTGGGGTTCGTGAAGCATCAGGAGAGGCTGTTCGCAACTGTACATTGATCACCTTCATCTGACCAAAAGCTACACAAAGTCTTACATTCATATTAATCTGTATTTGTCCAGGAACTATAAAATATACTGTACCCCATTCCTCTTCATGTACAATTCACCATAATTCTGGTAATGTGCGAGTTTTTGCTGTGACGGTGCAGTTTACTAGTGTGTCATTATTCTGCTTTAGGAAATGGGATCACACAAACACTAGGCACTTCAGCTTATGTCACCTGATGATTAAATACCCTGACACTACCTGATGGGTTAGGTTAAGGTTACAGTGGTTAATCTTAAGGTGAAATAAGCTGGGAGGTCAAATCTTTCCATGGTCCAAAAAAAAATTAAAGGAAAAAAAATAGTTCCGATTTTTCTTATTAACTTCTCATGAAACTGTGACCAGCCATAGATGGGGGGAGGGAGCACCTCATTAATGCACTGACTCTCTCACACTTGTCTGGTTTTCTTCTCATTTTACTCTTTATTAATGTCATAAGTCATTTGTTTCATATGAGTATTGTAGTTTTGTCTCATTTACCCAATATTATCCACGGTAATACAGACACTAACATGGTTTAAGACAGTGGTTGAGTATATGATCACAAGACAGAATTTAACTTCAAATTACAGTAAAGTTGATAAGGTCAGCAGATGTTTATTAGTAAAGGAGAAGTTAAGCCTAACCTTTAAATAGCAGCCATCATCAGTGGAAGTTGAACTATGGTACAGCAGGTTTAACAGCAACATCACCATCATTAACTGTCCCATACATCATCATCTCCTCCTCCTCCTCCTCTCCAGCACTTAAGACAAATTGGTGTGGTGGGGAAGTTTGTGGAGTTCTTCGGGCCCGGCGTACAGCAGCTGTCCCTCGCCGACCGCGCCACCATCTCCAACATGTGTCCTGAGTATGGCGCCACCATCGGCTTCTTCCCCGTCGACGACGTTACCATCGGCTACCTGAGACAGAGCAGTAAGGGTTAAACTATTATTCCTAAGGGTTATTGTTTTCAAAGGGTTAAATGATCATTCTCACAGGGTTAAATTACCATTCTTGTCATTTACTCTATAATTATTTTTTTTCATGTTAAAAAATGCACCTCAACAAGAGAGCTTATTATTTTGTATCATTTTTTTTTACAACAGATCGAGATGAAGGCAAGATTGAACAGATTGAAGAGTATCTAAAGGCTGTTAAAATGTTCAGGAACTTCATGGATTCATCCCAGGATCCTGTCTTCAGCGAGGTAAGAAAGTTACTGTAGTGTGTGTGTGTGTGCGCATTGTACTGAACATCTCATGAGTCATACACCATAGTAAATTTAATGCTATCTTCTTTTTTTCAGGTGAGGGAATCATAACAAATCAATGAAGTCTTCCTACACCTCTCAATTTCCTTCTCTGAGTTTATTTAAATAGTTCTAAGATGTAGACAACAGATTTTAGGTGACCTCAGAGGAAGAGATCAAGTGGTGTGAGCTAGAGACCATAGAGGGTGGTCATTCGGTTGATCCTCGTCGCCCAGTTTTCGTTGATCTGTTATGATTCCCTCACCTGGAAAAAACATTATTTTTCCTCTGGTGAGCGACCTATGAGAGACCATGGGGGGGGGGATCACACACACACACCTTGATGGTTAAATCGGAGTTGTAGAAGTTGGATGGGGTGAAAGCAATGTAAAATAGGGATGGTTGTAGATATAAGACAATGATCACCTGTTAGTTGTGTAGTAAATTGAAAGAACTGTTAAAATAATAAAATACTTAAGATATTAATTGTTTATAATCTTTGACTAGGGATCAGTAATTCTGATTTATAAAGTAATGCAATAATATCATTCATAATCTCAAAATATACAGTATTAGTTTGCATGTATATAAGGTTTTCATGTACAATTATCAAGTTTTCTTTTCTCTCTCTCTAACAGGTGGTGAGCCTAGATTTGGGCGAGGTAGTCCCTTCACTGTCCGGTCCTAAGCGACCACATGACAGAGTGTCTGTGTCATCTATGAAGGATGACTTCCACCAGTGCCTTGGGAATAAGGTAAGTACAGAACAGTGTTGTGTTGGTAATGACCAGTCGTCCAGGTGACCCGTCTTACTGTTCAGATCTCGAGAAGGTTTGGAACTCGCATATTTCACAAGATAATTAAATTTTCCTAATGCTAACCTAACCAAACTCCCCCCCCCCCCCATTTAGTGTTGAACACCCAAATGCAAATTTAACCCTAAATTTAGCATTAGACAGACACCCTTATACATACCTAACACAAGCTCCAAAACTAACCTTGCTTACCCTTATAGCGTTAGGGTGTTTAATCATCAAGTGAAATAAGCCAAGTTTTTTACTCATCACAAAATCCTGTCGTCCGTAGAAAATTTAAACATCAATAGCACCTCATCTGTTGTTGGGTTTTTTTACTACTGGAGTTTATCTTATGAGAAGGATACTGTATGGGGGTGAGAAGCTATACTGTCTTCACTCCAATCATATAACTGGACCAAATCAAAGGAAGCTCATGATCGAGTCACACCGACTGAATAAGTGAAATACTTTGTACCAGTAAACACCACTGATCATTATTAACTTTAAGACATCTACGTTGTCACGGTGTTTCGTGCGCTAATTTTTATTTCCCGGTTTTGAATATCATTCTCAGTCAACATTAATTATTCGTATTACTTGCCAACCAATCAGTTTACATTGATAAACTCTGCTTGTTAAGCTCAAGTGAATGATGTATGGAGGTGGATGACAGGAGGGAGAGAGGAGACCAAGAAGGGAGAGGGACAGATAGGTATCTGCGAAGGAGCAGTGTGTTGATGAGAGGAAAGAACCATATCAGTACTCCAGCTACAGCATTGTTCTCACTTGTGGTAAGCCTTGTGTTAGTGAAGACAAGGTTCACAATTTCAACCTGTTTTACACAACATCAAATCTCTCAACCTGCCTCGCAAACTCTTACACAATATCCTACTATCTTTCACAAACTTTTACACAATATCCCACCACTTTTTACACTTACACAACAATCTTCTCATCCATATTTTCATAATCTAAGACAATCTTCATACAGTATTTAGATTTATTTTCCTGTTTCCATCTTCCTTGTTGAAGTCTTTGTTATCAGTTTTCTTTCTATTGATAATCCCTTCAAGGTAGACTAAACTTCTCGAATTATCACACAGGATGTTGACTTTGCCTACATTGTTGTGGACGAGTAGCAAAAGAAAGTGTCTTAATTAGTATGGGACTGTGTTTGTTGGTTCAGCAGTGGGGAATATTAGTACAGGAAGAGACTAAGTTGAACCATAATTAGGAGCTTTATTCTAGAAGTGGAGTACCATAGCACAATACATTCACAGCAGAATGACTGCTTTTGTGTACAGTGGTTGTGGTGATGTGTCCACACTGTTTGGTCTGGGAGAAGTTGTTGTGTTGCAGTGCTAGACATGTCCATCGCCCAATGTCTTAAATTTTCTTCCTGTTATGGCTTGTTTGTAACCTTCTCTTCCTCTCAGATAGATGTGGTCTGGTCACACTGTCATCTCTTACTCAGGTCTCTATAACATTTGTAAATGCTTGTGTATTCAACCTCTTCTAAGCCTTTATACTGTATCTATATACAAAATTATGGAATATTTTCTTTGTTCTGGGGTCTGAAAATTCTTGCCAAATAGACAAACTTGTGAGTGTAAGACTTTAACCAGTTCTGACACTCTGTTAGTGTAGCTAGAGATTGAGAAGGTAGTTGGGTCATGGAATGTGTTTGATGACCTAATTGTGTCTAGGTTCTCCCTGATGTTACAAAAAATATGAAAATATATGAACACTTTGGTTTTAACAGTATTTTATTTATTCATAACTCAGATACAGACCGAAAATACAGTATTTTCCACAACTAACATTTCTCTCAGTCCACTTACTGTACTGAATACATTTTAACTCCTACACTATGAAATCCTCAAAATTTGTCAGTGTGTTTGACTTAACTATTTTAACAACTGTTTGGCATTTATACAAAAAGGTCTCGTGTAAACAAGTGAAAAGGTCTTAGTACCGGTGATGAGAGGTGGTCACAGTACCGGGACGAGTGCTACCCGGTGATGACCTCTCGAAACACCACCAGAGTGCCAATCGTCCCAGCAGGTGTGTCACATAGTCCTTAGTTCACGTGATGTTCAGGCTGTCCTCTTAATTATTTGTATCGAGGATGTGATGTTCAAGAGAGGTTTGTGTCTCTATGATGAGCACAAGAGGCAGCAGTTGTTGGTGGTGCTGCTGGACGAGTGTTGGATCTAGTCATGAGACAATATACATGCACTAGGTCTACACCCTCCGGCCACACGCCCAGAGTAACACCCCCCCCCCCCTCTCTCTCTCTCTTTTTCCTCCCTTCAACAAATTTCACCTTGATATTTACTTGCCCGGGTCAGCCAATCACAGCCTTCCAAACAAAGACTTTGTGACTATTCCATTATACATAGTGTGTGGTGCTGTCAGCTGTCAACCCTATTTATAGAATAGCACCTTCCCTTCTTGTCAGGTCCAACACCCGGCTGCTGCATGGTCAGGTCAACTTAATCCCTTGACCTGACCCGAGGGTCACTTTACAAATCCTTCAGATCTAACCCCTTTTCTCATAGCCTCCTGCCAGCGAGTGGTCATAACAGGACACTAATATAAGAGATAAATATCTTTAAATAAAATCCTTAGAAAAATAAGTCAGAACAAATGAAATCTAACTCATCACATGTACAGTAGTTGAACATCTCCAGTCTCTAATATTCTAGCGTCTCACTAAACAATTTTAGCAACTCGAAAAATAAATATAATTAACTCTAAATAAACGAGTATAAAAAATCAAGAGTAAATCACTAAACATGAAGGGTTGATGGAGGCAGAAGGTGGTCACAGGCTCTGGCAACCAATACTGGTGAGGACTCAGCAGAACCACGGTGATAATTCCTAACTCAGGCCACACCAGGCTGCAGGAACCACTATAAATATAAGCAGCCATTAGTCACCTTCAGGTTTATACATTGTGGGTAATTTGGCTGTTTTTGGTATTGATTTTCGCTAAAATTCCTTTTCGGTAATTTAACAGGTTTGGGTAAATAGAAGTTTGCAATATAATATAATGATAAGGTAAGACATTAGACTGAAGGAATCATCCACGTCGTAATGTAGCAAGAGCAGGCAGGGTCACAGATGTATCCTTCCCGGTGACAACCACAGTACCACGCCAAGCGGGAATGCTACACCCATCACCCACACTTTCACAATGTTTTCCTAAACAATTCCCTGGAAAAATTAAAGCGCCATATTTGTACCTGTAATGTAGAGTCGTGGGTGGTGGTGGCGAGTCCGCGATGATTCTCTCCCGGTGACGTCCATAACCACGTCAGCCGGACGAGAGTCACCCGCGTCTCCGCCCACGTCATCACAGAAGCAAGACTCGGGTTTAAACTACCTACCTCATCACAGTTACCTTTATGATCATTCATATAGGTAACTGCGTCGGTGACTACACTTATAGTAGTCGCACGCCATGACAACCGTCTAGTAACTAAAACTGTGATATGGTTTACTATGTATACACATGCACAGTAAAAGTTCCCAGGGGGGGCGCCATATATTGTCAGTAAGTTTATTGGTATTTATTAGAAATGAGAACCAGTTATGCCCCGAACACTAAACATTGAGGAGGTACAGTGTCTGGGGCCAGCTAAAAAAAATTTCCTTAAGATCATTGCCATCTTCATAAAGAACAGTACAGTAATGTGCTCGCTCAGTCTTATAAATCAGATCTATATTATAAATTACAACCTTGTTACCATCAGTAACTAAAGGTACAAACTCTACGTGAATCCCTGTTGTTGACGAGCTAGATTGTGTTGAATACCATTATCTTGCCTCACACACACAGCTAACCTGACGCACGCACATATCTGGCCACACACGTCAACACGAGCCAAGGATGTACCTAACATACTATCTGTAGGACAATGTTTGCAGTAGAAGAGGACGGTGGAATCAGACGTGATATCCTGCCTTGCTGGTCTAGCTTTATGATTGGCAGCATATTTGGCTCATACAGCTAGACCACCAAAGAAAGATCACACGACAGTTGGTGCCCACCGCTGATAACTTGGTCAGTGGCGGCCGCTGTTTTCTGTAAAATAACTCATAGCTCGGGAAGGTCCGAAGATGATCAGTGGATGAGTGTCGTATCTAGTCACGGGCTAAAACACTATCGTGTACCAAACACACACTCACCCACCCACCACGCCACAACACTACCACCCACACGGCCTATCACTTGCCAATGTATTAATTATTAGATAAGGAAGCAAACTTTGTTGAGAGCTGGTAGTAGTGTGGTGATTCGGATGATTCATCATACCCGGTGACGCCAGATATAACACTCGTCTGCCGGGCGGGAACCATCGAATCACCGCACAAGAGAGCTGATCACTGCCACGGTAACGCCGCCATGTCTTACCTTTTATCACCAGTAATACTTACACCATGATGTGTCCCAGGAGAGGCCTTCGTCTTACGTGTTGCCACCACCAGTTATGAGGAGCTTGTTGAGGGTGTGAGCGACTGACAGCTTGTGAGAGCGTCTCTGCTACTAGAGAAGATCACCCTCCGCCCTCTGGGTCAAGTTGGGTCACTCTGGCTTCCTATTGGACGAATAATCTGAAGGTCATCACGTGACCGCGCAATACTTTTCTTATTGGTCGACTTTAATCCCACGATACTACACACTCACCATTGACTTGTTTTCTGTCAACTTGGGGAGACGTGAGAGTTAAAATATGCGGCCATTGCTAGTTGTTAAAAGCTATTATTAAAGTGAAAATATATCTTAGAATTATATTCACCGATCAATACTGTATATCTGTAGGGAACTATAAGGAGTGGGTGGAGATTAGTGGGAGGGTGGGGTAGTGACCTGACCCACCAGCTGTACCAACACAAGGACGCTACACGGTAACCCCCCCCACACACCTGCTACCTCTCTCTGACCCAATTATAAGTTATTAATATTAGTATTTTGATCAACTGCTGTAATTACCCGTCAACACAACACAATACAGTACAGCACAGCTTAAAAATATACAAATACTGTACTGTATATCATTGTAGACCTAACGCGTCTGGGCGAGACATGACGGACTGTTTTCATCTCCATATATCTGCTTGTCTGCATCACCGTTTTGATTATAAAGGATTTAAAAAAAATTATAAACCTAAATTGTAGTAAAAAAAATTAAATATATAATCCAGAATGACACCTAAAGATTAACCACCCTAACTTAATCTGCCCTAACACTAACCTAACCCCCACCCAAATTATGTTAGAGTGATTAATGTTTAGGTTAAAATAAGCTGGGGGTAGATTCTTCAGGTTGGTTTTGGTTAGGTTAAGATACATTAGTGTTGAGACTTGTTAGGTTAGAATAGGTTGGTTAATCTCCGGGTGGTATAAGCTGGGGGGTGTAGAGTCGGTGTGGTAGCCTGGCGCCATCACAGTCTCTTGCCCGACTTATCTGGTAAGTCTCAACATTTACCTTAGTTCCTCAACTTGTGTCGCTCGGAAGATGTTCGTTTGTATCTACGTTCTGGTGTGATTATATTTGTGTTGGATGAAATAATAGTGTAGAAAAGTATACACACACACACACACACCTACACATACACACACCTTCAGAACAAAGCATGGGGGTCATACCTTCTAGCTCAGGTCAGGGTATAACTGGGTCATATCAGGTCACTTAAGATTACCGAGAGGTCATTTCATGTACTCTGGGATTGTGCTATGACCTCTAATCTATGTAAAGGGGGGGGGGAGGGGGTGGTATGGTGTGAGGTCAGTAAGAAGGTTCATGGAAGTCCTTTGGGAGAGGTCACGGTGGGTCAGGTCAGGTCAACGTTCTGTTCTCGCCTTGTTGGTCATCCTGGGGCCTGGGCTGTTATTTTTATTTTATGTGTAATGTTCAGTCTCTCAGTCTCTCTCTCTCTCTCCTTTACTTTATATATTATTTCTATTTATGTTACTTTGCTTTCTTCAAGTCAGGTCACGTTATTTTACGTTAATTCACGTGACAACTGTATTACTTAAATTTACGTTATTTTACTTAAATTCATGTTACTTTAAGTTACTTTATTGCAATTCACGTTACTTTACTTAAATTCGCGTTACTCTACTTAAAATCGTGTTAATTTACTTAAAATTACGTTACTTTACTTAAATTTAAGTTACAATACCTAAAATCACTTTAATATGCTCAAAATTTCTACTTAAATTCACATTACTTTCAATTTCCATGACATTACTTAAAATTACGTTACTTTACCTCCAATTCTCGTTACTTTACTTAAAATTACGTTACTTTACCTCCAATTCTCGTTACTTTACTTAAAATCACACGTTACTTTACCTTCAATTCTCGTTACTTTACTTAAAATCACATGCTGCTTTACCTTCAGTTCTCGTTACTTTACTTAAAATTACGTTACTTTACCTCCAATTCTCGTTACTTTACTTAAAATCACATGCTACTTTACCTCCAATTCTCGTTACTTTACCTTCAATTCTCTTTACCTAAAATCACACGTTACTTTACCTCCAATTCTCGTTACTTTACTTAAAATCACATGCTACTTTACCTTCAATTCTCGTTACTTTACTTAAAATCACGTTACTTTACCTTCAATTCTCGTTACTTTACTTAAAATCACATGCTACTTTACCTCCAATTCTCGTTACTTTACTTAAAATCACACGTTACTTTACCTCCAATTCTCGTTACTTTACTTAAAATCACATGCTACTTTACCTCCAATTCTCGTTACTTTACTTAAAATCACGTTACTTTACCTTCAATTATTGTTACTTTACCTTCAATTCTCGTTACTTTATCTTCAATTCTCGTTACTTTACTTAAAATCACACGTTACTTTACCTTCAATTCTCGTTACTTTACTTAAAATCACATGCTACTTTACCTCCAATTCTCGTTACTTTACTTAAAATCACATGCTACTTTACCTTCAATTCTCGTTACTTTACTTAAAATCACATGCTACTTTACCTTCAATTCTCGTTACTTTACTTAAAATCACATGCTACTTTACCTTCAATTCTCGTTACTTTATCTTCAATTCTCGTTACTTTACTTAAAACCACACGTTACTTTACCTTCAATTATCGCTACTTTACCTAAATTCACACGTTACTTTGCATTAATTCATGTCACTTGTTGCAGGTTGGGTTTAAGGGATTTGGGCTGCCAGCTGACCAACACGACAAGACCATCCCCTTTGTATATGAGGGCCAGGAGTACACCCTAAAGCATGGAGCTGTGGTCATTGCCGCCATAACTTCCTGTACCAACACTAGCAACCCTTCTGTGATGTTGGGTGCTGGTGAGTTTATAACCTCTGTATGTTGTGACCTCTGTATGTTGTGACCTCTGTATGTTGTGACCTCTGTATGTTGTGCATTGCTTCTCATACACTGTCTATGTCTTCTATATGTCGTAATGGAATGTAGGAAAAAAGATTCTGTTGGGTCAGTTTCATCTGTTGTATGTTTCAGTTGGGCCAGTTTCACTTCCTATGAGTTTCTGTTGAGACAGTTTCACTTACTATAAGTTTCTGTTGGGTCAGTTTCATCTGTTTTATGTTTCTGTTGGGTCAGTTTCATCTGTTTTATGTTTCTGTTGGGTCAGTTTCATCTGTTGTATGTTTCTGTTGGGCCAGTTTCATCTGTTGTATGTTTCTGTTGTGCCAGTTTCATCTGTTGTATGTTTCTGTTGCACCAGTTTCATCTGTTGTATGTTTCAGTTGGGCCAGTTTCACTTCCTATGAGTTTCTGTTGAGACAGTTTCACTTACTATAAGTTTCTGTTGGGTCAGTTTCATCTGTTTTATGTTTCTGTTGGGTCAGTTTCATCTGTTTTATGTTTCTGTTGGGTCAGTTTCATCTGTTGTATGTTTCTGTCTGTTGTGCCAGTTTCATCTGTTGTATGTTTCTGTTGGCCAGTTTCATCTGTTTATGTTTCTGTTGGGTCAGTTTCATCTGTTTTATGTTTCTGTTGGGTCAGTTTCATCTGTTGTATGTTTCTGTTGGGCCAGTTTCATCTGTTGTATGTTTCTGTTGTGCCAGTTTCATCTGTTGTATGTTTCTGTTGCACCAGTTTCATCTGTTGTATGTTTCTGTTGCACCAGTTTCATCTGTTGTATGTTTCTGTTGGGCCAGTTTCATCTGTTGTATGTTTCTGTTGCACCAGTTTCATCTGTTGTATGTTTCTGTTGGGCCAGTTTCATCTGTTGTATGTTTCTGTTGCACCAGTTTCATCTGTTGTATGTTTCTGTTGGGCCAGTTTCATCTGTTGTATGTTTCTGTTGGGCCAGTTTCATCTGTTGTATGTTTCTGTTGCACCAGTTTCATCTGTTGTATGTTTCTGTTGCACCAGTTTCATCTGTTGTATGTTTCTGTTGGGCCAGTTTCATCTGTTGTATGTTTCTGTTGTGCCAGTTTCATCTGTTTTATGTTTCTGTTGTGCCAGTTTCATCTGTTGTATGTTTCTGTTGCACCAGTTTCATCTGTTGTATGTTTCTGTTGTGCCAGTTTCATCTGTTGTATGTTTCTGTTGCACCAGTTTCATCTGTTGTATGTTTCTGTTGCACCAGTTTCATCTGTTGTATGTTTCTGTTGCACCAGTTTCATCTGTTGTATGTTTCTGTTGGGGCCAATATATCTGTTGTATAAGCTTCTGTTGGGCCAGTTTCATCTGTTGCTGTGTTTCTTGCCGGGTCGCTTCATCTGTTGTATGTTTCTGTTGGGCCAGTTTCATCTGTTGTATGTTTCTGTTGGGTCAGTTTCATCTGTTGTATGTTTCTGTTGGGCCAGTTTCATCTGTTGTATGTTTCTGTTGCACCAGTTTCATCTGTTGTATGTTTCTGTTGGGCCAGTTTCATCTGTTGTATGTTTCTGTTGCACCAGTTTCATCTGTTGTATGTTTCTGTTGCACCAGTTTCATCTGTTGTATGTTTCTGTTGTGCCAGTTTCATCTGTTTTATGTTTCAGTTGGGCCAGTTTCATCTGTTTTATGCTTCTGTTGGGCCAGTTTCATCTGTTGTATGTTTCTGTTGGGTCAATTTCATCTGTTTTGCAAGTCGTTGGGCCAGTTTCATCTGTTTTATGCTTCTGTTGGGTCAATTTCATCTGTTTTATGCTTCTTGCTAGCCAGTTTGTTTTTATGCTTCTAAGCAATGTTTCATCTGTTTTATGCTTCTGTTGGGTCAGTTGCATCTCTGTTGTATGTTCTCTTGCTAGCCAGTTTGTCTGTTTGTTTCTGGGCCAGTTTCATCTGTTTTATGCTTCTGTTGGGCCAGTTTCATCTGTTGTATGTTTCTGTTGGGTCAGTTTCATCTGTTGTATGTTTCTGTTGCACCAGTTTCATCTGTTGTATGTTTCTGTTGCACCAGTTTCATCTGTTGTATGTTTCTGTTGGGCCAGTTTCATCTGTTGTATGTTTCTGTTGCACCAGTTTCATCTGTTGTATGTTTCTGTTGGGGCCAGTTTCATCTGTTGTATGTTTCTGTTGGGCCAGTTTCATCTGTTGTATGTTTCTGTTGCACCAGTTTCACTTCTTATGAGTTTCTGTTGGGTAAAGAACTTAAGGCTTTATATCACTATCTCCCTCATTAACCATTATATAATTTATTGTAGTAATTTAAGTATGTTAACACAAGTCCTCTGTTTTTACCTCCATATACAAGGAAAGAAAGAAAGAAAGAAAGAAAGAAAGAGAAAGAAAGAAATAAAGAAAGAAAGAAAAATAGTCACTAGTATACTGTATTTCCTTCTTTGTTTCAGGTCTGTTAGCCAAGAAAGCCGTGGAGGCGGGACTAACAGTAGCGCCATACATCAAGACGTCGCTGTCACCCGGGTCTGGCGTCGTGACTCACTATCTGCAACACTCCGGGGTCACGCCCTACCTCTCCAAGCTTGGTTTTGACATCGTCGGGTACGGTTGCATGACCTGTATTGGCAACTCGGGTCCTCTTCCTGAGTCCATCGTTGAGGCCATCGAGAAGGTGAGTTTGTAGGTACTGTACTGCATGCTAGTTTTGTTTATACATGTACTGTACAGTGGAAGGTAACTTAAGGTGACCCGTCCTAACCTAGCATATTCTAACCTTAAACAAATCTAACTCAACTTAATTTAACCTTTATTAGTCTTGAATTTTCTTGCCGTCAGATCATGCAGTTCGGTGCGGTACGATTGATTTATCGTAATTCGTACCAAAGGAAAAATGCCGTACCATAATTTTGTACAGTACCTCAGATATACCTTCGTACCGTAATTTAGTGCCGTACTGTACCGTACTACATGCTCTGCTTGTCGTACATTTCATGAAATTGACGATAATGGCATAAAATTTTCCGCAGAATGACCTCGTGTGCTGTGGAGTCCTGTCTGGCAACCGTAACTTTGAGGGCAGGATACACCCCAACACCCGGGCTAATTACCTGGCCTCTCCACTGTTAGTCATCGCGTACGCCCTGGCCGGACGCGTGGATATTGACTTTGAGACGGAGCCTATTGGTATGTATATAGTACTGTACTGTCGTTGTGTTATGATCTGTGTAACTAATATACTGTATGTAACTATCACCTGTATTATTTTCAAGGTTTAAAAGTTAATTGTTCTGTTTGTATATGTATCAAATAAAAGGATTAGCCCCTTGCCTTATTTCACCTAAAGCTTAAACATCCTGATCCTTACCGAATTGTTTCACTATCTTTACCAACCTGAAGATTAGTCCCCACAGCTTATTACACCTAAAGCTTAAACATCCTGATCCTTACCGAATTGTTTCACTATCTTTACCAACCTGAAGATTAGTCCCCACAGCTTATTACACCTTAAGATTAAACATCCTGATCCTGTACTATCCTCACCTCTCTCGCCAGGTAATGTTAATGAGATGAAATAAACTGGGGGACGAGGGGGAGTCTATTCCTCAGGTGATCCAGATTTTTACTTGAACGTGAAGTCTGATAACCCCAGAGTGAACATGTGTCTCATCACAGGTAAAAGTGACACTGGCAAGTTGGTGTACCTTCGCGACATCTGGCCACAACGCGCAGACATCCAGGTGGTGGAGCAGGAACACGTGATACCAGCCATGTTTAAGGAAGTCTACTCTCGCATCACAACTGGGAATGACCGCTGGAACAAGCTGGAGGCTCCTGAGGGGATGCTGTACCCTTGGGACTCTAAGTCGACCTATATCAAGAGGCCTCCCTTCTTTGAGGGCATGACGAAGGTGGGCATGTTGTATAGGTGATTATTACTAAGATAGATAGGTATGTAGAGGGAGAGATAGGATAGAGAGAGAAAGAGTGATAGGTAGATAGGGATCCTGTAGGTCCCTGTTATATATATCATCACTGGTGTAATGAGGCTCTGATGACTGTTTATAACCCACAGGAGTTGCCATCCATTAAGACCATCAAGGACGCTCAAGTTCTTCTTTATCTTGGAGACTCTGTAACAACCGACCACATATCACCGGCTGGTTCTATAGCTCGTGACTCTCCTGCGGCACGCTACCTGGCAGCTAATGGGTATGGCACTGAGAATACTACTTTCTATGAATCTTTTGATGATTTGCACTTCCAGTTTATTTCACCTCAAGATCGACAAACCTAATGCTAACTTAACCTAATGTAACCGAGACTCCAGGTAGCATTAGGGTGGTTAATGTTCAGGTGAAATAAGCTGAGAAGATGAATCTTCAGGTAATTTATTTTCTTTATCTGTAAGACTTTATCAGAATCTTCACTCAAACTTGTCCTTCAGGGGTGCAGGTGGTAGAGCGGTACCGCTCTTGCCTCGCAAGCGAGATGTCACGGGTTCGATTCCCGGGCCGGTGGAAAGTTGTTTGGACACTCTTCCTAGCCCCCCTTGGTCCCTGTTCACCTAGCAGTAAAGTAGGTACCTGTTGTAAATCGAAAAGTTGCAAATTCGAGTTCAGGGAAAATTGTTGGAGCTTCCAATAACTTGCTGACAAAAACCTATGACTCTTCAGGCTTCTACACCCTTGACTAAAAACCTCTGACCCTTCAGGCTTCTGCTCCCTTAACTCATGAGACATAAAGGCATGCATGAACTTAGCATGCTTCCCAGATGGGCGCTGTGAGTGCTTCTGCACTTCACCTTGCACAGGATGTAGAGGGGTGCAAAAAAAAAAAAAAAAATGTCCTTCCTATGCAAGTCTTTTCATGAATTTGTCATCACATGTAAAACCTTTGTCAGAATCTTGTGTCTTTTATGTGCCTGAATGAGTTTGGTTGTTATCATCTTGATCAGTATATAATCCTTGCCAGTGACCATCATCTAGGAAATAGGGAATCCTTAGCTGATGGTTGAGGGTTAAAAGACAATGATATAAATGCAGTTATTCGCGAATAACATTTGCGGACGGGGGGTTAATATTTACTTGTGTACAAAAAAATTATATTCCCTTTATGTGTTTGCCCTTAGGACAGTTATTTCTTTTACCTGTATTGTATATATGTGTGTGTGTACTGTAGACACACACACATACAAATAAATAATAATGGGAAAATACTCTCACAAATAATCAGAAACAAATTTATTAAAAATATGACAGTCTGCCCTCAAGTCCGTGCTCTATTAATAAAGTAATAAAGCACGGACTTGAGGGTAGACACATTTTAATAAATTTGTTTTTGATTATTTGTAAGAGTATTTTCCCATTATTATTTATTTGTATGTGTTTTGTGTGTGTGTCTATACACACACACACACACACACACACACATATTTACAATACAGGTAAAGAAAATTACTGTCTCTAAAATGAATGGCTTCCTGTCCCAGCCACAAAAATGCTGGCAACTTTAAAACTAGCCACAGACATTCTTGGGTACATCTAGGGTGTCATCCGCGAATAATAGAGGACCGTGAACTTGGGGGGCCACCTGTACAGTACAGTATATGTAAATGACAACTAACACTTATTTTGTAGGTCATGTCTGGTAAATGGATGAGTAGGATATTATGTATTTAACCTAACTTAACATTTTGGTCTGTGTCTGATGTTTGTATGTTTGTTTTATGACACTTTAGTAATACACAGCTTGTTATTTCTCGTTTAGTTTGACTCGCCGTGATTTCAACTCGTACGGTTCCCGGAGAGGCAACGACGCTGTCATGGCCCGAGGTACCTTTGCCAACATCAGACTTCTAAACAAGTTCATTGGAAAGGCCGGCTCACGCACCATCCACCTGCCATCTGGGGAACAGGTAGAGTAATGATTTTCAATGGAATTATAATGGCACTTCACTACTTACAGTCTGATACTCAGGTCTCTGTATTCCCCAGCACCTTTGGTGTCATTCATAAATGTTTTTTGCACATTATAGTTTATAATATTTTCTGCTACAGCATCAGTAGGAAAATTATCGTAATACATCTTTTGGGTCATCACTTCCAACATCCACTGGGCTGGGGGCTCCTCTGATGAACATATACTGTACCTCTCCTCTCAGGTAGGGAACCCACACCATTATGTAATTATTTCTCACCATCAACATTAGGTTACCTGTTCCTTAAGTAATACACATTTATCACATGTAGATTAATAAAGGTATCTGGTGCTGTACTGTTAATCCATGTGAAGTCCTCTAATATACTGTACACACCTTGTAGATGGATGTGTTCGATGCTGCGGAGCGTTACCGAGAGGAAGGCCGGCCAGTTGTGATTCTGGCAGGGAAGGAGTATGGATCAGGATCATCCAGAGACTGGGCAGCCAAGGGACCCTTCCTATTGGTGGGTGATAAACAGTGGTGTTTTCCTCTTGTTTATTTTTGCTTGATAAAACTGTATTATTCGTGGCATTTGTTTTAGTTACAGAAATAATTACTCGTGTTGTTTTCCGTGCCACAGGGCGTGCGTGCTGTGATTGCAGAGTCATACGAGCGCATCCATCGCAGTAACCTTGTGGGGATGGGCATTATTCCTATGCAGTTCTTGGAGGGTCAGACGGCCGAGTCTTTAGGAATTACCGGCAGAGAGACATTCAGTATAAGTCTTCCAGATGACTTGAAGACTGGTATGGTTGTATCTGTACAGGTGAGTGAAAAATAAATTAAAAATCCTCTAAAAATTGAATAAAATGGCGATCATAATTCACCATTTTAAATTTATACTCCCAGCCCTAAGTAATGACCTGACCTTAACTTAACTATTTATTAATGATCCACATATTATTGAAAACCTCTGATTTTGTTGTTCTGTCATAATAAATACGTACTGAATTAATGTACCTGGAATTTGTCAAATTTACACCTGGGAAACCTGGAAAAGCCAGGGAATTTTGTTTTGTCTGGGCAGTAGGCACCCTGAGTCTATCTTTACTATATAAACATGTTAGTTTTTACTTTCCCCAAAAAATATCAATTTACGTCAAAATACGCCTGACCTAATACCTTATTTTTAGGCACTTGGGGTAAAAATAATAGATTTTGCTTATACAAAGGAACTACTTTACATGCTGATGAAGGATCTGGGTTCACAATTTAAAAACTTGAGTGAAAAGTGTTAATTAAGTGACCTTTGAAATAATTAAAGATATTTAAAAAGTAAATTACGCTGTACCCATAAGTTTTAAATCACCTTTATATACATTTTCTTTAAAAAAAATAGACTAATTAATATACTGTACTGGTTCTACAGGGTGTCCATAAATAATTACCCTGATTAAAGCATGGTCTACCACCGTTTTAGGGTAATCATTTATGGACACCCTGTATTATTGTCCATATACAAACAACACTGGTTCTCTCACACTGCTACATGCCATCACCACCACCTCACTGATCTGTTCACAGCTGGGTGATGGGAGGTCTTTTGAGGCCCTGGTGAGGTTTGACACAGAAGTGGAGCTGACTTACTTCCGTCATGGCGGCATCCTCAACTACATGATCCGGAAGATGATCGAGTGAACAACATTATTCGCCGTTGGACCGAGTTTGGAAACATTTGATTTTATCGGGATGTTTTAATTGACTTAAGTTAATTGAGGTTATTATTGGGAGTTAATTGATTGTGATATAAAGCCTCAAGTTTGTTTACCTTGTAAAGTAAATCAAAACATTGTACTTACACAGATGAAGCAGTGCAGTATATTATAATGAACATGTGTTAATATTATTATTATCATCATCATTATTATTATCATTATTAGTGTATAATATTGTTATTATTATTATTATTATTATTATCATTATTATTATTATTATTATTATTATTATTATTATTATTATTATTATTATTATTATTATTATTATTATGATGGGATGGTGAAGGGAGGTGAGGTAAGGCCCAGCAAACACTGCCAGTTTTTCCTATGTCAGCATCAGTGTTTCTCAGAAATCATTGCAGTACATACATATAAATGTTGATAGTTTTTACTTAATACAGGTAATGAATTCCTACTCTCTCTCTCTCTCTCTCTCTCTCTCTCTCCTTTTTTTAGACAAGTGAATATTTTTTTTATTGCTAATATGGTCAGTTGAATTGTTGACAAGATTTTCCTTTCTTTCTGTTAAAAAGATGTGTGTGTACTGTATTCATACTTGAACACCTACATATGTATACATCATAATAAATGTATTTTACTCTCACCCTCCTTGTATTGGCTGTAGGGACAGCAGCCATCATCAGTGGAAGTTAGCTGTAGGGACGGCAGCCATCATCAGTGAACGTTTCATGTTCCTTACATTCCATTTATGCTCCAGTTAAAGATTAAATGAAACAACAACAAAATTATAATAAACACACATTACAACCTTTCTTCTCATAAAAGAAGTACAGTACAGTATTGCAGCAACCTCTGTGTAAGAGTAAGACTTGCTTGTGAGGATAGATTGTGGCTGCCTGAGTATAGTGGTTGTTGTTTGGGTCTTGAGACACTAGAGGGTAATAAGAGCCCATTTGTGATACATACACTGGCTACGTCTTTTGATAAAAGGAGCCGAGAGGTTTCAGTATGACTACATTACCCATAGACACACCAACTTTTTTTTTTTAATAATGATAATAATGATTCTTCTTTTTTGTTTTTTTTGACAGGGAAAGTCGTGGCATTGGTACTATGTATATTAAACAATTCATAGTATTAGTTCTCATATCTTCCATGTTAGTTACCCATGAATTAAGTTATAGTTAGGATATATTTAGTATTAATCTCCCAGATAATTAATATATTATAAAATCTATATATATATTTCAGTGCCAGGATTGTATTATTACTGTATGTTTGTTACCTCATCAAATTGTTTCTGAATATTGGCCATTATTTTAACTCGCTCTAAAATAATTTACGATAACAAAACAGTGCTTGAAGGATATTGAACAACCAGCGCACATCAAAGCAAAATGTCATAGATCGTTTTCTCGACCAGAATTGTAATGATTTTAATGTCCGTGCTACTGGGTGGTACTCAGGACTGGTACTGTAACACACACAGACACACACACACACACACACACACACACACACACACACACACACACACACACACACACACACGTTATAAGGAGCAGCTCTGTAAGATGATACAAAATAACACTTAATATTTTATAGTGCAAATATTGATTTTCATATTTGTTAGGCAACTCATGAGTGACCGATATATTTTAGTTAACCCCTAAGTGAGCGGCCATTCAATTTTTTAACGTTTGGAAGATGTCCTGCACAAGTTATATAGCACAATATAGTAATGTGTAATATATTGAAGACTAATAAGAAGATCAAAGAAACAAAAGCTGGAAGAGTTTTATACAAGTACTGTAGTAAAAAAAAATAGTAAAATTGTTATAAAAGTTGTTGAGAATAATGGTGGTATTATCTATGTTGTTTGTATTAAATAGTAATGCTACTTAACTTGGTATGACAGCCCCGTGTAGTTACCCCCACCAGTATTAACGTGTAAGTGGATACTCCCTGTGCCTAGGCCTTCGTGTTGGGCGAGCACTGTACGTTGGGTAACCTAAGGTCTGTTCTTGATAAAGTTTCAGTCCAGAATATGAAAAACCTTGGGCAAAAAGTTTTAATTTAGCTATTAAACTTTTTTTTATTCAATAATATGTGTATTGATGAACAAGAACACAAGAAATAATTCATGGTATAATTTGAATGTTGACTTCATTCATTTTTCTGTGACTGCTCACATCACCTAATGTATAACTACCAGAGCTATAGAAGTGTCAGGTTAATTTTATATAAAACTGTTAAGAGATTATTAAATATATCTGATGTGTTTTAAATGTGAAAATATATGAAGGGAAAAGTGATGAAAGATGAAGCTACCTCCTCCTCACCACAGACAAGTGCACATCTTGAAAGCTTTGGTCTGTCAGTGAAGCAGCTGTTAACATGTGCAGTACACAAGATCTTAAGATAAAGAATACATTATTGCCAAGTATAATTGCTCAATGTATTTTGATATTATTGTTTTTTTAAGACAGTATTTGCATGGGTGGCCCCTGCTGAGTCCAGCCTCTGAAGCAGTACAGTACTTGGTTAGTGAACACATCATGTTAGTACCTAAAGCTGTTGAGGTTAGTACAGTACAGCAGGTTGATTCACTCACTGGTAGCCCCGGAATTTCACTAATATAATAGTTATTGATGATAAATGAGAGAGAGAGAAATACTTGAGAATATAACATGAAAATCTTAACCCCAAATGCACCAAACACTAATACAGTCGAGTATAGTATATCATAGTGAGGCCACCACTGAGTGTATCACCCTGTAGCTACTTGGTGCAGCATATTAAGTAGCTTCTTTTATTGGGATAAACCCCAGATGTAACAGAAGGATTTTAAACAGTGAATTTGGAACCGATTGGTCTAGTCATCTCAGAGGAATTTGCACATTATGTAAATTGACCGTAACAACATAAGGTAAAGATTCACTTTGAAAGTTGATGCAGTAATTACCAGATAACTTTGTTCTAAATGTGAGAGAAAAATTTGTGCACTTTCATGGTTTTTCTGTACTTTTAAAATGAGTTATTTGATGAACTACTATCAGTTGTGATACTAGATAATCATATATTACTGTGATGAGGAAATACTATCGCACAGGATCCACTCCAGTACAGCCCAGTGTGTTGACTGTGGTGGGAAGTTTGGTGTTGCTCCCCCACTCCCTCTGCCCACTCCTTCCTCACCTCTGCATTCCTCCACTTGAAGCTGAGAAGCTTCAAATATGGGTTCGACAGATTAATGAGCAATATGGGTTGGGTGTAAATGGGGCTGCCCAGTATGGGCCAATAGGCCTGCTGCAGTTTCCATCATTCTTATGTTCTGCCTTCTACCCTCCATCTAATTTTCCTCCTCCTCCGCTCCCTTCACCCTCGTACCTTCCACCTCACAGGAACTTGCAAACAGAAAGGGGTTCAGTATATCAAGGCTTCCACAGGCTGTGTAGGTATACTGCTGCAATTTTGTAAGACAGTTTTGAGATTAGATTTGTTTTTTGACAATAGTTGTACTGTACTGTACTGTACAGGTGTGAGAATGGAGGGATTATTGACACTTATGGAAATTAAGTGTTGCCAGGTAATTCAGTACATATTAATTTTTCATTTTGGTTGCCATGTTTTTATTTACAAGGAATACAATTAAGATTGAGTTCTTAAGTTCTCTAATTCTAGATCCTTTTTCTTTTTAACCTTTTCTTCTTGCTTGTGCACCTTGTTTAATGACATTATCTTGATTAAGCAGGTTGTATATAGGACCAATTAATGTGAGGAATAATAGTCATTAATCATCAAGATGTGTGGTATTTACTGCAAACCACAGCATAATATTGGGATCGGGTTCTTCACCGCCTCGCCAGTGACAGTACTGTTAAGGTACAGATTTCAGGCCTAAATATTGGTTCCTGGTTTGATTGGAGACGGACATTAGAGAGAATTCCCAAATTATTCCTTAAACATAAATTGCATTTCTTAATTTTGTAAATAGTATATGATTTGTATTTTTTATTATCTTCAGAAAGTTGTGTATAGTAATATATTAATTATAATATTTAATATGAGATGATATCTTTGAATATTTTGACTGAAGAAATAATTGAAGCTTTTATGATACACTGAACATTGGCCAGAATTAATGTTAGGACTATTATAGTGCACATCTGTAATTATTTATCTTTTAATCTATTTTCTTTTATCTATTTTTCAAAACTTCTCAGTCCATTCCAGTGTGTGAACATGTTGTTGATAAGTGGAGGTGAAGTGTGCAGTATACCTGGTGTGTGGGTACAGTACTGTAATAAGTGTGCAGTATACCTGGTGTGTGGGTACAGTACTGTAATAAGTGTGCAGTATACCTAGTGTGTGGATACAGTACTGTAATAAGTGTGCAGTATGCCTAGTGTGTTGGTACAGTACTGTAATAAGTGTGCAGTATACCTGGTGTGTTGGTACAGCTGTCAGGTACAAGTATTAGTATAAACTGTTGTAATTATTAACATTTCATATTAGTATTAAAATACTTGAATCGAGGTTTTGTGCTCAGAAAACTGAAATAAGTTTCATAGGAAACATATTAGTGTATATTTCATTTGCTTTACTGTATACCAATAAAATATTAAACCTGAAAGGTATGTTTCTTATCATCGTCAGTATGTCACAAAATATAAATACTGTACTGTACTGACATGGATTAATCCTTACTTTCCATCTGTCCGTCAAAACAGTAGATTATTTTTTACCAGCACAAACAGGACTCACTCATGAGACTTGTTTACACACAGAGGTTGAGGAGAGACCTGAATCTGGGCAGTTATTGTCTAGTTAGTTCATGAGCTGATGATTGGAATTTGTGGCTGGTTATATAATTTGTAAAGTTGTGTGCACTTATACCTGGTGCAGTGGCTGGTGCATTTTGTGAAATGTGGCAACTCTGTGAAATGCTTATCTAGCCTACTTAGTCTGGCTACAATTGTGAGGTTCCTTAGGGCCATTCTTGGAGTTTTAATATGATGTCAACAAACACAGAGGTGCCACATCTCTCAAATCTTGCCAGCCACTGTACAGGTAACTACATAATTACCATTAATGGTCATTCAATATGTAAATAATTGACTTTTGTATACAGTACAGTACATGAATACAGTATAGTAATGGAAGTTTGTTATTATTGTATTTGATGTACAGGTCATAAAGAGTACTGTATATCTACCAGGAAATGTAACTAATTAAATAAGACTGTGGAGTGAATGTTGTAACAGAACTTACTCTTTTATGAAAATTTTGTAACCAATCAAAATACCATATTACTTGTTAGACAAAAATTCTGAAGATAGTTGTTACCTTGGTCAAGTACTTGTATACTGTATATAGTGCAGCATTGTATTACACAAACACTTTCCTACCCTTGCGCTTCCTTGGTATATTATGAAGATTAGGAACTACAGCTTATTTATCCTAAATAAAAACCCTGATACTCACTAGTGAGTGAGGAGAAGAAATGGGAGGTTATTTGGCAAGCAAAAAACATAGCAAGGTGCGAGGCATTTTGGAATGTATTGATTCACCCAGATGGCACGGTAATGCAGAGGGAATAGTACAAGAAACTCCTGCAGGACTCGAAGCAGAAGAGTGAGGAGTCAAGGAAGAACGGGGACGGGTGTACATGGGTTATACTCGGGGCGGGTAGTGGAAGCAAGTGTGCCGACGCAGAGCCAGGGGGCAGCAGCGCACCCTCCACCTGCTCTACCCCCCACCCGGGAGGAGGCACCAGCTCCACCTACCAGACAGGAGGAGGTGAGCGCTGTGTAAACAATGACATATCTAACCACACCCTGCAAAATACAGTGTACTTAGCAAATGCTGCAGCTGCTGAGAATGGAGGAGGGCCGGAGTTACTACTAAGAGCAGAGATGTTACCAAAAAGAACAAATTCTGGCTTGAATGTCATGTACACTAATACTGACATGTTCCTTGATAAGAGAGAGGAGTTTGAAACACTACTGAAGGTACACCAACCAGATTTTGTAGGAGCTGTAGAACTGTTGTACAAGAACAGGAGAATCTCTCCAGAGGAATGCGAGTTCAGTATTGCTGGATATGACTCATTTACGAACCTTTCTCAAGAAACTTGCAAGAGGGGTGTGGTTATCTATGCTCGGCAAGACCTTAGAGCCAGCCAGGCGAGGGTACAGAGGATGTTTTTGAAGAGATCAAGTGGCGTAAAATTAAATTAAAGGGAGGGAACTTACTTAATGTCGGGTGTGTGTACAGATCCCCAAACTGGCTCACTAAATCAAAGGAACTTAAGAGCCTTAATAGACAACGCAGTGATGCTTAACCCTAGCTACCTCCTTATCATGGGGGATTTTAACTACGGTGACATTGACTGGAGAAACGAGTTCACCCCAAATGACTTGAATAACCCTGCTACTCTTTTTGCAGAAATTCTGTGAGATAATTTTCTGTTCCAACATGTTAAAGACCCGACACATTACAGAGGGGAGCAAACACCCAAGCCACTAGACCTCATCATAACAAATGAGGAGGGTATGGTGGCCAAACTGGAACAGCTAGCCCCAGTTGCCACCAGTCACCATGTAGTGTTATCATTCAGATTTAACTGTTACCTAGTTCAAGATAAGGCCAGGCTAAGGTGCAGTGGAGTAATCAATGGTAATGTACAGGTGTGGAGTAATCAATGGTGATGTACAGGTGTGGAGTAATCAAGGGTAATGTACAGGTGTGGAGTAATCAAGGGTGATGTACAGGTGTGGAGTAATCAAGGGTGATGTACAGGTGTGGAGTAATCAAGGGTAATGTACAGGTGTGGAGTAATCAAGGGTGATGTACAGGTGTGGAGTAATCATTGGTGATGTACAGGTGTGGTGTAATCAAGGGTGATGTACAGGTGTGGAGTAATCAAGGGTGATGTACTGGTGTGGTGTAATCAAGGGTGATGTACTGGTGTGGAGTAATCAAGGGTGATGTACTGGTGTGGAGTAATCAAGGATCATGTACAGGTGTGTAATCAAGGGTGATGTACAGGTGTGGTGTAAATGTACTGGTGTGTAATCAAGGGTGATGTACTGGTGTGGAGTAATCTGATGTACAGGATAATGTACAGGTGTGGAGTAATCAAGGGTGATGTACTGGTGTGGAGTAATCAAGGATAATGTACAGGTGTGGAGTAATCAAGGGTGATGTACTGGTGTGGAGTAATCAAGGATAATGTACAGGTGTGGAGTAATCAAGGGTGATGTACTGGTGTGGAGTAATCAAGGATAATGTACAGGTGTGGAGTAATCAAGGTTGATGTACTGGTGTGGAGTAATCAAGGATAATGTACAGGTGTGGAGTAATCAAGGGTGATGTACTGGTGTGGAGTAATCAAGGATAATGTACAGGTGTGGAGTAATCAAGGTTGATGTACTGGTGTGGAGTAATCAAGGATAATGTACAGGTGTGGAGTAATCAAGGGTGATGTACTGGTGTGGAGTAATCAAGGGTAATTACAGGTGTGGAGTAATCAAGGATAATGTACAGGTGTGGAGTAGATCTGGATAATGTACATATTCGTATATCTTGGTATCTCTCCTGTATCAGTTAATATTTGAGCCATAAAATGTTTGTTAATATATTTTGCCATATGTGTTTAGCGGTCATTCTTTACTCTATCTCATAAAATGTTTATTAATATATTTTGCCATATGTGTTTAGCGGTCATTCTTTACTCTATCCCACACACAAACACACACACACACACACACATAGATCTACACTGACAGCTTCTGGTCACACACACACACATAGATCCAGACAGTCATCATCTCACTAAGTCATCAAACCTCAAGTCATGGTGATGAATATTTATACCTTGATGATTTAGCCTGAATCAAAAGAGAGGAATGCTGCTTCACCATTTTTACCCAATTTAGGTCATTACAGAGACCTTAATCTGCTATACGGTTTTGTACTAAGAATGGATAGCATATAAACTATTTGTGGTGACTATTGTAATAAGTATTTGTCATAATAGTTTCATATACTATATTTTATACCAACTGATATATAAAAACCCACTATAACATATTTATAAATAGATATCTCGAGTATTAATTGATTATTTCACAGTAGGGAGTTGAGTCCAGTTGATGCCATGAATAATTGATTAATATCCATGTGTAACAGTAGTAGTGAGACGTTGGCCATAGTTACTGTTATGCTTTTTACTTTTACTTGAACATTATCCCATCTATCCATCCATCAATATACCTATCCATTTATCCATCTAACCATCCATCCATCCATCCATCTATATATCTGTCTACCTGTATACTGTTCATACATGTTAGATTATATACACACTGAACTGAATATCTATCCATCCATCTATCTATCCATCTATCTATCCATCTATCCATCTATCCCTCCATCCATCTATCAGGGAGACGGTTGGTTGGCTACGGCTGGTGAGGCTCACTTGTCCACCTGAGTCTCAAGTCAACAAATATGGCGAGGAACAGCTAGTTAATATCCTTCATGTACCGATTTAATGACCCTATAACGCACTCAACACTACATTAAGGTGAGGAAGTGTAAATGAGGTGTTGATAGATAATTAGGGAGGTATTAAGGGGGTGATAAAGGAGGGAGAGAGGTTAAATGAGGGAAGGTTTGGGGGGTGGGTGAGTAGAGCATAGTATACGCCCCCCAGCGCCATTGGTATTATTTTAGTCATCATTATTCTCTAGTTAAAGTTTGTTGATTATGGTTGTTTAATATTTGTAGGGTAATGGTTTAGGTGTTAGTGGATAATGGTTTAATCCCTGTATGATGATTGGTTTGGTGTGTTGTGGGTGTTACTTTTAAACCCCTGATCAGTCTTGTTGGGTTTAGTTTTTAGTGTAATACTAGTTTGGTTTTATTTTATCTCTTTTTAATAGGATTATGGTTTAGGTACTCGAGTATGGTGGTTTAATGTTCCTAGGATGATGATTTTAGTTAGTTATAAGTGATAGTTTTAAACTCATCCTCAAAGGGTTTAGTTTTCAATGTAATAAGTTTGGTTTATTTTGTTTTAACTGTTTTTTAGCATCAACTGTGTTGTGTTGGCAGGTGATCATGGCAGTAATTCACGGGTCATCAATTATAATTATTTTATTGGTTGTCAATACTTAAATTATGGTGATATATGAGGACCCTAGTGGAAAAAAAATTCTTAACAGCTTTCTGTAAAGTTTTGAGTGATATCCAGGTTAACCAGCTACCTAATGAAAAAAATACATAGGAGAAAACTTATTGCTTACCTCAATAATAAAATAAGTTGTTTGGAGGAATAGCAATTTTCTTAATTTTTCTCGTAAATAAAGACGCTCTCGTCAGCCCACCCAAAGAGGATGATGCCATCTTGTTTTCTGTTCTATTTTCAGCTGTTGATATGAGTAGCAGGAATCCAAATGTTTCTCAGATATTAACAACTCTAGTCCATTTCATAGACAATAAGAAACGGTTGCAACTTTAGAATATTTAGTTAACGTGTAGATTATTGCTGCCGTCGATTCTAGCAAGAACCATAATGTTAATTGCTAGTGACAGTGTTCTCTTTTGGGGAAGTGTTTCTTTTTTATAATTTATTCTATAATACAGCATTTAGTCATCAGTGAGCCATGGGAGGGGGAGTGCGTAGTGCGCGGCTCGTCTGAATCGCATTACCATGTTATATAATACATGATCCATCTCTGAAAAAATAGCATTTCCCCAATAGGGGAATATGTTATGTTAGGTTAAATAAGGATAAGTTAAATACTGACAACATTATATAACCACTGGGGGAGGGGGGGGGGGTAGGTCAGGCTACTGTTTGACTAATGTTTGACCATGATTGAAAAGCATTAGTTTTTTGCTTTTCCCCAGAAAAAAACTATCTCCAATAAAAAAGCAGCGAAATTTATGCAGGGAAAAAAAATCTGGGGCGAAATCGCTCGCAGTACTTAAGTAAACGTTTACCAAATATTTTTACTCAGGCAATGATGAATAATTATTCTTTTGTATGTTAAAAATAATAATAATATTGCAACTAGAGACACTTAATAGTACCTGTATCAGAATTAAACAATTTTGTGTTGATTTTATTTGTTTGGCGATACAGTACACATGAACCTTTTTCAGAGTGAGAGTTGTGAACTCTTGGAACAATCTGCCGGAGAGCGCTGTGACGGCACCGACCGTGAGTTCTTTTAAGACCCAGACTTGACTAACACTGGAGCAGGTTCAGATATATTCAGGATCCAGCGCATGCCCAGTACTTGCCAACAGTGCGTAACAGACGTGACCGACCGCCCAAGAAGCTAACGAGCTGATTAGTAGCAAAGAGGATAAAGGTAAAAGTAAAAAAGTGGCAGCATTGTTCTCATCCTCTCCCACATAAACACTTCCAGCAAATACCCGGTAATATTAAATTATACTGTATACAGCACTGTAGGTAATCTAATCTATCCTAGCATGGAAAATACTGTAAACTATATACAGTCGTCCCTCGGTTAACGAACACAATTCGTTCCAGAAGATCGTTCGTTAACCGAAACCATTGTTGCAATGGGATTTGGGGTAATTGGTTCCAACTCACCGAAAATTACATACAAACTAAAAATAAATGCAGTTAAGTACACTTACTTTGAGGTGTGTATGTAGAAGGCTCCTGGTTGATGATGATGATGGGAATTAGAAGTGGGGGTGGAGGAGAAGAGAAGGAACTGAGGGTGGAAGAGAAATCGCCCCAGGCTTGATGCCGTCATTTCACCCATAAAAATTTAAGTTCACTAGGTGTAATTCAAGATTATTTTCTTTAAATCAACACTGCACTACTCAAATGGGAACGAATTTAAGCCTAAAACCGATTACTGTATTGGCGGACTAATATTCCAGCTGGTGAGCAAGTGAAAACAGGGTGAGAGGAATTCGTAAGGAATTCGTTAACCGAATTTTTTTCGTTAACCGAATTTAATATTCTTATGGAAGGTAATTCGTTAACCGAAATTTCGTTAACCGAGGCGTTCGTTAAGTGAGGGACCACTGTGCAGTATTATTATTATTATTAATATTATTATTATTATTATTATTATTATTATTATTATTATTATTATTATTATTATTATTATTATTATTATTTTTATTTTTAAAAAGGAAGAAAGGCCAGTTTCTGGTTGGGAAGTTTTCCCACTTAGTGTATGGGGTCGATCAGTCGCTGGGTAATATTTGTCAACAGTTGGAGTCTGTTCAGTGATGGCGTCATGAAGTAGATAATGGTTACGAAGCGTCTTTATTTACAGAAAAAAATTAAAATGGATAAGAGTGTCCTGCCTTTTGTTAATGTCTGAATTGTGATTTTTATAAATTCAAACATAATTTTTATTTTATTTTGTTAAATTTAGCTCCTGCAGTATGGTAATGATTTACCAGTCAAAAGTAAATTTAACTCGGGTACAGAAAAAAAATTAAGATTACAAATTCAGTCCTAGATAAAGAGAAAAAACTAGTGTTAAGCTTCACAAATACGAAAAATTCCCAATATGAAAAGACTGTCATGTCAATAAAACCAAATCATCCGTGACAATAACTGACTCAAACTAACCTAATCTAACCCTGTGATCTTAACTTATTTATTATCGTGTCACAGGTGGTCATGAATGGTTAACGTTACACATTAGCCGTCCAGACCGGAGCTTTGTTGATGTTATCGGGGCGATTTCTACGTAACGGAGAATTTTTTATGACTGTACCTGAAATTTCTCTCCCCAACCTTATTTTACCTGATAATTAACTGCCCTAATCTTTAGATGAAATAAGCTGGGTTTGAATATTCAGGTGATCCAGAATTTCTCTTCAGTATTTTCATAACTTTAAGCTTTTTTCCTTGTTCCACAGAACCACAGAACTCGCAGGTCGTGAATTTCTCAAAACCTCTGTACTGTATTGAGTAGGATCAGTGGGTAAGAATTAAGCTAAACTTTTCTTCCAATCTATGCTTTAAAGTGAAGATATCAGTGTGGGTCATGTTAAATACTTCCATGTACTGTACACTGTAATAAGATGCTATCAGTTTTCTTCACTTTTAAAAGTGTAGAAGAGGGTTGGCACTTTATTCCTCCTAAGTGTTTCAGATGGGATAGTCTTGTGATACTGTATATTTATTTTGATCGGTAAATTATATTCCGAGGTGAAACGTGAAAAAATTTAATTAGAATTGAAAAAAATCACATTTTTAAAGTCCATTGAGAATGTTACTTCTGTTTTTGATATTGTGGAACTACTGTACTGTACTGTACTGTACTGTACTGTACTGTACTGTACTGTACTGTACTCACACCAGATAATACAACCTATTGTAATGATGGGAGGTTTGGTTACCCTGGGTTATCTGTTACTGTACTTGGTGAGTCCCTTCACGAGGCCTTTCATGGACATATTATAGTAATTAAATCCTAACATTAGCTTATATTCGGAGGGTTGTTGTCAAGACTAATTATACAGTACAGTTGTGTATGTACAGTACAATGATACTCTTTTAAGAGACTAACATTAATGACTCAATAATATTAATGAAATGTTTGTTATGTGACTTTTGAACAGGAAGATGGCTTCATGGTGGCCAGGATGGAGCTGAAAGTGTGGGTAGAGGGTATTCAGCGCATTGTGTGTGGGGTCACAGACACCACCACCTGTCAGGTAAGTCGTTGAATATTAATACGGTATAAATAATGTTAATTCTGGGTATTGTTCACAAAAAAGTCTCCAAACAAACTTCAGTAGCAACTGAGGTTGTGTACTGTACATATCAAAGTGATCTTGTCATTGTGTGTTGTCTGCAAGAACTATGGTTGCATTTGCCATTTTTTTCTTTTCTGGTTTTGTGTCATTGTCCGGGTCAACCTAAGTTTCACTCTGTTTTTTCATTGTATCTCTTTATCAAACTAAGTTATGCTCATCTCACATTGGGATACAACAGATGAGTGGATACAGCACTCACCGGCCTTCCCAGAGGTCACTGGTTCATGTCCAGAGCACCCGGCCACAGTTTACACAAGCTATAATTGATCACCTCCATAATTTTATAGTTAGGATGTGAAGGCAGTTGAGTGCTCTACCAGCCACACTACCCTCCCCTCCCCCCCCCCTTTATGTACTGAAGGCTTAGTACAGTATGCTGCATCCATGCTGCTCCTTTTTATCTGTCTGTCTGTGGACGTTCTCTATAAGCTTTAGTAGTACAGTAGTGCTTCAGATTCTTTTTGTATGTTCAAAGTGTTACAGTATTTTGATTAGATTTTACTGTTTACTCTTACAGGAGGACAAGTTAAACAACACAATGTTTAAAGGATCTATCTTTGCATTGATACTTCATACCATCCATCCACCAACACCCACTTAGGATAATTACTGTTACAGGATGTGGTGTATGCGCTGGCCCACGCCACTGGCAAAACCGGTCGCTTCACTCTCATTGAGCGGTGGCGTAATAATGAACGCCTTCTAGCGCCCAATGAGTACCCACTGAAGGTAAGTACAGTACAGTGTTGTAACTTGTACAATTTGATTTTGTTGTCCCTGTCAAGTATTATAAATAGACAGTATGTAATTAAGTGTTAAACAGCAGCCAGCATCTGTGGTAGTTAGTTGTAAGGACAGTGGCCATCATCAGTGCAAGTTTCGTGTTTCTTACGTTCCATTTTTACGCATTGAGTGAGGGCAGATTAGGGAGTCCTTAGCTACTGGTTAAAGGTTAATAATGTGTTACAGTAGTAAGACTGTCTTCTTATCTTAATGTAATTGCCAGAGGACTGTCCTACATTGTATGCTGTTGCTACAGGTGTTTCTCAAGAAGTACTCTATTAGATTTTTTATTCAGGCAGCGTTGTAGCCACCAAGTACTGTACTGTACTGTACTGTAGTTGTTGGACGGACATGTTGAGGTAGTGGAAGCTTCCTCAGAGTACAGTGTTGTGTGTCACCTGATAGTAGTCTACTTTATTGGGGTTTGTTTAGTTATCCTTTCTTTTAATAAACTTGGTAATATATTATGAGTGTCTTTCCTTTTTGTTGTTAAAGAAATCTATACTAAATGATAACTCTATAATTTATTTTTACCAGATTCTTATGAAATGGGGAGAATACTCCAATGATGTTCAGTTTATCCTTCAACGATCAGCCCTTGATCCTAAGACACCTAATGGCCCAACTGGCCTTAGACCAGGTCTACCCCAGAGGGTGGAGCCCCCCAGCAGGCCATCAGTTCCCCAGGGCCCGCAGGCTTCACATGACCGACCTAGACAATCTCCTCACATACACAAAGACTTGAAAAAATCTCTGACCTTCAGCGGTGGTCACGCTGAGCTCCGGCGACAAGAAGTGGGTTCCCCGACCCAGTCTATTGCTGGACCACCCATTTTGCAGGCTGTACAAACTCAGTCTGGTTCTCGTCATACAGACCTTGTTTACCCTACCCCACCTGTGACACACTGGGAGGGGCAGGGATGGACAGGTGAAGGCAGCAGGACAGATCAACAACCTGCAGGAGTCACTTGGAGACCACCTGCTCCTCCGCCCTACGAGGTGGTTCGAGGTAATCCTCCTCCACCTCCCTCATCCAGAGTTGGAGTAGACAATGTTCGGGCCACCACTAGTCACTGGAGCACACCTCGGTCTGGTCCTCATTCACCTCCAGCATCATCTCATCAATCAAATTCAGCCGCCATCCATCACTCACCCAGCAGACCACCCCCAACCACTGAGCCACCGTACACTACTAATAGAAGAGACCAGCGAGCCGACTCTCAGTCTTTAGCGAGGACAGAGCCTGTTTACAGCGATGGTAGACGAGCCCCATACCCAGGCTACACGCATCAGGGTAATATTGGGCTACCCACTGGTTCCCAATATGCCTCACGTGGTCCACCTCCTAGTCAAATTTCTCCCATGTATAATGGTCCACCTCCTCCAAAGCCACCACACATTACAGGACCAAGAGAGCTCCCCCCTTATCGTCATCCACCGCCGCCGTCATCTTCCCCAAACAAAGTCACCCCAACTCATGGATCCCCGAGGAAGATTGTAATAGTGTCTCAGCCAGCACCTATGACACAGATGTCACCCACCAAACAACCTCCACCAACATCAGCAACACAAGTGCCACATTCTACAAGCAAAGTGCCTAATCCACATCAAGTCACCGCCTCGCCACATTCTTCACCCGTACGTCATCCCTCTCCGACCCGCCGTCCGTCACCAACCCGCCATCCCTCTCCGACGCGTCATTATACGGTCAACTCGCCAAACATTAATTCTACCAATCCACTCAGTAATGTTAAGAGTGGAAGGTCGAGCAGTCCTGTAAAAAATGTCCCAGTAAGACATCCCAACTTTGAAGACCCACCAGGCTGTGCCAACCATGATAAAGGCACATCTAGACCATCAGATGAGGACCCAAATTGCAGGCAGGGAGAAACCAGTTCTAGAAAGGACGATGGTGCAAAAAGTGATATGACAAGAGAGGTGTCTCAGTCAGACGCTGCAAATAACAGTGTTGGAAAAGGTAACTCAGACACACAACTTAAAATAAACCAACACAGAGGAAGTGTGGACAGATTGGCTCTGGAAGGAGGGACCGTCCCTGGTCGACGTGGTGCTAGTGAAGAACCTCCAGCCAACAACGAGGTCACACATCCAAGTAGCAGCGAACGGCTAAACACCTCCTTAGACGCGACAATCTCCAACCACTGTGTCAAGTCACCTCACACCCGCCGAAGTCCTGCTAAGGTAAGTGAGCTCCAGGTTAAATTATGTTGTATTGGTGAAGGGATTAGATTGACTCTGCACCATTTGCTGTTCCTTCACAAAAGCTTAAACCTGTAGAGAAGTAGACATTTTTGGTGGACAGTAAACTCATTTGTATGTCGTTACAAAATACAGACTAAGCTGAAATTTTTAGAGTGGTGAAACTAAATACTGTTTAACATCTGCCCATCACAAGACAGCTGTACTTGTGTTTGCATATTTTGTTGTACTGTACCTTTTATTTAACTGTTCAAAAATGTGTTGGGAAGAACTCTTGATTGCATTGCTTACCCTCAGGAGTCCCCTAAAGCTGGTAATGATGGCGGGAGAACGAACCACAGCAGTAAGATGGAGCAGGTGGTGGTTGATGGCAAGTACAGAGACCTTGTTAAACTGATCAACCTTCAACGTGAGAGACTAAATAACCAACAGGTGGAGATAACTAAGGTGAGGACAACATCATGTACTGTACTCCTGAGAGATGTTCATATTTACACTTTACTTTAGGAGTTTCATCTTCGTAAACTGTATCTTCTACGAGTTATGATATTCTTATTATTTTTTCAATAGTGTCTAATCTTTTACTCTTAAATGGTGACAATCATCAGTAGAAGTTTCTTGTTCTTTGCATTCTGTTTTTACATGTGTGGGTGTAGGGGAGGTAGGGAATCCTTAGACAATGTTTAAGGACTACAAAAGTGAATGTAAAATGTGTAAAAAGTGATGCTTTTCTTTTTCAGTATGAAGCAGAGATTGCATACTTTGAGGGACGATCGCGAGAAGATGAATCTCGGTTGGCATACGTCACGGCAGAGATAGAGAGGCAGGAGAAGTTAGCACAACAGATTGACCAAGAGGTGATTAGGAAGTCTTTTATTTTCTTTGGTGATGACTGAGCAACTAATCCTAAATCAAGACTTTCACTAACAGACCATAATGAAGATCATAATTCCTTAGTCAAATTTTCATATACTGTACACCAGGCATGGGCAACCCGTGGGCCGCAAACCGGAACATGTTTGTGCGACCCCCGGTGTGATCGAGAAATTCTATTTAATGTAGTCTGCAGTTCAGGTAGAGGCAGCCAGTTTATGGTGAGTAAAGCAATATTTATTTAAAGAATAATCTTCACACACCATTCGTTACTGTTTCATCACCTAAGAGTAAGTAACTACGAAAATGTAACGGTGAAATAAGTACTGTATATATCGTCAACAATATAAACATTTTAACTTGTGTGAGTTTATGGGCCAAGTTCGGCACGGCCTGTTTGATGGATTAGCTGCTATATGGCAGTGGGTCACTTGGGAATTAACAAAGGTTGGGTAAGTCCAAGTGGGGTGAAGGGCGGTGTTTACACAGGGTTTAACTAATTAAATACTTCCAGAATAACACAAAAAACCTAAATCCCACCAAAGAAACCCATAGTTGGCAAGTAATTAGGATTGAAAAAATTTAACTAAAATCTTCCAAGCATCATTACAGCCATTAATTACCCTGCAATCAAGCTGTAGACCATAGATTCGGAATCAGCAAGCTCAGGAGTACCTATACAGTACAATACTGCAATTTTAAACTAAATCTAATTCTGGTTGAACTGCAAAAAAAAAAAAAAAAAGAGTTTGTTTGTGACCTATCGAGCCCCGACCCGGCCTAAAAGAGAGAGAGTGTAGTTCCTCACATGCCAGGATTAACATTGACATTATTCTGGTGGGTGTGTCTCATAAGTAAAACAAATGCTGTAATTGTAGGAAAAATCAATGTATTCGCAGACTGTTTCACTCATCTTCTGTTAAAGGCCAAGAAACTTTAACATACAGTGATCCCTCGGTTAACGAATGCCTCGGTTAATGAAATATCGGTTAACGAATTACTTTCCATAAGAATCTTCAATTCGGATAACGAACAAAAATTTGGTTAACGAAAGTTTTACGAAATCATGTCAACATGTTTTCGCTTGCTCACCAGCTGGAATATTAGTCCGCCAATACAGTAATCGGTTCTAGGGCTTAAATTCGTTCCCATTTGAGTAAATATCAAGAAGGTTGTACTATTAAATAATTTTCCAAGTTTTATATTAAAACTTTGTCATTTTAACACTTATTTAACATAATTGCAGTACAGGAAACTAGTTTTTGGTGCGCCAATCAGCCACTTGACTCACCCAGCAAGGCGTCAGTTTGTATCTCTGGTCAGTGGAGGTAACATCTTGCTTGTGGCTCTCTTGAACATAAACTATTTTTACGTTTTTACAATATAATTATTGGTCATTCTGAAATTTATTTTACATGTTGACAATATATAGTGAAATGACGGCATGAAGCATGGGGTGATTTCTCTTCCACCCCCACTTCCTTCTCTTCTCCTCCACCCTTACTTCAAATTCCCATCATCATCAACCAGGAGCCTTCTACATACACACCTCAAAGTAAGTGTACTTTACTGCATTTATTTTTACTTTGTATGTAATTTTCGGTGAGCTGGAACCAATTACCCAAAATCCCATTGAAACAATGGGTACGGTTAACGAACGATCTTCTGGAACGAATTGTGTTCGTTAACCGAGGGACCACTGTATTACCTAAAGAAAAATTTTTGATGAATTTGTTTCATAAATGGGAAAAAGACTGAAACTGTAAACTGAAAATATCGTAAGGTGGACATGAGGATAAACTGCTTCACTGTCCATGAGACACAATATTAACATAACTTTAGAGTTAGGTAGGATATAAATTTTGGTGGGTTGGCCCGCAGAAAAATACTTAAATTATAATGAGGCCCATGACTGAGGGAAGGTTGCCCATGCCTGCTGTAGACAAAATATATCAGCAGTGTGTAAATTGTTTAGGATTATCATATACTGTATTGTAAATTGACCCAAAAGTTCAATCACTCTATAAGTTGTCTGCTTTTGTAATTTGTTTTGCTTCATGATTTTTCAGTTTTCTTCACATTGACTATTAATGTGTTAACAGGTGAATCATCTACAACAACTGGAGCAGGAGGCTGAGGGAGTGAGACAGGCAGAGGATAAAGTTAAAGCTGAAATCAGTGCATTACAGGCTCAGTTGGCTCATTGTGAGAACCAGCTGTCAGCTCACAATGAGACCGTCAGGTCAGCTCAGTAAGATAACTGTTGCTTTTTACCCTTAACAAATGAGCAATAATATGACTGATGTACATTTAACTTAACTTAACCTAACCTAACTTTGGTCCTTGAAGGCTCAGTTGTTTGACATTAACATAATATGTACAGTAATATCCCTAATAACTGGAGCAGAACATTTCTGTGTTCAAGAGATTTTCACATTGCACATTTATGGAATTTTCTGGGCATTAGTGAATGTTTCTGAGTTTAAACTATGCTTTTGGCAAGGAGCACACATTTGCTAGGGAGGCTTAACTGCAGACAGAGCTGTATTCCTATATGCAAACACGACTATACAGGTACAATATAGTAAACAATATATACGACTATATACACGATACAGTATTTATCAACGGATGATGTCTTTTTGGGCTTGTGATTAGATAAGCACTCTGTGCCCCAGTACTTCATGCAGCCAGCCCACCCATGTGCTCGGTGTATGATGCAATTGTTCGGAAATTCATTCGAGTGCCCAGAACGGAGAGGTTCCAGCTATTGGGATATTACTACAGTATACCTGTACCGTACATACTCTGTGTTATGTCTTTGTAACTCAGATGTTATGTTAAACTGTGTACTGTAGTCTGTGTGAAAAGGAGATCTTAAATTCTTTTTAATAATTTAACCAGTACTGTACAGTAGTTGATGCACTCTTGCTTTAGGTCTCTCTTACTACTTTTAACATTAAAGCCAATTTTAACAAGGAATAAGGTGTTTTGGGTTTATAACTTAACTACAGTAGTACAATTTTTTATATGTTCCTCTATCTAAATATTAATGCTCTCTAAAGCTCTAACAAATAGTTTTTATTTGTTTTATTATTTTGATTTTATTTAACTTTGTGAGAATTTGTGTGTTGTAATCATAATTGTGATGGAATATTATGATTTGTTCCAGGGATTTAGAGAAGAGTATGAGCGAGGAGAAGCAGAGAAGCCACGAAGAAGCTAAAGCTCAACAAGAAGCCATAGTCCGTGAGATTGAGAAACTGCAGACGGCTATTGCCCAGGCTAATGCACAGGCTGAACATGCCCAGCTCACATCACAGCAGCTTCTTCAAGAGGTAAACTTGTGTATTGAAATGTTTATGTGGGTTTTGTGCATCTCTAAAGGGTCTGGTTTCTGGAAAATATACAGTAGAATGTCGATTTAAAGCGATTCAATTTAAGATTATTGATTTAAAGCGACACCCACAATTAAGGTTTTGTCTAGTGCAAACTATAGCATGTTTATATCCAAATTGATCACTATCTTATAAGAATTCCAGCAATGTAAATTATATTTCCCCGGTCACTTCTATGAAATTTTATAAACAAAAAACAAAAACTCAATCTAAAGGACATAAACAAATAAATACTTCACTAGACCTTCGACCCCAACTGTCAAACATGTCACTGTCCCCCCAGCCAGGGTTTGGTGGTTATAGGCTTACAATTTTTATCTTATATAATATCACAAACTAAAGTTAGGGGAATATAATTTGCATTGCTAGAATCCTTGCAAGACGGCGAATAATTTGAATACAAACGCCATATATTTTGCACGAGCTGAAAATTTTAGCCCTTTGTAATAAAATTAATTAAAACTAAAAATTGGTATGTCTAATGCGAACTATAGCATGTGTATATTCAAACTAATCACTATCTTATACGAATTCCAGCAATGTTAATTATATTCTTCCAGGTCAGTTCACTGACATTTTATAAGAGAAAAACTCTTAAGGACAGATAAGTAAATACTGTATTTTTCGGCTTGGAAGACGCTGCATCGTGGAAGACGCACCCTGATTTTGGAAATGAAATTTTTTTTCTTTTTTTTCTTTTTCTTTTTTTTTACAGGTATTAGCCCACCTGGGCACAGGTCACTGACCCACATTGGGGCCTAGGGGGCGAAAAGGCAATAATAATAATAATAATAATAATAATAATAATAATAATAATAATAATAATAAAGAACCATAAAGAAATACAAAAATGAAAAAAAATCAAGAGTGAGAAACAATATATGTATGTTGTGTTGTCAAAGTAAGAGAAATAATTGAGACCTTGCAATTGTGTGTAAATGTGGCAGAAAGTCAGATCAGCAACATGGGACTTGATCACAATTTTCGTGATGCCATATGGCAGCAGGGTCTATCAGTATCTTCCCAGACGGTAGTGCCTCCTTGTTTGGTACATTAGCTGCCTACTACCTACACCAGTGAAACCGTTGCTTGATGTACAGCCCTTTTGGCACAAGTACACACACACACCTCTTTGAATATCATCACTTAGAACTGCTTATCAGTCGTCATTTTCATCAATTTAAAAAAAAAATCTGTATAAGAAGGTGAAATCTTTAATACAGCACTCATACACCTGGTCACCTCCGCATATAGGGGGCTGTAGTGTTTACATTCTTTCCCTTGTTTTTGTCGGTATGACAATGACGGGAAATATTTTCCAACAGTAGAAGGTAAGCAAATGTAAACATGTATATCAACGTCTAAATAAAACAAAAAAATAAGATTAAAAAAACAACTCGCTGTTTGCAAAACCAGTGACTGATTGGTTCTACATACTGTAATTATAAAACAAGAAAATAAGACCCCGGTTGTAGCTGTAGTAAAATTAATGTAGAAAAATGAATATGGTTGTTTTAAGTAATGTTATTTAATGTTAATAAATGGAACAATAGTTGTAGCTAACAATTAATGGTAAAGAAAAAAGTGAGATCGTGTATGTAAGTGAGCACATGTGTAAACATATCATTACTCTACATAAGAATATGAATGCAACACTTATTTACTGTTCATATATGTTTTAATTAATGTTTCTGAATTAAAAAAAAATTCTACCCACCAGTGGTGGTAAAGTTGAAAACATAAGGACAGCCAATGTTATTGTGTGTGTTTTTACTTGGATGACGAAGTTGTATTTATATTTGGAAGATTTTAATTTTGTGGGTTTTTTACAGTCTAAATGGGTATCCAAATGTGAGATCCTACTGTAAATAGGTGTCCAAACATGAGAGCCTACGTATAAAGAAACAAACATTTCTGCGCTTTGAGACCAGCAGACAACCTTTAGCAATTCCTCAATAGATGGTGCTGCCTCACCACTGCCATTAGTAAACAAACCGCACAGCAGCAAGGGTTTATTTTTATTTTTTTCGCAATATATCAACAATATTAGTTAAATCAATAGTTTTTAGTACTGTAATTGTAATTGTTAAGTACTGTAATGAGGTAACAGTCTTTGTAAGGGGCTGATTTCAGTTGACCCTAAGAAAACCTCTGCTACAACTATCAACTCGCTTCCTGGAAGACGCATGGTAATTTTCAAGGTATATTTTTGTCATAAAAAGTGCGTCTTTTAAGCCGAAAAATACGGTAGCACTAGACCTTGGCATCAACTGTCAAACATATCACCTCACCTCCCTCTCCTCATCTTCCCAGCCAGTAAACAGACCATTTTGCATCTCTTAATTTTAGCTGTGTTGATTTATGAGTTTCTTTTAACATATTTCTACAAAAAGCATTGTTTTGTTTATTCTAGATTGGCTGAGGTGCATCTTGGTAGACTGTCAGTCTTTTATCATTTTGTGTTTCTCTCAAGTACCAAACTAAATTATTCCATTGCAACACTTCAATTTAGTGCTAATTCGGTTTACAGCAACCTCTCTTGGAACGTATCTCGCGTTATATCGACGTTCTACTGTATTAGCAATACCTTTACCAGAATTGTGTGTTCTCATAGCACTAGATCTTTAACGTTGATAAATTTATTGTAATATTTAGACTTCATTATTAGGGGTTAATAATATAGTTATTTTAGAACATTAAAGGTAAAAAGTACAGTAAGAACCATTTTTCTTTTCTTTAGATGGCAGAATCAGAGAAGGCAATATCAGAGAAGAAAAAGGAGGTGGAAAAACTGGTGATGGAGATGAAAGACGCCAACCTGGAGTCCCTGTCCATAACACCGTCAGAGGAGATACGCACCCTGTTGGAGGGTAAGACAGGTATGGTGCCATGACGTCCACATCACCATACTTCACTTTCAATTTATCTCTCTTAAGAATGTATTTTAGTCTTGGGGATTAGGTGGATTAACTGGGGAATAATTGAACAGAGTATATATATATACACTATATATAGTAGTTTTATTTATCATTTCACCGCCGCTTATTAAAACTGATTCTTTTGCCGTCTCAGGAGCATCAAAACCTGGCAGCAGTCGTCGCATGATAGGATCTCCGAGACAACTAGAAAACGCCGTGCCCACATCCAAGAATCCTCACGGTGTTTGGGTGTAAATATATTTAGTCCGTTGATAATCATATCACACGAACACAACTGATTTTCTCAAATACTAGAATTTTTTCATGTTTGATATATCATTTTTATCCGTAGGCTTTGGATGTGTCCATATAAAGATTATGTGTTTACCGTTTGAGTTAATGCTTTATAGTAAACAGAGATCACAGGACACAGCAGAGGAGTGATCTTATGGTGCTCATGATGTCATCCAACTGGTTAAGCTGACCATCATTTACGGTCTTACCGGCATCATCTACGATTTTTGGCAGTGGACTGACCGAGTGCTTTCCCTGGAATATAGTATATACAGTAGGTACTTATAGTAAGGCTCAGTGTTGTAGCCTTCTAAGAAGTCGATGGCATTTTTTCTTTATATTTAATTCATAATTGATATGATAGTACGTACATGTTTAATGAAGTGTAGTAAATTTGGTGCTGAGCAAAGTAACAGGGTTAATTCTGACAGCAGCTGGTGTAGTGATGTACTCGTTGTGTGACTCACTGCTAGATATTAGTGCATCATTCACACACACGAGTACCTTTCTTACGGGAAATTTGGTGAATGAAAACACTGAATTTTTTAAATACTGTTTTAGAGTTTTTCAGGTTATTTTATAATGTAATGCAAATGAATTTTCAGTATTTAAGTTTTTAGTGAGATTAACTTGTGTCAGTTGATGAGGACACTAGTTAGCTTAAGTTTTGGTTATGTAACTTGCATCTGAATTCTTCTCCATTGGTTAGAAGGAAAAATTCTCAACATTAATGTATAATTGGTTGTTTTCCTCTTCTCGGATGACCAGTAAACTTGATGTTGTATTCAGTGTTGTCGAGGATTCAGGTGTGTAGTGACCCAAGTATTGATTTTTGGAACATAAGGTGCATCATTTGCTTAGTAATTTTATAAAATGAATCGCACTGCAAGGCTGGCACCTTTCTGGCTCTAGTCATTCTTTCATCACAGTGTTTATATTAGTAGCTGTCACGCTCCCTCTCTCATGAGTGTCACGCCTGACTACGTACAGAATTCTTACATGTGTGAAGGTTTATGTTGGCTTAATAATGATAAAAATGATAGTAGCTGATGTCCCTAGAAACTATTGCATTGTCACATTTTTGGTTTATTAATGCTGAACTATAATAGTTTGCCACACTTTTTGTTGAGAAAATGTGTCCAGTGTTGAGTTCCTTAATAGAAATTCTCAGTTTTGTTTTCCTTCGTGGGATCCCAATCAGTAATATTTGAGGCGAAATGAAAAATGAGAATTAGTACGGACGTTTAGTGTCAGGTATGAACTGCCCTGCAAGGTGTTTACTTTAAGACTAGAGATTGATAAAGTTAAGACACCGTGTTTACATTGTTGCCTTATTGTTGAAAGTTCAATGACATTTATTATCCATTTATTAATGATAATAGTTGTCATCAAAGCACTATTCCCTATTTGAGTTTTAAGAAGTGCATGAAATATTTTATCTATAAAGTACACATTCAAGTATTTTTATATGAAGAAAAGCTAAACTGATCCAGTCAAGGTTAATATACAGTAAGTAAAACTACCAAGTCTTATAATCAGGTAGTTATATATATATATATATATATATATATATATATATATATATATATATATATATATATATATATATATATATATATATATATATATATATATATATATATATATATATATATATATATATATATATATATATATATATATATATATATATATATATATATATATATATATATATATATATATATATATTGAATACTGTTAATTGTTATATTGTTGTACAGTTGAGAACAAAAGTCTTGTCGCTTCTTCTGTTGCTCCGTGAACCAGAGATTCAGACTCGTGAACCAGAGGCATTAGACACCTCTGCATTATTTTGTCCATAAATGCTTCAGATCCACGAGTCTGAATCTCAGGGTTGGTGGAACAGCAGGGGAAGCGACAGGACTTGTTCACTACTGTACATCATTCAAAGAACACTATCTGACAATAGAATCTCTTAATTATGTACACATGTCAATATGTGTTTGTGCAGGACTCACTTAAAGTATGGCGAATTACCATTTTGCTGTTGATTAAATGTCATTATATGGAGTGTAGTTAGCAACAAACAACAGGCTCAACAAGTTACACTATTTTCTGGCATTAAGAAATAGTTTGGAAAATGTTTGATTATATGTGAATGTTTCTATTTTTCCGTGAAATATAGTTTATTTATTGCCACATCTTGCCTTTGCACTCGAGGGAAAAATTTATAATTAGCATTACAATGGATCTTATTCCTAATAAAGCACATAATTTTCTCCACTAATACATTGGTAGTTATTTTTATATCAGTGTTTGTTAGGATGTAAACTCACCTTAGTATGACGGCACGTTATGGCCACTTGAATTTTGTTTTCTTGCTCACAGGAGAGTAGTTACTGCCCCATGTGCAGACAACAGGTTGTAACTATATCCTGGCATGAACAAGTTGTTACTGCCCCATGTGCAGACAACAGGCTGTAGCTATAATCTGGTTTAAACAAGCCTGATTAAATTCAAATGCCTTAATAGTGCTCTAATGATTTTCAAGCAAATAAATGCAGTACTGTATACATATCCCCCTTACCTTTAATATACATGCATGCAGAGTGTAAAAATGCTGTATTACTGCCTACACTTACATACAATAGGACCTGTCGCTCCATCTTCTATCATGCTCGCAGCTGTCCAGTAGCCTTTAGCTCCAGTAACAATTCTCTTGATCACTAATAGGTGTTCAGATATGGCTTGACAGTTCCTCCATAGACAGAATTTTTTGTAGCATTTATCATACCACAATCTTTGTACAGTACAGCCCCTCACTGGTTAACTCTCTAGATTAACCTTTTATATGTAATTGACATACAACCAAAGTCATTGTTTCTTTTTCATTACATTTTACTCCAGCATTCTAGTTTTTCTCTTGGTTGGCATTATATTCCACCTACTGTTCTTTTGACAAGTAGAAACACAACCCAGTAACCCCTTTCCACACGCTTGAACACCAAGAGCACAGATACTGCACACACGTACACTGTAGTAGACTCGAGTGTTGGAGAAACTGCCACAGTTTTTATATTAGAAGTAAAGTGGCACCTCACTTCACTTAATCTAACATGACCTAACCTAACTCCCTCTCCTTAACCTAGTGACTTTTTGTGCCATTGTACTCCTGTTTTGACAATTGTGTAATTTCTTTCTGAGTACCAGTAGACTCGTATCCCTATGTATTATCACGGAAACTTGTATAGTATATGTACTCGTTTATCTACACAGGTACTGCAAATATAATATTTATTAATATACACTAACACAGATACACATACATACTGTACATTTATCTACACACACAGTATATATAGAATACTTACATTTATACAGTATACATACACTAACACAGATACACATAATTCTTACATTTATCTATACACTACTATACCTACATACTGTATGTACACAAACAACACAGAACCAATTATAGGTACCGTCTATCTCAGTGGGCTAAGCCAAACTTCTTCCAAACCAGGCAGTCAAAATACATTACTCAATCTTTGTTCAAAATTTACTTCCCTCATGTACAGTACAGTACTTCTCTTGGTGATCTTGGCATTAGTTTCTGTCCACCATGTTACTGTACTGTACTCCCTGTCTTCTCAACTCTTCAGGGGTATTTCCAGGTGTGATTAGTGAAGTGAGAGATGTAGAGAAAAGGGAAATGATGTGCATAAATAAATTATCATTAAAGTCACTTGAGTATGAGGGAAAATATTGAAATTAAAATAATGATGTTGACTTTCTACTTAGGACAGTGAGTCAGTAAATTAGTTTCCCTTTAATTCATGACCACATAGGTACAGTGTGGGTACTTGAGGGAAAGAGTCTGGTAAATATGGAAGATTTGTGCTACAGTCACAGTACTTTTGGAAGTATATTTGTGTTTTGTTGATGCTTTTATTTTAGGCTCATTTGCAAGTATTTCTCTTTCATTGTGTAATATAGTTCAAACTCTCAGTATTCAAAAGGGTTTCATCCTCTTTTAAGGCAAGATTGTCCGTGAGAAAATTACTCCTCAAATCACTACCTGTACTCCTGTCATGCAACGGACTATGACAATCCTCACTTTTTTTTTATGCTCACTCGCTCTGACATAATGCTGTCATGATAATTGAGGCACACAGAACCGAAGTAGGACGAGCTCCCCAAGTGAAAACCAGAAAAAATGCGTTAAAATTTACGAACTTTCAAATTACCACAGCTTTGGAACCAGTGAAGATATTTAAGTAGCAGATTGTAGCATTGTTAGTGCAGATTTAATAGATACTAGTTAAGACATCATATATATTGTTTTGGGGCATACCCGTCTTTGTCCTACTTCAGTTTTGTGCTCCTAAATTGTTCTCATATGGATTTTCTGTAAATACCCTTAGTTCTGTAGTGTTCCAGTCTTTGCATTATTACAGTATTGTACTCATTTTTTAAAGACATATTACCAACACTTTCACTCTAAACCTCACACAAGCATTTTAGAAAGTTTGTGTCTGCTTACTGTACATATGCACTCCAGCATCACATATTGCAGTAGTAGTTGCAGCTCTTGTTGAAAATACTTTTATTTACCTTTTTTTCCCTTCTCTGGCAATATGGGACCAGTGTCATTGATCTTAAATTTTAAACCATTAAGGGTCAGTCCTGTAACTGTATATATACCCTTTACCCATTTGTATCCTTGGGTGTGTGTGTGTGTGTGTGTGTGTTCAAATGTATTTAAAACATATCAGTGTAATGTTCTTTAAAGTAAGTTTTTAATTATTTACTGTGTATAGCAGTGGTTATGATGTGTATAATGAAATACCTGTAAAGTATTTAATTTTTATTGAAGATGGTGATTTGTTCATTCAGTGATGGTGAAGTTTTCCAATATGGGAAGTGATGGTGGTCACAGACAACGTTCACTACCATATACGTTACCACCGTTGATGTAGTTTTTTTAGTGCCATTATGACAGTATTTGGAAATATTTCGTGGTGCAGCTCTGACTCCCAGAAGGAAAGATGCTTTCCTCCTGAAGTTTATTTCAAATACCATACAAAAATTATTAAAATCCTTAGCTGTACCACGGCTGTGAGACAATATACTATTATTAGTGCCTGCTACACCTTGCAAACAACCCAGGTCTAGAATATATTTATTTTTTGTGAAAGAACAGTAAGTCCTGGAGGAGGATTCAGACCCCTGTTGTGAAAAAGGTTTTGCATACAAACTGAATGTGACTTGGAAGTATTAACTAACTAGCTAAGGGAAAGTGTTTCATTGGAACTTCTTTATAGATCAATTTGTTTTTGGTTTGCTAATGCTCTTATGACCATGATCAAACTAATGACATAATTGATGTAATGAGGGATCAAATAAATAACTATTACCATTGTATCTGTGCCTGAGCTGGACATCAGGGCTTAATACTATGGCCAACACGGTCACATTAGAAGTAAAAATAATTTAGTCATCAAGTGTAGCAAGTTCTTCATGTTTTTTTGCAATTTAAATTTCTGCCTTACATTAACTGCTTATTTGCTCAGTACAGTTTTTATCCAGATTTGACTTATCAGTTCCAACCACTTTTGTTGTCAGATATTGATAAAACTTTGAATGGCAACAAAACACTGCATGGTCACTGGTGTCATGTTAAACAGCATTTATTTCATGTTCGTAGCTAGAGATGTTGGCATCTGTCACTGTTGGAAATTTAAAATTTAAATGCCAAATTTAATTTTTTTTTTTAGCTAAACTGATTCTCTTATATAAAAATGTTATATTCCACATATACGTAGAAATCACTAAGTAATTAGACCATGTCCAGTATGAGTTCACCAATATTGTGTGTATGAAAATTATGGAATAAGAATATAAGCTCTTGCCCAATATATGTGACATGATCAGTACTTGGTGGCCCCATGGTGCGCGATGTAGTCTATTCTGTACTGTTTGCATTTACTATAAGTATTTTTATAAAGACGTATCACTTACTGCACTTTAATCTTTGGCTGACATGAAGGGGATGTCCATTACCTTAGTGTGGTTAATGAAGTGTAATGTTTAGTAATGTGGTTCTGCAACAGCAATACTTCCACACTGATGTCAATTATTGGTGTCTTGTGTTTGGTTATCTATTTAACTTTCATTATATAAACAATCTCCAGATAAAATTTCATGTTATAATGGATGATGGTGAATTTGATTATCAGCTATAAATTGTAATGTAAAAAGTATTTGTTTTAAATGTTAATTGTATGTCCGAGTAATTATGACTTTTTGTCATTATGGATCAAATAATGTAAATGAAGCTTGTACCAAGAAACTCCATATTATGGGCTGGATGCTGTATAGGCGATTTCAAGCATTTAGTAAAAACATCTATGCCACAGATAGGGGTGTGTGCTGTGAAGTAGAGAGGGAACACTTACATGTATATAAGTGTGTGCAAGTAATTAAACAAACTGTAGCTTTATCGGTAAGAGCAAGTTGACTTAGATGTAATTTTTTGCCCAA